CCTGCTCCATCTTCTGGAGCTTCTGGTTATGCCGAATTTAATCAGCAAGGACAGAACCAGAAGCCCGAAAACAGCGGCCACGGCCGCGGTCGCGGAGGCCCCCCCTGGCGGTGGCCACCAACGTCGTCACTCCCTGGCTTTGCCTGAAGCTAAGAAGGCGGCCGAGCTTGCTCAGCAGAAGAGAACTGCTTCGGGCTTCCAGTTCCCAGCTCCTTCCCCCGGTGGAGCCACATCAGAGAACCAGGCTACATCAGATGATAAGCCTGGCTCCAGCACCTCCCCAGCACCCCAAGGTCTTGGTATGCAGCGCGCCGGAAACATGCGAGCCGGCGGTCATGGCCGGAGCCAGTCGATGGCTATCGGTGGCAACCGAGGCTCCATTTCAGGCCGTGGTGCAGGTGGATTCCAATTCCCAGCACCCAGCGATGCCGGTTCCGCTGATAACCAACGCCGAGGCAGTCAGCCTGGTGGCCACGCTCGTTCGGGATCTCGTAACTTTGATGGCAACTGGCGCCAGCCCAACAACCAGAACCAGGGTCAAGACCAGCAGAAGTCATTTGGCCAGCAGCAGCAGCAGCAGCAGCAGCAGCAAGGTGGTTTCCAGCCTGGTCACCGCTCCCGGGGCTCCGTGAACCAGTCGATGGGATCCATCGGCCAGTTCCAATACCCCGGCCAGCCCCAGCTTATCCAGTTGCCACAAGGAATGGTGATGGCACCACCAATGTTTGCCGGCAACCAGCAACTGAACCCGATCCAGCTTGCTCAGCTGCAGGCTATCCAGCAGCAGCAGCAGAACGGTCAGGGCCTGGGCGGTCTTCAGGCCAGCCAGCACGCACCTCCTCAGCTGTCTGTTCAGCAACAGCAGCAACAGCAGCAGCAACAGCGCAAGACGCTTTTCACTCCTTATCTGCCGCAGGCCAACCTGCCCGCACTCATTAGCAATGGCCAGCTTGTCGCTGGTGTTCTCCGTGTTAACAAGAAGAACCGTTCAGACGCCTACGTGACTAGTACAGACTTGGATGCCGACATTTTCATTTGTGGCAGCAAGGACCGCAACCGCGCTCTGGAGGGTGACTTTGTCGCCATTGAGCTTCTGGACGTTGATGAGGTCTGGTCTCAAAAGAAGGAGAAGGAAGAAAAGAAGAAGCGTAAGGATATCACCGACGCTCGTTCCGGCAGCAATGCTGGAAATGACAAGCTTGGTCGATCTGACTCCAACAACGAGAAGCAAGAGATTGGTCCGGATGGAAGCATCCGTCGTCGTGGCAGTCTGCGCCAGCGTCCTACTCAGAAGAAGAATGACGATGTTGAAGTCGAGGGACAGAGTCTTCTCCTTGTTGAGGAAGACGAGATCAGCGATGAGCAAAAGCCTCTCTATGCCGGCCATGTTGTTGCAGTCGTTGAGCGTATTGCTGGTCAAATGTTCTCTGGAACTCTGGGCCTCCTGCGTCCTAGCAGCCAGGCTACTAAGGAGAAGCAAGAAGCTGAGCGACAGGCCAGAGATGGGGCCCACGGTCGCCACCAGGACCGCCACCAAGACAAGCCCAAGATTGTCTGGTTCAAGCCCACCGACAAGCGTGTGCCCTTGATCGCCATTCCCACCGAGCAGGCTCCCCGTGACTTCGTGGAGAAGCACCAAGACTACGCCAATCGCATCTTTGTTGCCTCTATCAAGCGTTGGCCCATCACATCTCTGCACCCCTTCGGTACTCTCGTGGAGCAGCTCGGAGAGATGGGCGACCTACGGGTTGAAACCGACGCCCTACTCCGTGACAACAACTTTGGCTCCGACGACTTCTCTGATGCCGTCATTAAGAGCATTGGCTGGGAAGATTGGACTGTTGCCAACGAGGGTGAAGCCCTGGCCTCCCGTCGTGATTTCCGTGAAGAGACCACCTTCACCATCGACCCGGAGAACACCAAGTCTCTCGAAGATGCCTTCCACGTCAAGAAGCTTGCCGATGGCAAGGTCGAAATTGGTGTCCACGTTTCTGACATCGCCCACTTCGTCAAGGGTAACTCTCTTGTTGACCGCGAGGCCAAGAAGCGAGGCACCGCAGTGTACCTGGTGGACCGCGTTATGAACATGCTCCCGCCCCGTGTCTCCAATGAGCTTTGCTCTCTTGTTCCTGGCGAGGATCGCCTGACAGTCAGTGTGGTCTTCCACGCCAACCCTGACACCGGCGCCATTGATGACGATGTCTGGATCGGCAAGGGTATTGTCAAGAGCGCAGGCCGTTTCAGCTACGAGGCTGCCAATTCGATCATCACTGGCCAGTCCAGCGTGACTGGCACTGATGTCTCTACCGAGAACGTCCGACTCCTGAGCGCCGTTGCGAACAAGTTCCGTGATGCTCGTTTCGGAAACCGTGTCGCAGACATTCCTCCTTTGCGTCTGATCCAGCAGCTTGACGATGAGAACGTGCCTGTTGAATTTAACATTTTCGACTCCAGCCCGGCCCATGAACTGGTCGAGGAGCTCAGTCGCCAAGCCAACCACTTTGTCGCACGCAAGCTGGCCAACGCCATGCCCGACAAGGCCTTCCTGCGCCGCCAACCATCCCCCAACTCTCGCCGCCTCACCTTATTTGTTGAGAGAATGAACCGCCTCGGATACAACTTTGACTCCTCCAGCAGTGGAAGCCTGCAGAGTGCTCTGTGCAATGTCTCTGATGTGGATCTCCGCAAGGTATGTAGATGGAGCGCTACCAGATCCAGGTCTGCGAGAATTTACTGACAATCCTCTTTCAGGGAATGGAAACACTCCTTACCAAGGCCATGCAACGTGCCAAGTACTTCGTCGGATCCGGTCCTGTCGATGAGCAGCGTCAGCACTACACCTTCAACGTGCCAGTTTACACTCACTTCACCAACCCATCTCGCCGCTACGCCGATCTCCTCGTGCACCGTCAGCTTGAGGCTGTCCTGTCCGAGGGCGCCATCGAGTTCACTGATGACATCGAGTCACTGAACAAGACCGCCGATCTGTGCAACAACAAGAAGGACTCGGCTCACAACGCGCAGGAGCAGAGCGTTCACATCGAGGCTTGCCGCAACATGGACAAGAAGGTTCGTGAGATCGGTGGCGACCTTATCACCGAGGGTATTGTTCTTTGCGTCTACGAGTCTGCCTTTGACGTTCTGATCCCTGAGTATGGCTTTGAGAAGCGTGTCCACTGTGACCAGTTGCCTCTCAAGAAGGCCGAGTTCCGCAAGGAGTCGCGTGTGCTCGAACTCTACTGGGAGAAGGGTGTTCCTTCTTCTGCTTATATTCCCGAGGATGAGCGCCCCAAGCCTGGTAACTCTCGCGCTGCTCAAGCGGCTGCTGCTGCTCGTGAGGCCGAGGCTGCCAAGGAGCGTGCCCGTGAGCGCGACGAGGCCATGCGTAAGCAGACGGAGACTGGTACCATGTCTGCGGACGATGTTGACGCTCTCTTCGATGACGATGACGAGGATGTCGACGAGGTGACCGAACAAGTTGCTGGTGTCTCTCTGAACTCGGCTGACCGGTCGACCCAGAGCATGCCGCCGTCGCCGACTCGCAATGGCCACCACCAGCAGGGACCCCACCGCACCCGCTCCGATCCTAAGATTGCTTCGAGCACTAGCGATGCTCCTGAAAACAAACTCACCAACAAGGAGAAATACCTCAAGCATTTCAAGCTGAGAGAGGAGGACGGAGAGTTCATCCAGGACGTCACTGAGATGACTCGCGTTCCCATCATCCTGAAGACTGACCTGAGCAAGAGCCCACCGTAAGCTACCCCCACCACGATATCCCAGACAGATCCTCACTGACCATTCCTCTAGATGCCTCACTGTTCGGTCTGTCAACCCTTACGCCCTGTAGGGATAGTCTCATAGATGGTTTATCCTCTCCTTGGGACATATTATTGCATGCGTATCCTGCAGATTCTCTGGGCCGTCGTCAGATTCCTGTACTTTTGCAGACCGATTTGACTGACCATACCCACGAACATAATCCTCACCCCTAGGCGCGGATCGAACATATCATTATCGAAGACTTCATTGTCTCTTGGTACCCCCCTCCGCTATTTTTTTCATCGATCGGTTGCTATTCAAACCCAATCAATGACCTCAATTCCTTCATCCCCCCTATGTTCGAACGTCCTCCGGGGCTCGTATACTTCCTTTTTTGTTATATGCTGTGCAGCGGTTGTTTGTCTTTTTTTGTGAGCATTTCAAATCTTCAGGAGAGAAAGAGAAAGAGAAAGTATCCCATGCTTGAGCTTGTGTCTCGGTCTTTCTTTCACCCAATCGAGGTCGTGGTCATCATTGATTGATTGCTGGAGAGATTCGAGGGGAAAGATTGTTGCTCGATAGTTTCCAAAGTGGAATTCAATTAATCCAGGTATTTACATAGTTCTTCTGTGTGGTGATCGTAGACAGTAGAATTGGTAGCAACTACTACTAGTAGGTAGTAGAGGTCGACGTAGAGGTCGACCGTGTAGATCGATTTCAAGTTAAAAGGGATTCTGCTTGATTACTACTACTACTACTACTACTACTACTACTACTACTACTACTACTACTACTACTACTACTACTACTACTACTACTACTAGCTCCTAGAGTGTACAAGGGCTCGGATCGATATCTTTCGATCAGCAACAATAAGAAACTTGGAAGGCCACACCTCCCAACTGGAATATAGTCTCGAAGCACCGCTACTATCTACAAGGATACACACACACTGGTAACTTTCACCTTCAGAACAGCCAAATAACAAAACCCCAGTATCAGAAAATGCACAAAAATAATGATTTCAACTCCGAGTTCCTAGACTACAAAAAAAGCCACATCTAAGTCCTGAACCATCGCAGGACAACCCATGGGTATCAGATTAAAATCACATCCGGCTCCGACCATTTATGCCGCAGAAATAGCCAAAAAAAAAGAGAAACAAGGCCGAGAAGAAGAATAATGTGATTCTTCCAGATATCCACATCTTCCCAGCACTGGCAAAGCGCAGCGCAGCATCAAAGTCTCCGCACACCGATCCTGGGCTTCGCCTTCGGAGCACCCTTTCGAGTGCCGGAAGGACCCTTCTTCACTAACTTCTGGATCGGAGCCGTGAGGGATGGGATGGGCTTGATTCCTGTTTTGGCGTTGAGGAGGAGAGGTGCTCGTGCTGTATCACCGCGGTGCGGGCTTGGTAATTCGTGGACATTGTGTGGCATCCCGAGAGCAGGAGCAGTTCCGAAACGAGATGAGAAATCGGAGACAGTGCGGTCTGGGACGTCTTCGTAGATTTGCAGGTCATCTCTGAGTCGGAAGGGGGGGATTGTTTGCGGGGTGGGTGGTGGTAGGGGTTGTTTGCTGAGGAAGATGCGTTTTGGAGATTTGCGCGGGGAGCGAGAGCGGGAGCGGGTATTTGGGTGGTGGGTAATTGTGTTTGCTGTTATGTTTTGGTCGGAGGTTGATGGGTGGTTATTGTGGTGGTCTTGGTCGTCGTCTGTGTCGATGATCATCATTTCCGCATCTTCGTCTGGGTATTGGAGGGAGAGGACGGAGAGGGGTCGTTTGCCGGGGGCTTTGCGAGGGCTTGGTGGGGTGAGGGTTTGGTTTTGTCGGGTTGGGGTTGGAGAGAGGGAGGGGTTGTTTTCTTTGCTTGCGCTGGCTGGGTCTTCGTTTTCGCTATCGCTCATGTTTTCGTCTTGAGATGGTGTGAGAACGGTTGGTGGTTGGGATGGGTGGGAGGATTGTTGGTTGGTTGGGAGTGGAGGGGCAGTTGGAGCTCTGCGGGTTGATTTCATTGTCGTTCCGGTGTTTAGACGGGGGTGTTTGCGAGGTCGGGGGTGGGCTGTTGTCTCTCTTTCCTCCTTCTTCTCCTCCTCGGAGATGGAGTCCGGATCTTCGCCTCTGTATTTTGCCTCTCGAACGGCTGTTGCGTAGTCCGGTGGGACGGGGGCATGGATGGAGGTCATGAGTTTGGCTTGGTGGGCGAAGGTTTGAAAGTCTTCTCGTAGGAGATTCCCTGCACTGGAATTGAGAGCGGAGTCTGGGTTCGGATTGATGAGGAGGCATGAGATTGTCTAGCGGAGAGAGGTCAGCACAAAGTATCGTGATACAACAGACGAATCGAAGTCTTCAGCTTTATAACTTACTACAAGGACATCACGGAGGGTCAGTTTTGACTGCCAGTCTCGCTTCAATGTATCCACGCATACTGCGCCTGTGTTCTCTTCGACATTTGGGTGCCAGATTTTGGTCCGGAAGGTCGCCTTAGGCGGGCTCTTGGGGTAGTCTGCCGGCATCTTGAGATGTAATCGCCATAGACCCTGCGAATATGGAGTACCCGCCGGACCAGCTAGGAGAATGGCGAGCTGTGACAGGTCATCGGCGAGGTGGCTGTCAGCTGGTGCCAGCATGTAGTACGGTGGTAGCTCGTGGTGGAGGGCAGCATGGTCTGCTGCCAACCGGCGCAAGTTGGAAGGCTGAATAGAACTGTTAGAGATACTGTGATAGCTGCATTGAAGTAGCGAGCACTTACCATGACGAGGATGATGCTGCGATTGCGATGACGAAGTTGGTTGATAACAACAAACAGAAGAGTTGGTTACTTCAACGACGGGTTGGGGGCTAGTCCCCTTTGGGATCACGTGTTACGCGACGCGACGCGTTTCAATTACATCCCAATTAGGAAGGACTTGCACGATTTCTCTCTTGACACTACGCTCGATTACACCCTCTTACATTCTATTACACAATATTGTCCTTGATTGTACTTTGTTATCAGAGTTCTCCGTATCTTCAGAAGCCACAATGGACAGGGAAGAGTGGATACATCACATTCCATGGAGTGGATCTATCTAGTAGAACGGTGGAGATGAGTTCTTGCCCAGTGCATTGCATTGTGTAGATTGCAGGATTAGAGTTGGATGGAGCAGGTGGATGTATCTCCTGCAATGCAATGCACCTGACTGATATCTCACTCTACTTCTACTTCAGATCGATTGCCCAGGGGTAATTGTCATCGATTGTCACCAATCTTCTCATATTGACCACGAATTAAGCTAATCGTACCTCAAAACCATGAATGTAAAAGAGTAGGATCAAGAGGCAGAGTAGAAGATGCAAACACCATGAACATGCCATCACATTCACTGCATGATAAAAACGAAAAATCACAAAAAGTTCGAACCAGGGCCCATAGATGATGGAATTACATGTCCCCCCAAAATTAATAAAGTGTCAAAGGAAAGGAAGAAAAGAATTATCTCGCTTGCATTTTTCATATCCCTCGTCTCGACCCGGGATAAGGAGTATTCACTATTCCCGAGTCGAGTCCGCCATTCAAATGTATCCCAGCATAGCTACAGATAAGTAGCTCGCTTACAGAACGAAAGCAGCCAGGGCAGCACCGGCGACGAGACCGAGGCCAGCGGGGCCAGCAGTAGCAGCGGCACCGGTGGAGCTGGAGGAAGAGCCAGTGGAAGTGCCAGTGGCAGTTCCAGAGGAGGAGGAATCAGTCGAGTCGGTGGAGGTACCGGTGGAGGTGCCAGTGGAGGTGGTGGACTTGGTGCGAGTGCTGGTGGTCAGGCTCTTGCTGCCGCTGGCAGAGCTGGAGGCAGAGCCAGATGCGGTGGACGAGCCGTGAGCAGAGGAGCCGGTGGCAGTAGCGGTGCCAGTAGAAGTGGCACTGCCAGTCTGACCGGGGTAACCAGAGGCACCAGAGGGCTCAGAGGTCAGACCGGCGGGGATGCTGGCAGCGGGCTCCTGGGAGGTAACGGCGGCAGCTTGGGAGGTGACAACATCAGGCTGGCCAGTCACAACACCGTTGGAGTTGGTCTCGGTCAGATACTGAGTGGCAGGGTTGCTCTATTAGGTCTGAAGTTAGGGACATGGACTCGAGATGGTGGTTGAATGTTGGATACTAACCTGAGCAACAACACCCTGGAGGGCGAGAGCGGAGAGAGTAGCGAAGACGACGGAGTAACGCATTGTGAAAGTGATTAAGTCAACAAGTAACGAGTGTTGAATAGATTAGACGGAGTGAACGACCGTGGGGTGTGAGGGTGAAGGTGAAAGTGGAAATGGAGGAGAGTTAGGGTAAAAAACAAAAACAAGAAATGGGTGTCCAGGAGATACGACATGGTCTTATATGCCAGCCCCCGGCCCTGAAATGGCATCAGCTCTGGCCAGTCAATGGACCAGTGAGCATGCAGACTACAGCCTGGCTGCAGTTCTAGTGCGGCGCTGGATCTGCAAGGTCGGTACTGGGCTGCTATTTTGGTTTGGTCCGTCACACCGGCTGCCTGCCGTGCTGCTTCGATACGTAAGCCGTTGAATATTCAGTGTTTACGGAGTATTCTGTACTGTTCCATCACTTATTCCCTCTGTCATTCCTCCTCAAATCTGCTGATGCTTGGCTAACTTCCAAGTTTAGCATCGCCCCACACCGTCATCTATTCGCGGGACCCGAGTCGAGTGGCGTTGTTAGTCCGAAAGTACATCCTGCCGAGCCCCAAAGGGAAAACAAGAAATTAGGGGTGGCAATGCCTCCTCTCCGTCCTGCCTGAAGACCCTTCAGCCTAATCTAGGGTCACAGTAACCCTGAATGCTGCGTTGTTGACTTTGTATCATCCGGGGTATATGGTACCCTCTTGGGTGGACCGCGTGGAGGCATACGAATCTCGGGCTTCGCCAGCCACTCACCATCGACCCACAGACCGACGATCCAAACATTTGGCCTCCTCGGTCCCAAGTCCGATTTTCCAGCTGTTAGAGGCTAGACCTATTCTCGATCCTCAGTGGCGCTGGTGAGACAATAGAGACCACTCTCCCGTCTCCAGCGATCAGCACCTGAGACATCACATTGACCATTCGTTTTTTGTTTTTTTTTTCTTAGCACATACGAGGGATAGTTTTCTTTTGTTGTTGTCTTTCGCGATGTCGCGATCGACCGAGAAAGGATCGCCTGCGTCTTGCACCTGACCCAGTCGGCATGGCGTTTGATTATTGCAATATTCTGTTGATCCTGCCGCAATATGCAAGGCCCTTCCCTTTTTCTTTTGTTTTTGACAGAGCTCCACTTCCTGCTGCCCTACTGACTCTTCTCCACTCACAAGGCATAGATCGACATTGATTTGTCTTGGAGAAAGACAACCCCGACCTATTAATATACCTACACTCCGTACACAGTGCGTTTGTCAAAGTTTCATGCATTCATCGCGAGACCCTACTCCGTACTCCGTACAGTGCCATCTTGTCTCTCCCGAAAAAATTATTCAAGGAATTCTCGAAACATGCCTCAAAACCCTAAGCCCCTACCCAATGTCCAGTCTGTTTGATCCTCCGCACCGCCTTCCGCAAATCCTCCATGTAAATATCATGCTGTCGCTGCTTGATACTCTGCGGGATCCACGGGTACATGAGTCGAGTAGACGCCACAAACGCCTGATAAGCAACCCGGCTCGCGGGAGTTGGCTGGAGATCATATTCCAGCGCCAGACGCTCCGGCAGCCAGTTGACAGTGATAATCCGCGCTAGCGGCATAGATGCAGCCACACCGAGCGGGAGGTTGGTTGGATACAGCAAGTCCCGACTCAACTTCCGTGCCATATCAGTGACCTCCAACGTGGCAATATTATGATCCCAATAAGTCCAGAACTCCGCCAGCGTGGCCGGCCACATCTCTGGCGGCATGCGGAGTGACGTTCCGAAGATAGCCGACTCTTTGAGCAGCACCTCCATCTCCGCGTCGGACATCTTGCCGAAGAAGGCTTCGCGCACTAGGATTATGCCAAAGAAGAGAGTCGCTGCTGTCCACTTGTGTAGCTCGGGGTCATTTGCGTCGTAGTCGTCGCCCTTGACGCGCGCGTGGTACTTGTGGATGACGGAGAAAATGGCATGCTTTTCCTCGGGGGTACCGCATACGGCGGCGTTCAGGAAGCGCGCGGTGTTGCGGAGGCGTTGTGGGATTCGCGTCGCGAAACTAGAGTGCTTATAGCTGCCCTTGGCGAGGGCGGGGTGAGCGAACTGGCATAGGATGGCTACTTGCCCTCCTAGTAAGTAGATGTCATTCTCCACAACGTTCCGGAGTTCCTTTGGTTCTGTGATGGGTTGGAAGATGGGCGCTGTGTTTGTGGGTTTCACTGGGGTCTCTTCATCGTTCGACATTATGATGATTTCTTTTGCAATATTCTCAACGATTGCTGTGCTCTATACCTGGCCTTTGCAGTTCATGCAAGGCGTGTGTGGAGATATATCAGATCTTCTCAGTAGTGGAGCCGCGGACCGAGGATCGCGGGATGGTAGATTCGTCTAAGGGAAAGGGTCTGAAGATCGTGTGCTGTCCACTCTGCACCTGAGCATATGAAGTTGACACCTGCTATTTGGCATGAGCGGCTTACAAAGTTCTAAGATTTCCCTGCGATCGAGGTTCCCCGTGATGCCCATCTGCGACGAATCAATCTCGGGAAGACTTTCCCCTCCTTCCAAGCTTCCGGCTGTCACATGCTGGGGGAATTCATAATTTGTCGATCACTGCACATTTCCTCTAGGCACTAATTTTCTTTCCCGTCGGAAAGCCCTTTCCTTTTCGCATGGGAATACTGTCATGACTCATTTCTCTACTGTGGTCTAACTTCGATGAGAATTCTCACACATAATCAATCTATTTCCCCCTAACAAACTGAGTGCATAGTTAACGAGGAAGTCCCGTTGCTGTATGTTCGTACTGCTGACTTTCAGTAGATTAGCTTAAACTCACTCCACACTATCTGGAGGCTGCGTCGGTGGTATAACATAAACAGACCTGTAATATCGTTCTAGAAATATTGTATCTTTGAATAAGCCTTGACAACTTTCTCAGCGGCAAGACCTCGTGACTCCTTAAGAGCTGTAAGCATGTGAAATGACATGTACCTTTAGAAAAGGCCTGCTTCAATGTGATCCAAGCCTGCTTTTCATAGGCTGCTGCGTCTCACTCAGACTTGAAATAACTTTGATAGCACGAAAGCCCCAGTTGCTACGTAAAATACTTAGTGTTGTTTCCGGAGCGGGTAGAGCTGCACAAAAAGCTCTCCCCTGGTACATTACAATAGTCTACCTCTCAAACCACCCGTATTCATTATACGCTTATAAGCTTATTATTTTCCGCACTATGTCAATGCCAGCGTCAGTGTCGGCGTCGGTAAACGTCATCACAGGTAAAGTACACATTCACTGTGTCCCAGTGACTCGAAGCTTTAGCAGCACGTATTCACCTGAGCTAAAATTCTGACGAGTACCACTTGACTGATCAAAAGTGAGCTAGTACAGACACAAATCGAGCTCCGAATCATGGAAAGAAAATAACTCCTACAGGAAGCCTTTTCAATACTACGTTCGGCAACAAATCTCTTGGCATTGTTTAAATTCCCACGATTGCGTAGAAGGGTGGCATTAAGGACCCCATGTCGCCTATGCCAGAGTCTGGAGTGGTACATCCGAGAAACAAGTGAATAATATTTATCTTCAAGTTACGTGGGGGATAAAGTCTGTTTAGTTTACGAAGGCCGCAAGCTCCCATAAAGCGAAACAAGACCTTCCACAGCATTGTGATATTTGAAATTGTCATGTGAGCAGAATCTTCGAAGAGGCGCTCTCAAGCTTTTAGACCAGCCTCTTGAGACCCTTAGAATGCGAACTTGCATGCTTGCATGCTTGCAGCTCGGAATCTGACCCCGTATCATTAATTTCAGGGTTCTAAAGTTATACCCTACCACTGTAGCTTGCTTATCCTGAGCTTCCTTCTTTTGGAGGAATAGAATAGCGGGGACACATCATATCTGACCGGCCTTTCTGGATTAAATCGTCCGAGTAAGCTGAATTATGGTCGAGGGGTTGAGAAACAAGAAGGAACAGTTGTATCGCTGGTTAAGCCTTTCATAATTCACATCCAAATTTGTTAATCACACTGACCTATCGATCTCATATCCAGTGACACTAAATTATCTTATTTCTCATCCAATATGATTGTCATATCTATCTTCATGAATATTCTTTTGTGCCTTGCCTCTTAGCCACGGCGAGTGCAGTACTGGCACGCAGCGAACAGGGAAGCAACTCGACCCGGAGTCTCGTGAAAAAGCTGACCTTGTCTGTGAAATTGTGCATGTTGTAACCACTGTCGACTGCTGGTACTGGCCAAGCCACGCTAGTACCTGACATGGAAATTCAAATTACATCGTGACCGCGTTTGCGGGTTCGACCTATCACAACTTCAACTGCTATTTGAACGGCCAAACCATTAGAGGAATTGCGTAAGAATATTTTGCTTTACTAGAGAGATATACTGTAATACATGATCTTTTTTAGTGCTTGGGATTATGCCAATGACTACGACTGCTTCGTTCCCGGGTATTATACTGATTCTCATTGTACCCACGGTATGTCTTGTCTATTTGTCTCCAATCTCTTTTTTCGGAATATTCTAATCTAATAATTCATCGAAGCGGCCCTCGAGACATGTCCCTTTTAGACTCACCGAGCTGGGATTTATGGCGATCCGCGATTTCGGTTTGGGTCTTGGGTGTTGAGGTGCGCTGGCGAATTGGTAGTTGCTATGGCTTCTGGTTGGGCATAAATTGCTGGAGGCAGAAAGAGGACAAGATGTTAGGTTTGTTTCACAACACAATATTGAAAGGAAGAAAAGCGAAAAAAGGAGAGTAAAAACGAAAAGAAAGTCTTTTTTCAGGGTAATAAATACTATTTGATGCTCTGAGAGAATTTCCGATTTAGATTTCATACCCTAGAATCCCCAAGCGGAGTCAGGGAGATTAATCTGTTATATACCGGTCAATTATTCATACTTGATAGATATAGCCGGTAGGGAATAGAGTATGGCTTACAGGGTCGGATATCTGGATATCCGACCAGCAACGATACTAAACACTTACCCCAGCCCGGTACTTTGCTGGTGATTATTTGCCACTCTCCGTCAGAACTGCAAGAAAAACAAAGACCAAGGGACGAATGGGCTGTCGGAAACAGGTAGTGAATTTAGTTGAAAAGCTCCTATTTGTGGAAGGATTTCGGGCTAGCTTCGTAGCGACATATTCAACCCCATACCCCGCAATCCCCGCATCTACCATACACTGCATGTTGACATTTGCATAAAAGCGATATTCCGCGGCGGAAGAGCGTTCATCCAAGATACGTATAAAGAAGCGAGTCACATAGCTAGATTAAATAGCGAGTCCTCAGGGCTGATTCGAAGTCACTCCATTTACAACCGAAATGTTTCATGAATTGATTATATTATCCCTGCTATGTCTGGTGGCAGCAAGACGTGCAGAACAATTCAATGAATCCCTGAATGTTAAGCTTCCAATATTCACGGTTCAAGGCGCCGTATCCGATAATTCCTCGTCGGTCCGCGTTTTTCGTGGTATCCCTTATGCTGAGCCTCCTCTCGGAGACCTTCGTTTCCGACCTCCTGTTACCAAGAAACCCGTATCCGGTATCATTGATGCGACAAAGTACAAAAATATATGTCCTATCTGGAACCAGGGAGGCCCGAGTGTCTATAGCGAGTACATTACTGGCGATCAACCCTATTCATACTTGGAGCAAGGGGAAGATTGCCTTCATGTTAATATATGGACTCCTATCAATGCAACATATCACAGCAACTTGACAGTCATGATCTGGATTCATGGCGGCGGGTATATCTCTCTACTCAGTAACTGCCGAGCTCGCATGAGTCAAACTAATAAACCTGTGAACTAGAAATACTGGTGGTAACGCCGCTCAACCATTCAAAGAAGGCACTTTCATTGCTCAGAACCAAAATGTCATTGTAGTCTCTCTAGAGTAATCTATTCCCTGGGCTCCTTTTTCCGAATCGGGAAATTATTCATTTTGCTAATTTTGTGCTTTTGCTAGCTACCGATTGAACATTTTTGGCTATCCTGGCTATGTACCCGCATTCGGAGGTAGCAATCTGAATCCTGGCCAGCTTGACATTCGAAAAGCCGTCGAATGGACCTATACATATATCAGATTTTTTGGAGGAAATCCAGAGAGTATGGTTCTCTTTGGGCAATCTGCCGGTGGAGCGAACGTTGATTACTATAGTTACGCCTGGTCGACTGATCCCCTTGTAAAAGGGTTTATATCAGAAAGCGGCGTCGCAGGATCATTTGGGAATTTCGACCTGCCTGGTAACAACTGGACGTATGTGGTCGATCACTTTAACTGCACTGGCAACCAAGACCAACAGCTTAAGTGTTTGCAAGAAGTCCCGTGGAAGGACTTAATTGACCTCTCCTACTCTTACAATACCACATTGAATGATGGCAAAAAACTGAGTTTTGGCCCCCAGCCGGATAACCAAACAATTTTCAGCGATTACAATGATCTCAGGCGGCGGGGACAGTATGCAAAGGGTGTAAGTTCGAATCAAGCAGTTTTTCATGCTGGAGCTGAATCTAGAATAGGGCTATCTAACTGGTAACAACGCAAATGAGGGCGAAAGTCTCATCACGCCATTTTCTGAAACAAGTGGACCGAATCAGACCTTGGTTTATGTTCAATCCGATCTACTTTTCAATTGCGCAAGCAATTCATCAGCAACGTGAGTCCCTATTCTCGGCCGGATCGTGCGATAAATACCTAACATCAATTCTCAGTGAGCGCTCGGACAATGAAACTCCGCAATGGAGATACTATTACCGTGGGGTGTGGCCTAATCAAAACCCCTTCTCTTGGCTTGGATCCTATCACTCGAGTAGATTAACCTCGAAAATGTTGCGCATGAGTCTTGGCTGACCTTTGTCTCAGGTGAAATTCCTCTGATTTGGGGCACCGCCGAAACCTGGGGAGGTAACAAGCTCGGTGGTCCTAATACACCCGAAGAGGCCGCTTTTAGCCGGTACATTCAGAAGGCATGGGCAACCTTTGCTAAAGATCCCATCAATGGTCTTTCCAGTTTAGGCTGGCCAACGTACAACATAAACGAGAATACATTGATCCAGCTAGCGTATAATGGCTCAACAATCCCACAATTCGTGAACCCTGTGGTGGCTGATGAGAACTGCACTTTGCCAGGACACTGTATGTTGATATTTCCATTCCAGCGTCGAGGTTATTATTAGCTGATAAAAGTCTAGCGGCCTAGCGCCTGGAGGGTAAGTCTTGCTAAGAAAGGGGCTATTACCTATAATACATTCAACATGTGAAAGGAAGGGGTGTCGAAAATTTGAGAGATGATTTGATTAAAATTTATGCCAGCAAGATAGCAAGTTCTCAAGATGAAGAAACGAAAAATCATAAGGTAATTTTTATGGCTCGCGTTCCGCAAAGAGTTTGTGCGGTTTAAGATCCGAAAATTAAATTGCAATTGGTAATGTCCAAATATTCCATGAATCCTAGTACTGAGATCTTGAATCTGGATTATTTTTAAAACTGAGCAATCAAATCCCGCATTCAGAATACTAGAATAATCTGAAAAAAAAGAACACAAGCCCCTGACAATAAACAAGACGGGGAAACAGATCAGGTACTTCAAGCTCCGATAATACGAGCTAGACAGTGGATAATTTTCTTAGCAGAATTCTGGAATGAAAATATTGAATCCCATGGTAGCAATGAAATTGATGTAGCCAAAAGGATGTGTTCCAAATCTATTTCAGTTCGTCACATCGCACTGCAATTATCTCCAAAGCAAACACCTCTCACCAAGACTCAATCGACTTGACTGCAAGATTAACTCACACAACTCTCTATCCCTGCTGTGATATTATCGTGTTTCGGGTTCCTGCTGAAAAAGGAAGACGGGTGCTTATTTAAGAAAATTACACTAGTACCCATTGATATTATTAACACAATAATTTGGCAGCCTCTGAAACCCAGGCTTTCTTTTGCCCGCACAAGTCGGGCCATTTCTTGGTAATGGTCAGATAAAACTGCAAGATAAATGGAGAGCTCGAGGAACCAAAATCTTACATCGTGCCAAGAGTGCATGAATAGCCGTCGGTATCAACAGCGAATGAGCCCGCATTTGTTTGCCATTCCTTTCTGATCGAATGAGCCGTTCCAGGTCCTTTACATTGGCTGTAGCAGCTCCCCTTGAAGTTGAAGTCATGGCACACTCGGATTCTGACACAAACCCTCGGCTCAAGGACTGTAGTCTCGGATTCGGCTTCGGGAATGGCTTCGGGGATGGGATTAGGGTCGGCTATGGCTGGTCAATAGAAGTCCATATGGATAGGATTGATTCAAGTTGGATGAGTGGTTTGAGTCACCTTCAGCCAAGGCCACGGTTCCATTGGTCAAGAACCCCAACATTGCGATCAAGGCGAAGAGTTTCATTTTGACGTTTCTTGTGATCGGGTAGAGGCCTCGTGTATTTGATGTAACCTTCAAATCAAAGGCTAGTCTGAGAGTAACTATCAGGGTATTTATAACCTTCCAGAAATTTCATTATTATCTGTGTTACATTATACTCACTTGGCCCTCACGCCGTGATATTTTAGTTGCATAATCAAAATGTAGACTTTACAGTGATTAACGCTCAAACTTAACATGAAACCCAATAGCTAGTTCAGCAGCATAATACATACAAGATCATTACAAGAGGCGTTTCAATTTTTATCTCGCCTGCAGAGTCTCTGCATCCTTGCCCTGCATATCTTTGCCGCTTCTCGCATTTTTAAGGCGGTTGGTTGCCTAAGCCACACCATGTAACCACCATGGAGAGTTGATGGACCTTTCCAGGTCGCCAAGCTAAAATTCATGTCATTTGTACCTATAGCCATGTATCGCACAGCCTCGTATATGTCGCTCAATATCCAAGCATCCCACGTACTGGCTCCTACTGCACATCTGTTTTAGTAGAACTTCAGCCAACCTGTTGAGAAGGGCCTATTAGTTTCGCGATACATGATGAGGCAGTCAAAAAAAATCTTTATTTAATAGTACTCTCTACTCCCTTCATCGGCTTTAGTTGCTTATGCATTATTATCTCCAGCTTTGATAACGAAAAGTTATTTGATCCCCAGAATAACACTCGGTAGTTAGCAGGCTTTTATGACTCATAGTTTTCGAATAACAAATCAGATGTCAACAAACCAGCCCTCAGAAAAGCGTCGTACAGACGATCTCTCGTGTCCGCATCCTCGCTGGACAGACACCTCTCGTCCTCATTGGAAATATCCGAGGTACTTCCCATATCTGCCGACAGAATAACGTCATGCTTAGCGACAATATCTTTATACAAATCTGCCCAGAAACCACCCGAGTTGAAAAATGGCGTGTTGACATTCACAGGCGATGGCCCTCCGAAGAATATGGTCACACCAATGGGGAAGAGATAGCCCGGTAGGGATAGAACCCATTCAAAGAGAGTTCCCATCCGTAGTCCCTCACCCTGGCGAGGCCCTCTTGATCTCTTAAGGCTCACTCCTTCAGCGTTCACACTCCTCGTTATTGAAGCAAGTGTAAATGCCGGTGGTTGTTGGGTCAACATGCGTCGCCAACTTGCTTCAGGACGAAGATAGGCAGACTCTTCTGTTGGGCGGAGAGCAATATCGACGCTTGTGAGGTCAACAAACTCGGTTGGCTGATTGATGGATCGGTCATTTTTGGGAATTAATGTCGGAAACTTGGTCGCTAGAAGCGGATTGAAGATCGGCGCTAGACTTGTTTCTGTTGTGCTGATTGGGCGAAGAAATAATTTCGCTTGCAGGGATGGAGTGTCTTTGATGACGGCTCTCCACATCCGAGAGACTCGCTGGGCGGAAACAAGCAGCGTTTGCAGGTCTAGTTCTTGCAGGACCAAGGTGAGGATCTCTGGCAACGCGAGCACCCTAGTCTGCGCAGCCATCTTGGCACTTTGCATTATTGTTGGTTCTGGAATGAAGTACGCTGCTGGTCCGTTTCCTAGTATGATGAAATGAAGAGACTAAATTAATCCACAGCATTTAGAAATAAAGGTTGTCAGCTGGGCCTGGGCTGTGCTATCAAGGTGAAGGTTGCCTAGTCAGCCGCATGATATGGGGTTGTTTACGCGTCGAGTCCGGTCGCAGCCTACGATCACCAAGGCGACCGAGTTTTTATAACTATCAGCCATCGCTACCATTGCCTCAATCCTGTAGTGAAGTTGAATTTAGTACTTAATTTTTTTGACAAATATTCCAAATTTTAATTTTCTACGGTGCATGTGTGGGTAGTGCTTCAATTCAACAAAGTAATCATCAATCTATCTCATTCAGACGAAAAGGCTTGTGTAAGTAGTCGCGTCACTAATAAAGCAATTCTGTCTATAAACTCTTTTGGAAATACTATATTATAGATATTAATAAACTTAATCTCACGACAGAGTTGCCAGACCAGAGCTATCAACGTTTCCATAGATCCACTGGCTGAAGTTGCTTGGGGCGGCCTGGTTGCAGGGAATACCGGAACCCTTCTTGTTGACGAGATTTGTGCACTGGAACAGCTCGCGCTGAATATCGGTGTCATAGTAGGGAAGACCAAGCGAGGCGTTGACGCTCGTGATGTTCACATTGTCGAAAGTGATGTTGGGGCAGGGACGCTCATCGGAACAGTAGAGAGACGCAGCAATGTTGAACCGGGATGTACCGCGAATATCTTGCCACTTGACGTCTTCAATCTGGAGCTTCGATGTGTTGCAGCCCTTGTCGGAATCGGCCGAGTAGACACACTGCGACATTTGAATGGGCAGTCCCACATTCTCCATCGTGAAGTTGCGGAAGGTAATGTTCTTGACCAAGCCGGTACCACCACCACCCCAGTCACCATTGCTAGGGGTATAAATGCGTGTTCCTTGCCAAGTCTTGATGTATGCACCGTCCATTGCGTTCTTGATGTGAACGTTTTCGAAGGTGGTGTTGAGGTTGTAGTCGGGGGTCTCGGGGTACTGTCCAATAGATCCAATTGTGATTCCGGTACCACCTTCACAGTAAATGTTCTTGGCGTGTAGGTTTGTGGTATTTCCCTTGGCAGCAATACAATCATCACCTGTAATAATTGTAGCATTTTCCACAAGGAGGTTGTCACTCTGCCAAGAGTCGTAACCGTCACAGTTCATCGTGTACCACTCGCTATCACTAGTAGCGTTCACGAACAGATTGGTCATAGATACATTCTTACTCGCCCAGACAAAGGTGGCCCAAAATTGAGGTTGGATGATCTTGAGCCCATCAACCCACAAGTTGGTTGAGTTGTAGAATGTCATACTCATCGGACGTCCAGGCTGGTTCGATTCGTTTTTGTTTGCATTGTACCAAGCTTGGCCTCCGCCATTGTAGAAACCGCCCTCGCCGTAGAAGTTCACGTTGGTACCTCCAAATAGCCAGGCAGTGACTTGATCTTGCAGAACGACACTGATGGCATGGGTTCTCCAGTAGGGGATGTTGGTAGAGAAGCGCAATTCTCCACGAAGATGAACATCGCAGTTCAATAGGTTGGTTGTATTGAGAACGGTGTTGACATGGAAGACGTTCTTTGAGAAGATGACAGTGCCGTTGGTGCCACACATCTCAAATGCTTGCTGAATAGATGGCGAGTCATCAACAGCCTGGCCATGGTGGACAAGGGATTCAGGGTACAGAGTGCATGTTGTGCCTTGGTTGTCAACCCAGGCCGCAACCAGGGTGACCCAGAGAGTAAGTCCCAATAACAAATTCATAGCTGTTCGTCTTGAATTTGTAAAACCCTAATACATAATATCCTACGGCGGCTGGCAACCTCTATATACTACTCCAATGCACGATTGCATGCGGTATTTCCCGCCGTATACCCCCACAGACATGGAGTTTGTCGACTCGGACGTTACATCATACTATCCACAGTCAACTATGGTTAAACAAATAGCCTGCAATTGCATATTTTTGTCAGGGAAAACGGCAATTGAGATGATTTATTTCAAAGGCCTAGTCAAGCGGGGTGACAAGGTCGGCTATTCTCCGAAGTTGATGATTCGTTCCTTGTTCAGGATGTCAGTAAAGCCCCGCATCTCCAGCCAGGGCCTTGGCGATAAAAGGCTTAGCTTAGGACTATCTTCTGGCATTCTAAGCCACTTACGGTATCCGGGGTGATGATCTTGATGTCTTTCTCTTCCTTTCAATAGAAACTTACCTTGGATATTTTGACCTGATCCAGGTATACAGGCATCTCGGGATATTGCTAGCCCGAATGGCATGCAGATTTCGTCGCACGCATAGGGAATTTGTTAAATGAGGATGAAACGGGAAATAAATTGACTCCCGAGTCTTCCTCGGGCTCTTCGTCATTAACTAAAGACCCCCACGGGACGCACAAGGGCACCCGCACCCCGGAATTTTCCCGAGACGAATTTTGCGCTGCAATATCGGGCCCAACCCCCGCCTCGTAACGAATTCTTACCCGAGATCGGCACCTGCTAACCTCCCCGAAATCGAATTGATCAGCGCAGAACTCGGCAATGAATCCATTCACTCCGTAGCCGTCCGTGAATGTACTCCATACAGCTTCTACTCTTCAGGTAGCCATGGATGGCGAGTACCAGCTTTTGAACCAAATTAGATTTCCAAAGGATAAAATGGTCCTCGTAAAAAAACCTTTATCCACACCAACGAACTCTTGAGCCTGTCGAAAATTTCGATCGAAATCAACCTACGACGCTCAGTATGCCCCATCGCGCTTGTGCCATTGAGAGATCGGACTCATTTCGATCGGCCGCGGGTAGCTGCTTTGAATCACAGGACCAGCAACCAAATTCAAATTTTCCACTTTCCCACCACCCTTCTCCAGTGCCCATAGACTCACAGCAAGATAATTTTCACCATGGTAGTCCCAAATACCCTCTGGAACCGGGAAAATATCTTGTGGTCCAATATTATGAATCCATTTGCCAAATTGATACCCATTTACATAGACCTGGCACCGGATACTGCTGGTTGTGTCGGTGCTGTTTGCGAAAGATAACGAAATCGGAATATCGTATCCAGTCGGAATGTCAAGTTTGAAAGTGGTCGCGTAGAATGCTACTCCTGGTCCACTGAGCCCCTCCATGGGGCCCAGTTTGCTGTCTTTCCAAGAGGAGATCGGAGCACCTGGTAGATGGTAGCCTTGTCGTTCGGCAAATAGTCCTCCTGCAAACGCGTTAGAGACTCTCGCGTGACACACTTCTATGAAAGATTTTGCTCCTACCTTCGTTCAGTGGACCTCGAGTGCGATCTCTAAAGCTTTCTCCACCCAGGTTGCCGGTGATCTTCCAGGACAAATCCGATTGATTGAATCCGGAAAGCGAATAGTTTAAAATTCCACGTGGGGTTTTCATGTCGCTCGACCCAGCTGAACCATTTTCCTCATATCCCATCTGGTCAATCAGAATAGTAATGGTATAGGTTTCCCCATTTTTCGCTGGGAGATCAAAGGCTTGATTCCACGAATAAGCTGTGATTTCCCCAGAAAATGAATCCACAAAGGTCTCGTTGAGCCATATAGAATGCCCATAAGCTGATCCGCCCTGGGTTTCTAGGCGGAGGCTCTTCCCTCCATTTGAGGTGAAACTGGTCCGGTATATGAGATATCCTGAATGGAATCCATAGTCCGAAGCATAGAGAGATATCGGGGTACTCAGATTGCGCTCAGTATTGTTGCTGCTAGATAGGGAAGCTTTTGTCCAGCGGCTATCATCGTAGTCTAAATATGAATAGATCAATTTTGGGATCCGTCAAGAATGGTGGATAATTGGCTGAATCTTCTGACCTTTCTGTATTTCTGGCAGAGCGTCGAGTACCTTCCAGCCAGTCTTTGAGAGGTCTGGCAAGGAGAAATCGGGTCCTTTGAAAACGACTGTAGCCTTTACAACGCCATGACTGTCTTGCTGAAATTCTGTTGGCGCATTATTCACTATCAAAGACTTGATATCACTTTCGGCACCGATGATCTCAATCTCTGTAGTAGAATTAAAATCTCCCATGAGATGCAAAGTGTTATCCGTAGCTTTGATGTCCCGAATCAAATACCCAGCCTTGATTATAGGAGTCGAGAGGAATGTAGTAGTGTTGCTATAGTTTCCCGAGACAGGATCGCTTGACAGATCAGTAGACCAATAATTGTAGGCAGAAAAGCGATCTAGCGATAATCAGAAGAGGGAAATTCATCTTTCAAGAGGTACTCACCAAGCAGGTAAACATAGAGACCGTTCGATAACTCAACAATTATTCTCTGATCACTCACAGTATACTGTAAGATTGTTGAGCCCTGCTTCTGGTCAAATTTGATAGAATGCTGGTCTCCCTCCAGGATGTGAGGGGTTCCACCACCGTGAATCCCGAGCTCATTGGTCTCGCCTGGCCCGCCATAGACGACGAGAATATAGCGATTTCCAAATTTTCTCCATGTGAAAACCTCCGCAGTCGAGTATAGCAGGTTGATACCACCAACATCGTAATCTGTAACATGGAATTTCGAATCGCGGCCCACAAGAGACAAGGATCCTCCGAGCTGGGGTATAGTAATATTTCCTTTACTCGTTGGCAGTGTGATATGATACTTTTCTGTGGACGTCTCAGTATAATCTGCATGTCGAAGAACAAAGAAGTTTGTTTCATTTCCAAACAATGCCGTCGTTGCGATCTTCATATTTCCAGTATAGGAGCCATTCGCATGGGTGTTGTTTTGCGGAATTGCAGTCGCATAAGCAGGAGAGGACTGAAGAAACATCGCCTGTAGCTTCAACTCGCTAAAGTTCTCCCGCTCGACGGTTCTCATTTCAGTGATTGGCGCGCCGTAGTCATAACTGGTATATCCTTCTGGGTATCCCATATTTCCCCAGTTAGTTCCGCCAACACCCATATAGACGTTGAAAATGGTGACTCCAAAGCTATAGAAATTCTTGAAAAAGACACGCTGGTACTCTGGTCCCTGCCTTGCTGCTGTCTTGTTGTAGCCGTATCCGCCCCAGGGATCCCAACTTCCGCCCTGACATTCAATCACCGAGTACGGCGTATTGGGTGCCATTTCTTCGTGCAAATCCCCATAGTTAGTCGGCAATGCATCAACCGGCCATTCTGATATGTCATCATTGAACCCTTTCACACGTTTAGCTTCACACTGATCCTTCTCCGATGCTGGTATATATGCCACTTACCCATAGGGTAGCTGTCATGCCCGTAAATCGGCCATTCGGGAGGTCCCTGGTCATAAAAAAACCCATGTGGGCTATTATCGTTGCTGATGAAAGGAACAACGATACCAGCATCACGATATTGTTGCTCGACAGCACGGAAATAGACAGGGTCTGGAAAAGGCGGGTCTCCTGATGAATACTCGTTCTCGGGCTGCACAAGAATCACGGGTCCCCCGTTTGTTATCTGCGCTTTCGCAATAATCGTGCCGATGCTGGAAACATAGTTTTCAGTTGCATCCATGTAAGTCGAGTTCCGCGTGCGAAGTCCTGTCGGAAGGCGAGCTAGCCATCCTGGAAACCCACCGCCGCTGACTTCTGCATTGATGTAGGGTCCAGGTCGTGCGAGGAGATAGATACCTTCGGTCTGGGGTTAATCTTCTGATTATTCTGTAAATATCCAAGCACACGCTCGATAGCTTACCGGCTGTCTTTGCCGCTTCGAAGAAAGGCTCAAGTGCAAATACTCCCTCTGTACTGAAATCACCCTCTTTACCCTCGAGCAGAGCCCAGTTGACGTAAAAGGAGACGCCATTGAATCCCATAGCTTTTACTTTCTGGAGTACATCCAGCCATAGCCCGGGGGCTGGGAGGCGGAAGGGGTGGAATTCCCCAGAGAAAAACATCACGCGCTGGCCGCGAACCATGATAGAATGCTTGACAGTTGGATTAGACTTTAGTTTTTTTCAAGGTAACTTCAGGTTGAAATTGGGAGTTTTCATACCTTATCCCATGTCACAATGTCCTGAGATCCTCCACCAAGCGATGCATTCGAAGCAGCAACCTGCTGCACGAAGATGCATGCCACTGACAAGGCAGCCAAAATAATTCTCAAAATCATGATTCACTGAGAGCTGGAGTACTACCCCAAGTCTTCGACGCAAACGAGCAAAATCTCTCACGAATGATGTGTCCGACTGTTTTTCCAGCAGGCGAACCGAGAAGTGAATAGTTGATTGGAATGTACTAATATCTCTATAAACCGAATTTTGCGGCTTCCTAGTAATGCATTTCCTGGTCGGGGTATTCTTTAGCGAATGCAACTGCACAGACAGTGAATTTTGAATGTAGAGTTTGGTATGTAGTAGATCTGCATCCTCGCACTGACGCTAAGCCCGTTCAGTCAGGAGGAGGAGAAGCCCAACGGCCTATGCGGGTCTACCCCAGAAGGCATAATCGCGCCGTAAACATGAAATTGGGGGGGGTTCTCCTCGAATCGACCAACAGAATCAATGCACTATTATTAATATTGCGACTTCTCGGGTTAAATGCCGCCGAACATGCGTATATGCAGTACAACTGGAATTTCTAACAAATGGCAGCGGTGGCCTGTATTTTTCTCAAGTAGTGTATTCGCAGACACGATGAAGTGGAGATATTGTCCGATTAAATCTATTATGTATAATGTAGTGGAGTTATGGGCCGAGGGCAAAGTTGAGAGGTAGAGGCCGAGAAGAGAGGGGAGAGCTTGAATGAACCTATCTGTCCAGCCCAGTTGCTTGACACTAAAATCCCGAAATTAGTAAATAATGTTTTGATGAGCAGAAGCTTAATACTAACCATTTGCCAGTACATGCCCTTGCTGCGCAGTAGCTCCTGATGCGACCCCTGCTCAACGATTGTCGACCCATTTCCATTCTGACTCTCTCCAAAGACGAATATGACATCCGCTTTCTGGATAGTTGCGAGTCTATGTGCAACGGCAACGATTGTCATACTTCTCCGCCCAGCTAGTCGCTCGAGGGCAGCCTGGACGGTCTTTTCAGAATGCGAATCGAGACTAGATGTTGCTTCGTCCAAGAGTAGGAGGGTCGGCTTTCGTAGCAAGGCACGTGCGATGCAGAGTCTTTGTCGCTGACCACCACTCAGAGCTGTCTGGGCTTTTATCCCTAGATCTGTTGAGTATCCCTCGGGAAGGGAAGTGATGAATGTATGGATCTCAGCATCGATGCATGCTTGGATTAGTTCTTCTTCGGTATATTCCGAGTTGTCAAGCCCGAGAGTGATGTTGTCCCGGATGGAGCCTTCAAAAAGACGCGGTTCTTGAGCAACCAAGGACAATGATCGGCGATAGGTAGCTTTGTCTATGTTGGCAATGTCTTCTCCATTGAGAAGAAGAGTTCCTTGGAAAGGATCGTAGAATCGCTCGAGCATCGAGATGGTCGTTGTTTTACCACAACCCGAGGCACCAACGAACGCGACAAATTGGCCACTTTCTATATTGACATCAAGACCGGTGAATAGTGGCTTCTCCTGGGAGTCATACTTGAAGGCGACATTTTTGAACTCAATATGTGCTCCAGATCCACAGGATTGATCAATCTCACGCTTCTCAGGGCAGTTCTCAGAACTTTCCAGGGAGGGGCGGAAGTCCAGCATTCTGTTCGCGGCAGCGGTTCCCTGGGCAATGTTGGGTCCATAGCTGAAGAATTGACCAGCTTGCTGTCCACCTAGAATGATGGACATGTAGACAACAAAAAAGGCAGTGGGCTCGTATTCTCTAGATGCGAGTAGCTGGCCACCATACCAGAAGGTGAGGGCCATCGCACAAAGCTCAACACTGTCAGAGAATGCAAACACAAGAGTGGCGTACCAGGCTTTCCGAAAAGCCTTATTCTGCTGTTCTTGCAGCAGAGTCGAGTAGCGTTTCAAAATAGAATCTTCCATCGTCAGTGCTGAAACGGTGCGAAAGGCCTCGATGGCTTCAGCAGCGAACTGAGAGCTACCCGAGTAGACGGCAGAATTCATCGCATCAAATTCCAGCTCATACCGGATACGCATGTAGGCGGCAAGGAAGACAAAAGGAAGAGCAGCGAAAGTGGCCACAAGACTCAATTTCCAGCCAAAGGAGAAAGCAATTGCAATGCAACCGATCATGCTGCATAGAGAAATGACGGGGAAGACCCCGTTGATTCCGATCAGATCTTCGATTTGCTTGGGGTCGGTGGCCAGGCGTGAAACGAGAGATCCGGAGGCATTATCGCTCAGGTCGTAGAATGGAACAGGCTTTCTAAGAATATTTTCAAAGTATTCTCTTCGTGAGGTTGAGGACATTTCCTATGATATCGTCAGTTCTGATTATGCATTTGGACTTGATTTCACCGACGATAGCGAGTCTGTTAGCCGAAAATCCAATTGTTGCGTAACAGGCTGCAATGCCTAGAGCGAGGACAAAAAACCACAATGCCCAGAAATTGGCGGCGTCAACCAGTTTCTGATCCGTAAAAGAAAAGACTTGAATGAGCTTGGCGAAAAGCCAACTCTGTAGAGGGTAGGCAGCTGGTCAAATTAGCTTTAGCCAGGCGAATGAGTCTCTTGAGGCAGTACTTACAAGCAGCGCCCAAAATTCCGAGCAATGCCAGCAAGAAGAATTTCCAATGGCTTCGTGACTCGTACATTAAAAGTCCAACACTTCTGAAGAAGCCACGCTTGTCAACTTTCTTCTTGTTGTTTTCTTGTGAATCTTCCAAGGCCGTCGTAGAATAGTCAATCTCTTGCTTCAAGGCTTCTGTAATTTCTACCGTATCCTCGTCGTCATCCGCAGCGGTGTCGAGTTTCTGGGCATTGACCAGGCCTCTGTAAAGGCCTTCGTCCATCGCTAGAAGATCATCATGGGTTCCTTCTTCGACATTCATGCCTCCTCGGAGAACAATGATTTTATCAGCCCGCCGAACAGTGGAGAGCCGGTGAGCAATCACAATAGTTGTTCGATTCTTAGAGACACGATCGAGGGCTGCCTGAACAATTCTTTCCCCACGGACATCGATGGCGCTGGTGGCTTCATCTAGAATCAAGATAGTCGGTTCTTTAATGATGCTTCGGGCTATAGCCAGGCGTTGTCTTTGACCACCGCTCAATTTTGCGCCATTCTCGCCTACCAGAGTCTCATATCCCTATAAAATGTTAAAAATGAAGACAAGAAGAGAGTAGCCAACTAGGTTTACCTTTTCCAGTCGATCGATAAACTCGTCAGCAAATGCTTCTCTGCATGCATTCTTCACCATCTCCAATTTCACAGAGTCGGACTCGTCTTCCCACTCGGTGCCAACCAATCCAAACGAAACATTTTTGAAGATTGTATCATTGAACAGAAATGGCTCTTGCTGCACAAGCCCAATATTAGATCTCCACCACTTGAGATCCAACTCTGCAATATTGCGCGGACCGACTGAAATACCGCCACTTTCCGGCGAGTACCACCTTTCTATAAGTGCGACGATCGTGCTTTTTCCCGATCCAGATGGGCCCACGATGGCAGTTGTTTTCGCTCGTTCGAATCGCGCATTCAAGTTGAAGAGAATTTGCGTATCCGGTCGTGCCGGGTATGAAAACCGAACATTTTCAAATACGATATCTCCCGAAGCCAGCGCGTCTGTATCCCGGTCTCCGTCTGCGGCAATTCTCTCCGCGTCGATTATGTCGAAGAATGAAGTCGCAGCACTGGCTGCTTTGGAAATCATCATCAACGGCGACGCGATACTTCCGAGAATACTCACAGCGATCATGACGGAAAAGAATACCCTGTAAAAGGGACGATTAATTATGGAATTAGCCAAGGGGAAAGGTTGCAATACGTACGTGATGACTGTGTCAATGTTCGGGATATGGCCCTCCCGAAACAGTTTCAATCCCAACCAAAACGCCAGGGAGTAGCTGGCATACATGGCGAAGAAAAGAAGGCCAAATTGAAACCCCATGATGACAGATAGTTTGGTCCCTCTTTTGCGCGATTCCTCGACCCACTGACAATACTTTTTGGCCAGGGGCGCCTCGGCACCAAGTGAAATCACTGTTCGGATGGATCCAAAGACCTCCGCTGCGATCGTTGAATGCTTTTCATTCGCTTTGTCCACCTCCTGCTGGATCTTCATAATCGCCGGAACTGTTAAAGAGCAGACGATCACGATAAAGAGGATGGCCGAGCTAGTCGCAAGTGTCAGAGCCCATGAATATTTGAAGGCGATGATATAGGCCGAGATCAATAGCGCGAGTGATTGGAATAGAATTGCCAGTTTATCGGATATACTTTGTTGAATTGAGTTCGAGGAGGTAGTGATTGCATTGACAACGGTGCCGACTGAAACTTGGTCCAGTTTGCTGATAGGCTGAGCAAAGAGAGAGCTCATGTACTCCAGTCGCAATGCTGCAGAGACTCGAAGACTAGTAACGCGAAAGCAGTACTGCAATTAAGATTTGAACCGATCAATTTCAATTTCCCGTGGCACACTCATATTGCGGGGGTTTTCATACCATGGAAAAATAAGTCAAAACGAACTTTGCAATGAAAAGATAGACAATAAACAGACTTCGAAGGTTAGCCATGTAGTACCAAAGCAGTAATTATCAATTTAGCCCACCTTAATCGACTGACAGAAGCTTTGAATTCGCTTTCAGTTGTGGTTGAGTGGGGAAGAAAATAGTTCCCGAATTTACCAACCAGCTGACCGAAAATAATATTCATCAGAGGCAGTGGCTGAGGACAGGTTAGTCTCTTTTCTCGGGTAGTATTCGAAGATAAATCAAGGCACAGTTAACGTACCACTCCGGAGGCCATCGAGGATATCAGAGCGACTGCCAGGACCATGCGATCTTTGATAGTCAAGTAGGACAGGATTCTCTGGGTAGTGTCAGCGATGTAGTTCCATGAATTATTATCTCAGACATCTCGATCGTACGAAATAATTTCCCAACGAGGCAGCTTGCTCGGCCTCATCTTTCTTCTCCTTATCCTGCTTGGAATCTTCATCGACCTTGATAACATCAAGTTCCAGTTGTTCGTCATCTGGTGAAGATGAAGAGGGAGGCACCTCCGGTGTATTCTGCCTCCCTGAAACAAGAGCTTTGGGCTCATCTGGAGAGGCTCCCATAGTCAGAAGAGTTGATTTTTGGTATAGGATGGATGAAGAAAAATCACCAATAAAAACGGAGACATTGAAGAGTTATATTCAGAACATTCTAGGCAGGACCTCAGGCTGCAACCTAGCGGCTATCATTTAGTGTACACTGCCAAGGGGATCACCGGACAGAACAATACGAAAATACCCGGACATAGCTAGTGTATCAAAAATTCCCTTTACCCTGATTGGCCCACATGTCTTTAATGACCGTCATAGTTAAATTGACAGCATGAGAGTCATAATTCACGGGGCGCCTGGTGATTCCTAAACAGGGATAGCGCGTCCCCTAAACAGGAATGGACATTCGGGGTTTCGGTATCACCGAAATCCCGGACCCACTCAACACGAGCGACGTCAATGCGTCCAATCAGAGTGAAGCAAATAGATTAGGGATCTTTTGGTCTTTCGGACTTTCGGGCTTTTCTCTTTCCCCGCAACATCATCCTACGTGAAAACAGAGACACCGTAATAAGTCCCAAGATGGACACAGGCAGTGCATTAGCCAGAATCTCGGTGAGAATTTTGTCTTGACGCGTGGCTGGATTTGAACTGACTTAAGGCTATTCTAGTGCGGACGCTGTCAATCCAAGAAGGTACTGAACCGATATAGTCTTGGCAGCCATTGCTACGAAATAGTGCAGCCTGGTTAATTGAAGTGCAGATTCGTTGCAATCGAGTCACCCCCCCCATTGTGACAAATGTGAAGCTGTGGGAGCGCATTGTATCTACTCAGCGCGAAAAGCACGATCCAAGAAAAAAGAGTATATTATTCTCTACCTGGGAGCTAACCTTAAGTACTTCTAGCGGGAATTGAGGAGCTGACAAACTATCGTAGGCCCGAAATTTCCGAGAAGAGACTTCTCTTAGAAGTTCTCAGCCGTCTCAAACGCCTAGAGGAACATTGCGGCTTGGAAAATGTTTCCAACACGCGCACCCAAGGCAATGGCGATGACGACGATTCAATGTCCATATCGTCCTCTGTAGAATCAGACGACGATCGAAATATGGCCCTGGTGCAAGCGAGAGACACTCCAAATACATCCTTGCCAGTTGCAGATATACCAATTCCGATTACGCTAGTCCCGGCTGTGATACATAACGTTGTCAGCCGTATAAAAGACGAGGGTAGCCGATCCATGCTCCTCTCCAATGTCTTTTGTCATCTGCGCTCAGTAGAATCCTGCTTTTTCGAGAACGAACAATGCATTCGTGCCGTTACGTCCGCAATGTTGGAGATCGATTTCATGCAAAGCACGCAAGAAGCCGAGCCGCTAAGAGACCCGGTCATTCCAAAGGACCTAGCAAGGAAATTTATTGAAAGTAAACCATTCCTCTCTTCCCTCTTCCAGCCGTGGTCTTCAAGTTATTTGCTAACAATGGCTAGATTACTATGACTGCTACCAATACGAAGGCTTCAAAGTCCCCCTCGAGAAATCTTTTCTATCTTCCATCCCGGATTTGATCGAGAGTCCTCACGTCAAATTGGACTTTACTGTCCAAATAATCTACTACGCCGTCCTTCTTCAGGGAATTGTTCTAGACCCGGACGCCTATTCAGGAAACAGGGGTATCATCCGAAATCTTTATCTAAAATGCGTCGCTCTCAGTGAGGACTGGCTGGCAAATATCCAAGATACCCCAGCGGATCTCTTCGCAGCTCTTTCCATGGTATGCATGATGAGATTTCAAATACAACCAAACACGAATAACAGTATCTTTCATCACGATAGATCTCAATGGCCCTGGAAGGCTGTAACACCGATCTATCCTGGAAGGCATTTAGCCAAGCATGCCGGATATCAAAAGTACTAGGATACTTTACCATCGACGAAACGCCACTCGAGAGCCCCAACCAGCACCAGCAGCAGCAGCAATCACATCTTCCAGCACCAGAATCACAATCCCAATCCCACCCAGAAACAACCCCCCACGAAACCGAAATCGAAAAAAACCGCAAAAGATTCGAATTCTGGCACATCCTCCGCACAGATTCTCTCTTCCGCACATCCTTCGGCAAACCAACCCTCATACCACCCGGTTCCTGGGCTGTAAACTTCCCAGACACAACAATAATAGGAATCGACTCCTCGATATCACGCTTCATCCAAATCCACTTCCTAGCCTCAATGCGCCTCGCCCTAATCGTGATGAAATACCTAGACTGGATCGACAGCGGCACAGCATCTGAGTCCGAGCCCGAGTCAGACGTATCCCACGACACCACAATTGACGGATTCATCAACGAGGTCCAGTCAATACTATTAGACTGGGACACGGTTTGTCCCCCCCCCCCCTCCGTCCCGTCCCCCAATCGCGCACGCTAGCTGCTAATCCCATCTCCTCGCATCTAGGAGAGCCTCCTCCAAATAGCAACAAACCACGTCGACATCTGGTTCTGCGTCGACATCCTATTCAGCAGCTACAAAATGCTAATAATCCTCTACCAATCAAAGAGATGCAATCGAGGCCGCACCCTGCCCGCCGGCGCCGTAACAATTGCCAGAAAATCCGTCACCAAGTTCCGCGCTCTTCTGGGTGTGTCTATGCACGCTTTTTGGGGAATTAGGTACGTAAAACGTGGTGCCTTTTCAAAACTTCAGCGTCTGGCTTGGTGACTGATTTCGATTGAATTGCAGTATTATATTGCTACACCAGTTCGTGCCGTTTTTCATCCTTTGCTTGGATATCCTCGGGAATCCGGATCACGAGTGTCTAGACGAGGATCTTTCTTTGGTGTCCTGGTTAAGCGAGTATGTAGCCGTCGTCGTTGAGGAACGCGTTGAGTTGAGGCCGATTTTGATTATTATCAGGGCTATGGTGACGGCTTGTGAGCAGACGAGGATGGATCGGCTGTGCGCGGGTGAGTAGTTGTGCCGTTCCAGGAACCACTAGTTCTAGAATATGGTGAAAATACAGTATGTACATTCATGGAGTATTCTAAACCAATTTCTAAATTTAGACAAAATTTTATTATAAATATTGTTTTATCTAGGTATTTTATCTATCAATAAATATTACGCGTTAATAATGACACAACAATAAAGACGCGTCAATGACAAGATCTCAAAGGTTAGCAGAGAAGGTGAGCGGAGAGATTAGTACCCATCAATGTCAAGATCTTCAAGATGAGTAGTAGTAGAGAAAGAGAAGAATCTTGGAAGTTGAGAAGAGGAAGATAACTACTAGTAAGAAGAGAAAAATCAAGAGTCTGGAGCTCTGCAGATATAATATAGTACCTGCACCTATTATTTCAAAATTTAGCAGATACAGAAATTCAAGTTAAGATAGTACAAGTTGAATACTACACTACAAATACTAATTATATCTTCAAAAGATTTAATATCAATACCGTGACTACTACTACATAATTATCATATTTCTACTATTTGTATTTTAGAGATATGGTGTCAGCTACTGTACCTAGGTATCCTGGATATAGTTAAGGGATCTTGACAACCTTGAAAGGAAAACTAGATTGGGAATTACCTATCAGTCTGTTCTATTCGATTTAACTATCCAGTGGAACTTCCCGGGTCCACATTTCTATTTCTATTTCTATTTCAGTCTAGAGCGAGCAAAGCACCCGAGGCCTGACATAGTCTATAAACAAAATCCAGTCATATTCAAGAAAATGACCGCTGATGCTAAGAGATAACAACAAATAAAAATAAGCCATGAAATACCACATAGCCAATATCAAGATAAAAGGAAATGAAAAACAAAAATGGAGGGGTATTCAACTATGCAACAATATCCTCGTCTATCAATCATCACAAACACATATCCTTGCGCCATGTGTTCATTTTTTTCCTCTTCTTCTCCCTCTTCTACCACGAAGCCCATGCAACCGGTCCCTTGGGGAATAGGCGGACCAGCAATTTGCGCAACTCGTCCATAACGAGGACGCCAAGTGCGAGGCCGAGGGGGATGAACCAGTATTGGATTGGCACGGGGGCGGTCTGGAAGAGGGACTGGATACCAGGGACTTCGGTGACGAAGATGGCGATGATCAGGGAAATGAGCATCGCGAGGGGAAGCCAGGGGTTGCGGCGGGCGGGGCGGATGGGATCGGCTTGGAGGATAGACATGCGCTTGCTGCGGACGGAGAGGACGTTGCCCCATTGCATGATGACCAGTGTGACAAAGTAGACACACTGGCCGGTATTAACGAAGCTGTTCAGCTGATCCTGTGAGTAGCCGTGGAATCCGTCTGTGAAGTTCTCAAAGGAGAAGACAAGATCGGAGAATGGGATGCCGGCTGCTTTCCACATGTAGAGGAAGAACATGGCGTGGGCACTGAAAGCCTCCATGACACCAACGAAGAGGTAGGATTGGCCGTAAATGCGGAAATTGATGAGGTGGTCTTCTTTAGGACGACGAGGTGGGATGCTGAGAAGATCGAACTCTTCCTTTTCCATGATGATCGAAAGCGAGACGAACAGATCGGTAAAGACACAGATAATGATCATCAGGAATGTGCTCAGAGGAGAAGGGACTCCGAAGAAGACGTTCATGAGCACAGGCCAAATTTCGGACCAACTTCCGGCGGGCAGCAGGTAGGCGATAACCTTTTGCAGGTTCTGGAAAACAAGTCGGCCAAGACGAATAGCCTCCACGATAGAGTCGAACCCACCCAGGAGAACCAAATCGGCCGCTTCAATCGCCACGTCGCTACCAGAGCCAATGGCAACACCAACATCGGCGGAGCGAAGAGCGGGAGCATCATTGACACCGTCGCCGGTGACAGCAACAATGTTTCCTTTGGCCTGGAGCTCAGATACAATTCGGAGCTTCTGCTCGGGGCTAGTACGAGCAAAGACAATCTCATCGTAGCCGCACACGGTGACCCACTCATCGTGTGTCAGCGAAGACAGGCTGGTACCCTCAAGAAGCAGGCTGTGTCTCGAATGGGAAATCTTTTCCTTTTCTTCCAAATCCTGATCACGAAGATCGTCGATAGTATCTGGCTCGGCAACACCGTCAAAGATACTGATATCCCTGGCGATAGCAGCTGCGGTGAGACCAAAGTCACCTGTGACCATGAAGAATCGAATGCCAGCGCGACGGCATGCAGCGACGGTTTGGGCTGTTTCCGGTCTGGGGGGGATCAATGATACCAAAAATACCAAGAACTGTCAGGTCATGTGCCCCGGAGTTCATGATCTCGTCACTGAATTCATTGGAGCCAACCTCCTGTTTGGGGACATAGCGGCGCTGGCACAGAACAATGACACGCTCAGCACGGCGAGACAACTTAGCCTGGAAAGCGGAAAACTTTTGACGGGCCTCATCATCCATTGGTCGGACGGTGCTGTGAATTGCTGACCAGTAGGAGTTGCAGCGAGGCAAGAGGACATCCGGTGCACCCTTGACATAAACCAAGTATCCTTCCGCGCCTGTTGGATCCTTATGCATGGTTAACATCCACTTGTTCTTCGAGTTGAACGGAATTTGGTGCACACGGTCATATGATGCAAGGTTCTTCGGAGCTGCGGCGCCAGCACCATCTGCAAGACGTAGAACAGCAGAATCGGTGGCATTGCCGTTGACGATGCGATCGGGGATAGGTCGGTCCATGGTTGTCGGGTCATAGGTCGCATCATTGCACAGAACTGAGGCGCGCATCATGTTGGCCAGACCATGGGAGATCTCCATACCAGCGGCTAGATCGTCGAGGCTGTATTCCCAATCGACCATACCGACAGATTTGACAAACATGCGATTCTGGGTGAGAGTACCGGTCTTGTCGGAGCAAATAACATTCACGCAACCGAGAGTCTCAACTGTCGCGAGACCCTTTGGTAGGATATTAGTCTTCTTCATGCGCTTGGCAATCATCATGAGAGTCAACGCGACAGCAACAGGGACACCTTCGGGAATGAATGCGACAACACACCCCATGACGTTGTTGAGCATGGCAACAACGCTCATGTATGTTGGATGATCCCTGTGCAGCCATCCCAACCAGGTGAACAAGATCAAAAGGGCGAGGAAAACTGTCAAGATGACAATAATAGTAACAAAGCGATTAATCTCCTTCTGGATTAGGGTGGGCTTCTGCTTGACTCCGGCAGTCATCTTCGCGATACGGCCCATAACAGAGTTGCTTCCAGTGAGCACAACAATTCCAGTAGCATTGCCATTGGTAACCAACGTTCCCATCATTGCGATGTTGCGAGTCTCCAGGAAGTTTGCATCGGTAGCATCGGTAGCCCCATCGATCTCGTCAGACTCGCCAGTGAGGATTGCACGGTCGAATCGAACATCGCCGGAGGTCTGCAGCAAACGCATGTCCGCTGGTACTTTATTTCCCACGCTGATCTGCACAATATCGCCAGCCACTAGGTCGGTCGCGGTGATACGAACCAGCTTCTCATCGCGCATGACCAAGGCTTCTGAGGGAAGAAGGTCCAAGATCGAGTTCATAACTTGCTTCGTGGACCAATCCTGGAATGCGGAAAAGCTGGCTTGCAATGTAATAACGATCATGATGAGAACCGCCATGGCAAGGTTGGTAGGAGACGGCGGGTTGCTGAGTGGCTTCCAACAGATGAAGAAGATGACCACTCCCACCCACAGGACGGAGCAGAATCCACCAAAGACATAAAAGAAGATCTTCTTGAGGTAGTTCTCACGGTGATGGGCGATGACATTCTTTCCGTCCCGTTGGAGACGCTGAGCGGCTGCGCTGCTGCTCAAGCCGGTGCGCTGATCGACATTGAATTCCTGGCACACCTTATCTGAGGGTATCGAGTGAAAGTCGAGAGTTTCGAAATAGTCTTGGTTGGGCACTTTCTCCTTGGGTGGCTCCTCGACGACTTGCTTGGGGGCATTCTGCGATTCGGAGATCTGGATTGAAAGAGTGCGAAACTCGATGGGGAAACCAGCATTGGCTGCTGCAGCCGTCTGACTGCTGCTGCGAGTACTGCGGATGGTATCCTGACTGAGGGAGCGAGTGCGCCTGATCCCAGGTGGACGATAAATGGAACGGTTGACTTCGGCATCGGTGGTCGAACCATCCTCGAAGGCAATCCTTGTGGAACGCCCTGTGCGCTCCACATCGTCTGCCTCGATATCGACTTCGGTTTGGATCTCGTTGAGCTTGCTATGAGGGGAGCTGGGGTCCATGGCGAAAGCTGTCTTGGGGGAGGGAAATTGAGGTGGGGGGAAGGAAAAGGAAGCTAGAAAGCTAGCGAGGGGAGAGAGGAAGGCAGACAGCCAACAACCTAGAACGGGTACAGCAGAGGAGAGAAAGAAATTGTGTGTGAGAGATGGAAAGAAACAAAGAGAGAGAGGTTGAGAGAGAATGTGGTAGGTGCAGGCTGAGGGATCTTATGTAGTTCGATGCAGGCACCAACTAACCCAAAGTTGGATGGTCTCCAGACATCAACTCGATCTGGTCGTGACTACTTTGGGTAAACGGGACGAGCAAAAGGAAAGAGAAAAAAAGAAAGAAAAAAACTGGTTCTCGTATCACATCGGAGCCACGCGAGAATCACCACGAGGTGTGCCTGCTGTAGCCCGCTGTAGGCCTACTATTAGCGCTGCATCAGGAAGCCCATTCCAGCAGGTGCAAGCCGCTGCATCATAATTCTCCGAGCTCAGACCTCAGAAGGAATGGAATAGTGGTTCGGAAGGTGGGTCGAATTAAGGTACCTAAGAAGTATAGGAGCTCTCCATAATTTAAGGAGTACCTATGCTACTGGTATCATACAAATAAGTCTTTGGTCCAGGGAAATCCCTCACGTTGACCGTTTGATATCCGCCTGTTACCGTACCTTAACATTTGTTACCGTTATATTACCGCGCGAACCTCCCCCCACCCAATGATAAATCACAATTCATAGACTATTGTAGACTGTGACAATACGTTACTCACCCCAATTCCCTATGGTATAGTCCAGCCCTAAGGATTAAAGGTCTACGCCACAGCAGTCCCTTGGGAATCAAGGGCGCCAGGTTACTCTTTTTTTTTCTTGAGTGAAAGCTTGGGGTGTGAAGAATTTTTACATACGAGAGAAAGAAATGGCGCATGCAATGACTGAGCCACAATAGAAAAATTAGAAAAAGTGGGATCTGTCACTGTCAGATTTTCCCCGGGTCGTCTGCGCGATTTTTTGTCACCAAAGGATAGCAGAACTACCGAGTACTCCGCGAAGTAGGCTACTCTGCGGAGGGTTTCATCTAAGGGAAAATTCTTTCCTGATTTTTTTCCCTCTTTGCTTATTTTTTTTTTCTATTTTCCCTTTCATTTTCCCTTCCCCACTTTGATCTGACAGCTTTCATTCACGGCCATAAATCGCTCAATCCATCAATGGGGAAACTAGCGTGGAAAACAGCCGCGATCATCGATTGCGCGGTTTGCCCGGGCCAATCGGCGTAGCTTGGATCAATGCCAAATAGTTCCCATGAGGCTGGCCTGTCTTGCTTGGTTCTTCGACTAAAACAACCACTGCGTAATCTTAACGATGGTCTTGTGTTCTCCCCTGTCATCTCCCAGCAGGCTTTGGTTCATCTCTGCCTAGAGTCCTCCTGTGTTACGAGGGAATATCCGTAGACGACTCACCCATGGTATCAATTGTATTCATGGATACCCCCGTCATCAATGGGAACTGTTTTTATAAAGGCAGCCAGTTGAATGCCAAACCTCATGTTAAATGTTATTTTGCTATTTAGTTACTATAACTGCACTCTGGATCCTTTATTTTAAGTTTGCCATTTCTTTTCTTTTTTCGCTTACCTTTTACTTGCTTCTTCCTCTTTTCAATATCGTAATCGACCCCATCCATGAAGGATAACAGTCGTCACTACGACGCTTGGAATGGCACTGCTGTGCACCGACCCAAACTCACCACACATTATCATTACGTGACACGGCCAAAGTGGTCGCCTGGCGCGCAAGATGGAAAATCCTCCCAAGGCGCAAGGAAACTTAGCTGGCCCTTCTTTGGCAACGAGCAGCCAGCTCTCGCATCTGTATCAACCGATCGACAGCCATTAGTACGAGAAGATACGGATACTACAACGCCCCTAGACCTCGAACCCACTCTCTCCTTTACAGAGAAGTACGGCCGCTGTCTCGAAATACTACACTACGGATCCAGTAGCACAACCCGTCTCCACGAAAGCAAACCAGCCACTGGCAACTTATCTTCCAAACACAAACATCCTCACCGATTCCACGCAATCAAAGTATACCGCTACAATATCCTGGACTCCAACAATCCCCTCTCTCACGCCCGGTCATGCTCCCAACTCTCAATATCAAATCTCCACCCAGACCACCCCAACATCCTCCAAATAACAGACCTCCTCTACAACGAACGCAAAGAACTCTGCCTCGTCACGCCTTTCTGCGGAGGCGGCGACCTACATGAACTCCTATCCCGCCACGGTCCCCTCCCACCCACCGAAGCAGACTGTCTCCTCGCCCAAATCCTCCGAGCTCTCTCCTTCATCCACACCCAGAACACCGCCCACCGGGACGTCCGCCTCGAAACAATCCTCCTAACAACCACCGGCACCGTCAAACTCGCCGGTTTCGGCAACGGCCACATCAGACGCCTATGGAACGAGTCCGCCATCCAACCTGAGCCCGAAGCATCAGAATCAACAACCCACCCACCCCAACACGCCCACTCCCAACCATCAACCTGGTCATTCTCACTCCCTTGGCTCTTCCCGTCCAAACAAGACCACCAAACCACAGCCCGCGGCAACGGCGACTACTCCAGCTCCACAGCCTCATTCCCAGGAATAAGCATGCCCTACATTCCACCCGAGGGCCTACGGTACCGAGCCCACCGCTCCACAGACGAATCAAGCGACGTCTACGACGGCGACGACCCCCGTCCCGCAGACGTATGGTCCGCGGCGATAATCTACCTCGCAATGATCAACGGCCGTCTTCCGTGGCGCTCGACGCGTCCTCGTTGTGAGGATGCGAGATTCTTGGAGTATTTGAGTTGTAGACTTGATGAGGATGGATATCCGCCTATTGAGGCGTTGGGGAGGGTATGTTGCTTTCAAGTCCCCCCCCCCCTTGGAGCTAAACTTTATGTCAACATATCGTTGGACTAGCTAACGCGGCCCGCGCAGAGACGACGAAATGCTATTTATGCGATGTTGCATCCTAATCCGAAGAAACGGATCACGTCCAAGGATATGCTCAAGTCGGAGTGGATGGATAGTGTTTCTATTTGTGAGGCTGGGGATGCAGGGTATCAAGGTTCAGGTATTTAGGAGCTCTTATCTGAATATAAGGTTGTCTAAGGTAGGGTGGCGAGGTACTACCCATAGACATAGGACGTACAGCACCGTGGGGAGGTATACCAGTGTGCAGGGAGATAACTAGCTTGTCTCAATAACGAAATAATGAAATTGGTAAAGGACGAAGTTGATGTAATAACGGCCATATTAACAATCTACATTTTGTCTTGACCTTCATTTCTATCCATTGGGTGCGGCTAGCACGGATTCGTCAAAAGTCACTCTTGAGTCTTCAAACTCAATGGTTCGTCACCGTCTAGATTGGAAATACTTTACATTTATGCAAAACTCGAAAGAACCCGGAACTAATTCGCAACACCTATCTCACAGCTCTACTCCAACTCCAGCTCACAGCTTCGCCTTGTCTGCCAGAGCCTCACTGACCGGAGCAACCTCAACCATCATCTTCCCAGTATTAACACCCTTGTACAGATCAACCAGAGCCTGAGGCGCTCCCTCAATTCCACCAGGCACAATATGCTCCTTCCGCTTAAGCTTACCCTGCGCCAACCAAGAGCCCAACTCCTGCACAGCAGAAGCATACTTATCCGCATAATCAAAAACAATGAATCCCTTCATCGTAACACGTTGCGACTATAAAACCCCATTAGCATCCATTCACATCTCATCCAGTCCGGCTGGCCCCGGTATGATAAAAACTCACAATAACAGTCATAAAACTCGCCGGCCCCTTCGGCTTGGAAGTATTATACTGCGAGATAGCCCCACAGATAGCAAACCTCGCATCACGATTCGCCCTAGCAAGACACGCATCTAGTATCTCACCGCCGGTATTATCAAAGAAAACATCAATATACTCCGGCGTCGCATCCTTGAGCTGTCTCTTCCAATCCTCATCCTTATAATTCACCGCAACGTCGAATCCGAGCTCCCGGACCAGAAACTCGCATTTCTCGCGACTCCCCGCAAGACCAATTACCCTCTTCGCGCCCTGGATTCGCGCAATTTGTCCCGCGACACTGCCCGTTGCGCCCGCTGCCCCGGACACAACGACCGTGTCGCCCGGCTTGATCTTGCAGACCTCCGTGATGCCAAAGTAGGCTGTTAGACCCGTCATGCCGAGGACGGACATTGCGTCTGTGGGCCGGCCGCCAGCGGGCACGGTGAAGGGTTGGACTTCTTTGGCGGAGAGGAGGGCGTACTCGGTCCAGCCGGAGTATGCGACGACCCAGTCGCCGGGCTTGAATTTGGAGAGGGAGGTGCCGACGGAGATGATTTGGGCTATGCTTTGGCCGCGCATGATGGCGCCTAGTTCGACGGGGGCGATGTAGGAGCGTTTGGCGGTTAGCCATTGGCGCATTGCTGGGTCGAGGGAGAGGTAGTGCACGCGGATGAGGAGTTTGTCTGCGGGGATTGTGGTTGGGAGGGGGACGGTGTTGAGGCGGAATGTGCCATTGTTGGTTAGGGAGGGGTTTATGGCGTCGGTTGGGGGGGTGTTGTAGAGGATTTGTTTGTAGGACATGGTGACGGTAGTAGATGTAGCTCTGGGATAGGTAGGTAGATGTGGAGATTCGGAGTCTGGGGAAGTGGTGGTAAATATATTATTGAGTTAGGGACCTCGGTGCAGGAGGAGTGAGGAGTGGAGGATGGATGCAGGGACGGAGGTACCCCAGATTAGGAAAACTGCTCCATGGACCTCGGCTGGTCACTGGCTGCGATTATTCAACACCTGGGCAGCTGGGCTAGCGAATTAATGTAGTATATCTACTAGTATATACAAATGAGACTTAAAGTCTGAATACTACTGGTAGAATTCCCCAGATCGAAGAACTAAAAAAGTATAAGCTTATCTGAGATCAGGTTGACGTCATGATTTTTATGAGTGTGAGATATATAGTAGCACACCTATGTGCTACTACTATAGTCCATTATATATTATAAACTCATCATTCAAGTTTTATATCCTAGGGTATTACTACTCCAGGCTAGTATTCTAGCACTGCACCAATACTATATCCATCTCTGCTACCTAGGTACCATCATGTCCAACCGGAACAAAACCGACACAGCCGGCGCCGGCCTTGCCCAAGGCTCCTCGACCGGCGCCCCCGGCATCCCGACCGGCCTCCAAGATCAACGCGCTCAATACGATCCCGCCACAACCGGCGTCAATCCAGCTACCGGTGCCCCCTACACGAAATCCGACAAGGGCGCATCTAGGAAGAGCTTCGATGTCGCTGCCGGGGACGATCGAATCCAGCACGCGCCCAGCACGGCCCAACGGGTCCAGATGGAGGAGCAGCAGGAGAAAGCGGCGCGCGATCGATCGAGCAGCTCGGTGGGACAAATGGGGAAGGATGTTGGACGTAAGGCTCAGGGAGTGATGGCGGGGGTACATGTATGATTTACTGTTCTAACTTCTCAAATCACGAATGATTATGCGAATGTTAATGGTAATGCTAATGCTGCCACAGGGAGCGCTTAACTCGGCAGTGGACCGCGCGTTTGGATCGAATGAAAGCGCGGAGTGGAATGAGGAGATTACTCGTCGTGAAGAGGAGATGCGCACGGGCAGATTGGGCAAGTGGACTTGAGCTGTGCGTACTGATGAGGCTGTATGAAGCGCCGAGTCAATACTGGTCAGATTTTAGTAATTAAGCTTTACTTGTCTGGGCTTGATGATGGACTACGGAGTACTTACGGAGTAACCGGTTCCTGGGCTGCACTATTACGTCTTGAGTGGATCGAGTAGAAAGTGTAAAAGCTTGGCAGTATACCGAGTTACATACCTAGTAGCTGCTTATTTTGCTCAGTCTTCTAGTCATTCTACTAGACTGCATACTGTACTCTGCTGTACCATGGGCCAGCTGATGATCCCGGCCGATCGGTAGTTATATTTACCAGTGTGGTCACATAGAGTAGAGATACTACTTATATGAGGATACAGTTGGCTGTATACAATGTATACCAACTATCCATACTCGTATACTCATCTCATCCATCTTCACGTGGGAGCCCTGGAGCAAAATTGAATCCATCCGGCTCAGCCGAAGGCTGTGCTGTGGAACCTTAACGAATCCACCGTTTCCGGCTTATAATCACTTGCCCCCAACTGGATTCATTCCCATTCTTCAATTGACATTTTACAATAATCGAGGATCGGGTTTGAGCTTTGGGCCATCCAAGTCACAGCATTGCAGTCCATTGCACTACACTGCATCACACTGCACCACTACACTACATCATAGTGGACCTGTGGACCTGAATAGCCCGGTTTGGGACATCCTGGGAGATCTGGAGATCCTGAAGATCTTCCCACGGGCACAACAGTTCTTGTACGACCTCATGCCCTGAATCAATCCCTAGGTAAATTCCGGAGGATATACCATGGCATCAACCTCCGACCATCCCGCTCCGGTTGATCTGCCGCAGCTGCAACCCCCACCACCGCAAAATCAATCAATCTCCTACTCCTCCGAATCTTCCTCCAATGTCCTCGCCTCCGATTCCCCTTCGCCCTCGCAATACTCCTCCTTTTCCAGCTCCGACAGCGATGGCGACGACCATATCCCCGGTGCGACCGAGGTCGTCGACGAAGACGATGCCGGTGACGTTGTCGGCGTTAGTATCGGTCGCTTCCAAAGCCGCATGAAAGCCCGTGCCACACCTGCCGAGGAGAAATCGCGTGTGCTGGAACAGCAGGGGGGCTATTTCACCACGGTGCCGGATCAAGTGGGCGAGGACGGCCTCTTCACCTCTGAACTCACCGCCGAACCCGAGTCCGTTGACCCGGACAGCAACGAGAGCACAATTACCGAGTTCGAGCGAGAAGGGAAGACCAAGAACCGGCGAGCGACTGCCAGAAAGCCCGCCACGCTTCCACCCGCCTCCTCCATTCCAGTGGAGCATCGCACGCCGCGTGGCCCCCACAAGGAGCTCTCCGCGCCTGCGCCCAGGTCCGACTCCAAGGATAATGGTTCGAATCAGCGCTCGAGCTTCACCCGGTCCTTACTGAAGACCTCCTTACCACGGAGACCGCGTGCTTGGTCAGGGGAATTGAAGAAGTTCCTGCCGGACCTGGGATCCCTGGCGAAACGGCCTTCCCTGTCTTTCCGCTCGAATAATGGCCCTCGAGCTCGGAGCCAGACGGTGGCCACAGCCGCGAAACGAAGCCCAGAAATCGGGTCAACAACATGCTCTCTGAATCGACACTCGCCGTTGCCATCGCCATCATCATCGCGGACGCTGAACGGCAACGCCGAGACCAATGCCGCTGTTAATCCCTACGAGGATGATGAAGGAGATGATGCGCGGCCACTATCAGAGCTCCGATCGCTCGATGGCGCATCGGCCGTGAAGCATTCTTTCACGCGCCGGCCTAGCGCAACACCAAAGCGGCCGCCGAGTCTGCGAAGATCTTCTTCGGATCAATCGTTGTATCTGCGCGCTTCGTCCACAGCGTCTTCTTTGGAGCAACGACCACTCTACGAGAATGTACATTCACAGGTCAATAGCCGGTTTAAGGCCATCAAGGATAGTTTGCAGGATTCGAGCAGTCGCTTGTTGAGCATGCCCTCCTTGCATCTGCAGGATATTCGTTATGATTGGGGATCGCGCCCATCTTTCTTCAATGAGAATGGTCCGGAGCCAACCACGACCACCGCCGACAGAGGGATCAATGTTCCACATGCTCATACGGCCCCGCCACCTCCGCCGCCGAAAAATAACCCTCAATCGACACATCCGATACTGGAAGAGGCCATGTCCGAATTGACCGGCGATGTGGTGATTCTGGGAGGCTACCGCGGCTCGATATTGCGGTCTGCAAAGCCGCCGCATCGGCAATTATGGGTTCCGATGAAGGTGGGCTTGAATCTGCGTAAGGTTGATCTGGAGGTTGGTTTGACCCGTGAGGACGAGGAACGCATGGAAGAATCGATCATTCCCTCCGGAGTGCTATCCCACGTCGGCCCCGTGGACGTCTGCCGCCGCCTAATGAAACGACTGCGTAAATGCGACAATTGCGTCCGTGGAGACCTCCGGGTCTGGGACTACGGGTACGACTGGCGACTGAGCCCCGAGCTACTCTCCGCAAGGCTAATCGACTTCCTGGAACGTCTGCCCTGCAACCGGCCATCCCTGGACGGCTCATTGAAGACCAAGCGCGGAGCTACAGTCATTGCCCACAGTCTGGGCGGCCTCATCACCCGACACGCAGTGAATCAACGACCCGACCTCTTCGCCGGCGTCATATACGCCGGCGTACCGCAACACTGCGTCAATATCCTCGGCCCCCTGCGCAACGGCGACGACGTCCTCCTCAGCTCACGAGTCCTAACCGCCCAAGTCAATTTCACCTTCCGCACCAGTTTCGCCCTCCTCCCCGAGGACGGCCACTGCTTCATCGACAAGCAGTCGAAAGAGGAATTCCGCGTCGACTTCTTCGACGCGAAGAACTGGGAAGAGTACCGCCTATCACCGTGCATGGGTCCAGCCCTCCAACCCCCCACAAACGGAAGCGTCTTCAAAGACTTCGCAACAATAAGCAAACGCTTCTCCCTCGGTCCGAGAGACTCCCTCCCAGACATCCAGGACCCAAATGACCTCAGTCACACCGAAGAAGTCGACAACGCCTCTGCTTCCCACCGCCCGCACAGCATCCCCAACCTCCCCGACACAGCGCAAGAAAAGGCCTCCGAAGCCCTTCACCACCAACCCCAACCCCTAGAAGGCATCGTCGGCCCCTCCGCCCCACGAAGCAGCACAAGCGCATCCAAAATCTCAACAACAGTGACAATCCCCCCGGCCGCCGCAGCAGAATACCTATCCCGCACCCTATCCGAGGTAAAGCGCTTCAAACAAGCCCTCGAGTTCCAGCCCTCCCACCAATCAACCAACAAATACCCGCCCGCAGCGGTAATATACGGGAAATCCGTACCAACCGTCTACGGCGCACGCGTGACATCCCGCGAAGCGATCAAGCAAGCGGACTGCTACGATGATCTGGCCTTCGCGGCTGGCGACGGCGTTTGTCTTGCTAGTGCGGCGATGTTGCCGCCGGGGTATCGGATTATTAAGAATGGGCTTGTTAAGAGTGATAGGGGGCATGTGGGGCTTTTGGGGGATCTGGAGGGTGTGGGGGAGTGTTTGAGAGCTGTTATTAGGGGAAGGAGAGAGGGGGTTGGGATGGGGGTGGAGGATGCGTCGATGGTGGCTGTTTAGAGTGTGCAGGATTGAATTGGATTTGGGAATTGGGATTTGGGGTGTGTTTGCATTTATATTGCGTTTTTATATATACTTCTTTGATGATACCACTGCCTGTGCATTATGAGTTTGGGGATGATTGGATTGGATTGGATTGGATATGATCATGATGGATGTTTAGTTGATGTATGATAGAGTTGATGTCTATGTCTACTATTGAAGAAAATAAATACTTATACATATCCTTTAGTTCCGATGAATGAGGTAGATTGCTAGAATTCACGCACCCTTCCAAGGTTAGAATCAACTCCAAGCCTTTATCAGAATTATTCATTCTATTGAGACAAGCTTAGTTATCTCACACTGGCATGCCCCAATACCTACGTGTCACAGGAGCCACCCGAAACAATACCAATACTCAAAGATCTTTGTTAATGACTTTTTTGCTTCCCTCTCTTCTTCTCCTCAATCTGATTAGGGTAGAATATGGAGCAGAAGAGAGAGCAGGAGAGAGGGATGAAGAGAGAGAGAATATTCCAACAGCCCTGGAGGATCTCACAGAAACCCGTATGGATACTGGCAAGGCAGCCACGGAGGACTACAATAGTTCAAGCTCCTTCCTCATCTGAGCGTCACTACACTATAAAACGCAACACAATTCAACATGACAAATACCATCAAAATAAATACTTTAAGAATTCACGGCCAAAGAAGCCACAGTTGAACCACAGCAAGGAGGTAGACGGGGCGCTGTGGCCGATCATCCAGTTCAAAGCCTCGTGCATCTTCTATAACTTAGTGCATCCAAAGGCCCGGCAATTTAGTAAACCTGGACTATCTCCTTCAGGGCTTAAGTATACTTACTTCTTGGAAGTACAGAGTGTATAGTATCATGATACTAGTAGTACAGATTGGTGTGAATGGAGCAATATAAATAGTATGTGCCCAGGTGATAACTATGTACTAGTACTATGAAGAGAGGTGGAAGAAGGAAAGGAGGAAGCTATAGTTATAGACGGCTGTCTAACAGAGCTGATGTCTACAAAGAAAAAGAATAAGGAAAACCTTAGGTATATGATCAATTTTTGGTAAAGTTTGAGACCTCCAAGTTTGCTTGCTATATAAACCCAACTCTTCTATGTACGATGGACATTTTGATCTCCCAGCATCTAGCAGACACGAACCCCTAAACCAAGAAACAAACAATATTCGAAAAGGCTGAAACACAAATCATTATTCAGAAAGAAAAGGGCAGAAAGAAAAAGGGAAAACGCCCGATAAGAAAACAATGGCTTGGCTTCACAGACCAAGCAAACAAATCATCACTAATCATCCTGTACTGCCATCATACGTACGAAGAATTCCTTAGGTACTATATAACGGCACACTACCCAGAGAAAGACCTCTAGTCTGTCCGGGAGTTTGCGATATTCAGAACGAGAATATCTGTCGCACCGACCTTGATCAACTCATCCATGACGGTAGCAACGCGCTTCTTCTCCACCATCGAAGAGACAGCCACCCAGTCCTGCTCCTCAAGAGCAGTGATCGTGGGGGCACGCTTGCCAGGAGTAATTTTGGTGGCAACGGCCAGCTCAGCGCGGGGGATATTGTATTGGCACAGAACGAAGCGCTGGGCGGTAATGACACCACGAATACGCGCAGCGAGCAAGTCGAGGATATCCGATTTGGAGTTACGGGACTTGACGAGGACGGCGGTGCTCTCGACGACGGTGTCAATGGCCTTGAGGCCGGCAGCCTTCATAGTTTCGCCGGATTCTGCGGGAGTCAATTAGTCACGCAATTCAAAAGAGAGACAATCGAGTTTTGTTGGAGGAAATTCGTTCAACGTACCGACAAGATCGACAATGCCGTCCGCAACGCCCAGCGCGCAGGCAGCCTCAACACTACCGCCAACATACTTGATCTTGGTCTGCAGCTTCGAGCCCGGCGCAACACCCTCCAGCTTAGCGAAGAATGCGTCGGACAGCGCGGTGAAGCTGGTCACGACGTTGCGACCAACCAGCTGGGAAGCGTCGGTTATGTCGCCCTTCTCTGGAACTTGGACCTGGAGCTTGCAGCCGCCAAAACCGAGGTCGAGGATCTCCTCAACGCCGGAAACCTCGCCAGCGGGCAGGGTGGCATCGTGTTCGGCGACCTGGTCGCGACCAGTGATACCGATGTCAACGCGACCCTCGCCAACGAAGGTGGGGATGTCGGCGGCGGGCAGGAAGATCAAGGCAATGGGGAGGTTCTTCACGAGGGCGATGTCGAGGCGGGTCTCGCGGCGGAATTGAACATCAGAGCCGGCGAGGAGATCGAGGGTTGCTTGTTGGAGACGGCCCTCTAAAGAGAGTGTTAGTAATTGGATTCGTTGGTTGGTGAATGACTGCCCCCGCGCGGAGGTGGTAGAGCAGTGTTGGAATTGGGCACGACTTGCTCTTGGGGACGGCGAAGAGGAGTCTTCCTTCGAGGCTGAATGAGGTGTTAGTGGTGAACTGGTATAGCTTCTTTGTTGGAGTGACTCACTGGTTAACGAGATCCATTTTAGCGGGGTGCGGGGAGGGAATTGAGCGTGAAAATTGATAAAGAGGAGGGATTGGAGGTAGAGAAAAAGAAAGAAGATCGTGTGAATCTGTCAATTGCGCGACAGGAGGAAGGGGAGTGCAATTGAGAATAGAATGGAGAAGTGACGAGGGGAGCTTGTTACGGCAGAAATTGGAGGGGCAGCCGATGCCGGCCGGTGTACCACAGGAGAAGGCAGAGGCGGAGCCAGTGACAGCAGTGGACGACACACGTGTAGATAAGATGGAGGAGGAATTGGGATATGTATGAGTAAAGTGAACACAGTTGAGCTGTTTTTAGACAATTACAATGAATATACTCCAATTTTATCCTACCAAGTAACTATTGGAGTTCATTTTCTACAGAACTCTACTCTACTAAGACCCTCATTCTGCCTGACAGATAAGGCGGTAAGGCAATCAGGCAGTCAGATGTCAACCCCACTATGAGTCAGCATGACTGAGTCATCAATTCAATATCATGTGACTCGAAATCCATGACTCAGCTCTGCTGACTCCCTTGCTGACTCAGATTCATGCCTGTCGGGTCAGGTGTCGACAGCCCTGAGCCCTCGCGTAATTTGGAACCCACACAAGGCAAAATCATCTTCAACCACCAACTTCCGTCTACCCCGAAACTACCAACCTCGTTCGAGCTCACCTATCCCCTCCAAAATGGATTCCGCAAAGCAGCCCGTCAAGCTCGTCAAGGTGACCCGTGTCCTCGGCCGCACCGGTACGTCTATCCTCCAGCTCTCAGCACCGCAAAATTCTCCCACAAATTCGAATTCGATCTCCGCCGGGCCATTGCCCTCCAACGATCGCCGATGGCCCGGATAATACTCGAATTTGGAATCGCGACTCTTGAAAAGGCATCGAAGGCTAACCTTTGTTCGATCAGGCTCCCGTGGTGGTGTCACCCAGGTCCGCGTCGAGTTCATGGACGACACTTCCCGTTCCATCATCCGTAACGTCAAGGGCCCAGGTATGCGATTCGATAACCCCGGTGCGATGCAGTGTTCAGGATTTCCAAAATGTCCAAGAAGAGGAGGAACTACGAATCATCGAAGAAAAACAAACGACACCGATGTCACCTTTGAACGGCAAACCAACAAATCATGAAATTGCGGAATTTTGGATATGGAAATTCTGGACACCCGCATCCCACCAACATCCCACCACCAAATCACGCACAACCCCGCTAACCCACCTACAGTCAAGGTTGACGACATCCTGTGCCTGCTCGAGTCCGAGCGTGAGGCCCGCCGTCTCCGTTAAAAATCCCCACCAATTCACTCGCGCCATGTCTTTCGTCTCTCTTCGTCTCTCACATATCCCTCTCGTCCGGTTTCATTGATCGTTCTTCGGCCAAAACTGTGTCCCACGCTTTTTCTTTCTTGCCGTATCTCTGACTCCCCGACCCCCTCCACCTCAACCGCCGCGCCGCCCATTTGCACTCGCCTCTTTGTCGTTTCGAAATCGTCCTTCTCCGACCTTTTGATGCTCCATCGGACGTGGTGTTAAATTCTGGGTGGATGGACTTTATGGAATAGGAAAGGGGGCTTTTTACCCCTCCTACTCCTTTTTCAGCAAAGTTCCTGAAGTCGATCTGGGCTCCGTACGGGAGAGAGAGATGGAGAGAAAACGAGCAGATTCAATTTTTAAAAAAAGACCCTGTTGATATGAGAAATGAAATGAGGTTGCGCGATCGCTGGTTTGTGGAATTGTGGGATTGGTTAGGTCTGTTCTGGTCTTGGTGTTTTAATACATTTACGCGTCCAATTTGGCGTGTGTGCATGGGCTCAATGCGACAAACGAGGTTGTGATGTGCATTTCTTCTTCTCTTCGCTTTCGTGCTCGAACTTAGAAAGAAGCCGAGACTCGAACCAGGTCTGGCCGACAAAAAGAACAATGGAATCCAAAAAAATTTGAAAATCCGGTTCTGCCATGTCGAAATGGTAATCTGTAGCGCCTGTCGAGTACTCGGTGTAGATTCTATCTATCTGTAGGAGCAAATGTGCTTTCAACTGATCCTCCAAGTCCATATGTGTGAGTGCCCGAGATTGTCATCGAATAACCTTTCGGGTTAGTCATGGCCGGTACTGCGTATAAAACCTAGTCGTAACGACAGCAGGACACTTGGTCCTGGTCATGATCAGAAAAAGAACACAGGGCCTTTGAAACAGCACAATTCGAGTATTAACTAGCACCCCTCATCTTTCAAGGTCAATTTAAGCTCATCCGATACAATGGACAAAGATCAACCGGTATGTGCTAGCAGCCCGACAGCCGCGCCAACTACTTCATGCCGAGGGATCCCCAGTTTCCTCTTGCACCCGATCTGATAATATCGTCCATGGTTCAACCCTGGAAGAACCTTGAAACAATACCATCACATCGTAGTAATATACTAATAACTACACAGAAGAAGATAGTCACCGCAGAGGAATACCAAGAAGCACGCAAGCACCTCCTCACCCAAGAAAAAGCATCAACCCACCTTCTCCAAAAGCTCGCCGAAACCCGCCGCAACCTTCCCATGGTCCGAATCACCAATCCCGCCAGATTTAAATTCGACACTCTCACCGGCGAAAAGACACTCCTCGACCTCTTCGACAACCGCAAACAACTGATCCTCTACCACTTCATGCTCGCCCCGCACGAGAAAGTCGGTTGCGTGGGCTGTTCTCTGTGCATGGACCATATTCCCCCACTAGGCCACTTACATAGTCGGGATACATCCTTTGCGGCCGTGGCGACTGCGTCTATCGAAGAGATTGCTGATTTTGGCGAGCGGATGGGGTGGGAGTTTCCGTTTTATAGCTCTGCCAAAACTCATCGGGCTTGGGAAGAGGCTGAGCGGAATGGGGAGGTGATTACTTGGAAACCTGGGAATGGGTATTTTGGCCTTTGTTCCTTTTTCAGGGATGGGGATGAGGTCTTTCATACTTATGAGACTTCGTCGAGGGGGTTGGAGATTATTCTTTCGACTTATCATCTTCTTGATATGACTGCTTTGGGGAGGCAGGAGGTGGGGAATGGGATGGGAATGTTTCGACGACTTGATGAGTATTGATGCTGATGGGGTATCCATGTCATTTAAATTAGTAGGTCTTGAGTTTTATTCTCAAGCTTTGAAACAAAAAGGTTGTGGGGGATGGGTACCTAAGGAAAAAATGTTCAAGTTTATAGTTGGTTTCTGGATCGTACAAATGCGTATTTATTCAGCTGTCCGAACTGCCCATATTTATAATAAAAAGAAAATGTAGAGATGTCATTGTTTCTACAGCTATAAGAAAAGAGTCTTCTGAAAATAATATGGAATGAACAGAAATACTAGCTCCCTCAAGAAAGACACGCGTCACCAATTTGAACCTGAATGGGCTGCTCCCTGCGTAATTGTACCGCTGTTTTGACCAACTTGGAAGCCACGGTTGTTGTTCCCGAACGTGATGGTATTACTATAGGTGTCCCCATTATTATAGGTATTCCCAGCCGACAGCACTAGAGTGACCTTTGTTTCTTTCTCAACTTGAGCCGGGGCAAGCCGATTTAGCAGGTCCTTAGCATAGGCCGCGGCAACCATCGCCGCATAGCCTTGCCACTCTTTATTTTTGTGGGAATCGGAGTAGTCACAGATACCACGTATCACAAGACAAGGGAAATGATTGACCAAACCAGCTGCTTCCATCTCAAAGCATAGAACATCGTTTTCTTTGACAAATCGATCCCTAATCTGAGCATCCTTCATAAGATTGTCGGCGGATGCGATCAGACCGTAGTGGATCTTGGGATTATCGTCATATCCGGAACGCTCACGTCTGATAATTAACGAGGATTTATCATCGCTGCAAGCAGTATGGCAAGGTGCTTCGCTACCAGACGGATGGACAACATCACTCTTATATAGTCGATCAGTCGCAAGTTCCGGCCGTCCAAATTCTGCTCTCAGCCGCGGATAGTTATTGAGAACTTCGTTGACCATCTCCTCAATCTTATGACCCTTGATCTTGTGTTGTTTGCTGAGTCCCTGTACCGCCCCAAGTAGGAATCTAGACGGTGCTCGGATGAAACCAGTGGGCTTAAAGCTTTCGCCTTGGATTGTCTTGCCAAAGTTATATTGCAGAACGCCAGCTTCGCCTTGACCAGGAACCCCAACAACTATATCACCAAGCCGAATGTCATGCTTTGAGCTTGGTGCACCACCGCCGATGCCAACCATGAGGGCAACCCGAATATTGGCGAAGCTACGGATCATATCCTTCACAACGCCAGTAGCTGAAGATATGCCGTATTCTCCCTTTGGAAGAGCGGAGATGACCACATTGTGCTGCCCGATCCTGCCCCAAGTATAATCGTTGTCGTCATCAGACGATAAATCGGTAGGGCGCTCGTGTGGTTCATCCAGAAATAATTCTGCCGCAACATATTCTGGCTCGATGGCCGAAATCCAGCCCACGCTGTAGTCCTTCGTGCTCAGGCTTGGCATTGTAGAATCCATGGATGAGAGTACTAGTATTAGTACCTAGGTACTAACTTGGGTTGATAACCTTGGAAAGTCGGGGGAGGAATTCAAGGGTTTAAGGGGAAACAAGGTGGTCGTTTTGGCCCCCATCGACGAAAAGCCTCGCTATTTATTCTATAGCGCGTAAATTGTAGTCACCTGATGGTGAGGCTGAACACTGCCCCTCGTTTCAATAATTATACCCTAATCCTGTTTCATACTAGCCGCATTAGAATGGTTTTTGTCCAGGTGTCGTAAGCCCCAGTCTCTAACATGTTTGGATGATAGCTCTACGAATACCCAGCCCTTGTTCCAAATGTATAGTACAACTTTGGAAAACAATCTTCTGAGTCTGAGTTGGGTGAAACTCAAGTCCTAGCATCCATAGTAATAATAAAACTGTGTAAACATCCCTGGCATACTACTCGCCTGACCACGTTATCGGAAACACCAGTTCGATAATACGGCCTCTTCAGCTCCACCTGCAGGCTGCTGGTTGGTTCTGCAGCTGCGTAATTACAAATCCATAGCCAATCGCACGAAGGATCTGATGCAGTTCGATATTCACGCATGCACTTTACTCGTTGAGTTGCCTTTGTTGATGTGGGTAGGCGCTTAGACAATGCAGCCCTCTTCCACCGCCTCTCTGGTGCCCAAGGCTGATTGCAGGGTGTCTACGGTCTCTGGCATCTCTCTTTGCCCTCCATGATTCTGGGACCTTCTAAAAGGTCTTTTTTCTGGGCACATGGTATGCCTTGTTGCGTATCTACCTCGCTAAGTCTACCAAAAACAGAGATCGCTCGAAAGAGTTTCAGGAAAATTTTGACCTATCAAGGCTCAAACACGCCTAACTGCTTTTATTCGCTGCTTCAGATCGCAATGTTGTGATTGTATTTAGCATTTCCATTGCATCATCAGCTTGACCCATTAATTCCCATGTTTCCGCCAGGCCTTCCATGGCAGCTAATGTGTCTTCGTGAGACTCCCCAAGTATTTCTTTCCGTATATTAAGAATCTTCATCTGCAGTGACAAGGCTTCATGCCACCTCTCTTGCTCCTTATAATTTCCTGCCAACTGTCCCACATAACGCAATGTAACTGAAGCATTCTCACCATGTTGTTCGGTTGCCCCTTTCACAAGCTTGGCTATAATCGGCTCTGCCTCATTCAGCCTCCCTTGAATATGATAAATACTAGCCAGAGTGTAGAGAGAAAGTTCTTGCGAGAACATGTCTTCTCTAGCATCGTGGTGGCTGTCTTCTCGAAAGTTCCTTTCCGATGCCTCGATGGTATTTTTCAATACCAACTCAGCCTCACCGAATCGAGAAAGAATGCAATAGGTGAAGCCCAGCTGGGATGAATATTTAATAGTCGATGAGTGCTGTCTTCCTATCACCCTGGAGCATATGTCGACGATTTCCTCCAAAATTGGCAGAGCATCTATGAAACGACCTCGTTGGATAAAGAACTCAGCTAACTCAGCCGAAGAACTTATTGCCGTTATGTGTTCGTCCCCTAACACTGCACGGAAAACGTCATTGGCGCTTCGGTAAAGTCTCTCGGCCTCTTCAAAATTGCCTTGTTTCGCATAGGTCCTCGCCAGAGCATGACCGAATTCATGGGAGCGAAGATTTCCTTTCCCAAAAAAAGACTCGGCAGAATTCAGCGCCTGCCTTTGCAGCGTCGCAGCTTCTTGGTATCGTTTTTGAGCAAAGTAAAAACGAGCCAGTGTACTCATCGAGCGCAAGGTGGTATAGTCCCGTTCTCCGAGATTTTTTATTGCGCCCTCCATCGCTCGTAGAGCTAGGTCTTCGCCTTCAGAATAACGACCTTGTCGACAGTAAACATTTGCAAGAGTATGCATGCAGGTCAAAGTGTCACGTTCGCTTGGGCAAGATCTGTTCGTCGTTCCCTCTATCGCTTTCTTCAGTAGTGGCTCGGCTTCCAACTGTCGGTCTGTGAGATGATAAAGAAGCCCAAGGGAGTACATTATTTCGGTCCTAACATGTTCCTTGCATGCAAGGTCGTTGTCCGAGTCTGCCAGCGCTGTTTCTAGCATAGCCTGGGCATCATTAAATTTACCTCCGATGATCAGGGCTGTTGCCATCATATTTAAACTAAGCAGGGTGTTGTCGTGCTGCGCACCAAAAATGCTCTTCATCGTCTCCAATGATTTGGAGGCCATTCGGAGGGTATCTTGATGGTTTGAGTTTTCCACGGCATGGGCTGCTCCTCGCTGCATCAAGGAAGCCCATGTTTCCAAATGTTGCGGTGAATCTGGGCGGTGATCGAGCGCAGACTTGACATGAGGAAAAAGAATCTGGCGTTCTTGCCACCGAGCGTATTCTTCGTCAGAACCACCAAACTCATAGCTGATATTTTCAATGAACTGGTTTCGCCATCGGGAGATTTGGTTATGATCCTCAAGCCATGATCTTGTCGCGAGTTGCACAAGTGCATGCATTTGGAAGGTATGTGGAACCTGAGTTGATGATATGAAGGAGAAATCTCTCAATATGACGATATCCTCTCCAAACTCATAGTCTGCCTCGAATTGTACATCACTATCTGTCGAATCTCGTCGTCTCTTTCTAGAACTCGTCTCATCTGTTTTTTGTGCGCCAGAGGAAATTCGAAGTGCACTCTCCACGATGCCCTGGTGATCGAAAAAACTCATAAGAGAGAGAAGATCTGCTGCGGACGCTCTGATCTCCCGAACGTGCTCGAAAGATATTTGCCAGGTAATTAGGATCGAATTTGAGGCCTGTTCGTCGCGTTGGAGGCCTTGTCCCTCATTCTTGAGGAGTTTTGTTCTCTTGCGATCATTTTTCCGAAAATTTTCCAGGTACTGAAGGGCTGAACAACGCGGTGCTCGTTTCTTGATATATGCCCCAGCTTGGACGATTGCCAAAGGCATGAACTCAAGTGTCTCGCACAACTCTTCGATACCCTCCTGGCTGTATTGATTTCCGAGACTGGCCATCATGAGAGAAGATGCTTCCGACCTGTTCATCGAATCAACGGTAACGATGCTAGACTCTCTGACCAACCTTGAAGCCACGCCTAGACTCCGAGTCGTGACCAATATACTACCGTGAGAAACGCGAGGTAGAAACTGCAAGATAGTACTGCCCGAGATTCCAGCATGGCTGCAGCCATTAAACTGAGAATCCAAATTTGCATCCAAAGGGGAGCTTTGAGAGCTAAAAACCAGGGGCTGGCGAAGATGGCTATCATCGTCGACATTATCAAGGATAAGTACCCAAGGGCCATGCTTTTCAACACAGAGCCAGCTATACACCAGTCGAAAGATGTTGACACTGGGGCTCTGACACCCTGGTATCTTGACGCGGTCGGCAAGCATTTGAAATCCTTGTTCGATCCGTGCTGCATTACTAGCATGGATCCAGAACACCCATGTCTGGGGAGAAGAATCTCGTATTCGATAAGAATATTCAATCGCTAATTGTGATTTTCTTCCAGAACGTCAGTGGTGCAAGCGCAAGTGAGCTTCGCTTCGATATCACGAACCCAATGCCACCCAAGCCAACAAGAGCTACTCTCTCCCCTGGTAGAGAAAGCTTGTCTCGGATATTATCGAGCAAGGCCCCACGCTCGACGAAGTCTGGATCTCGTGGAAATGGAACTGTAGACAGTGGGCATGGAGTCGGCTCTGGCTGTTCTATGGTAGAAAGTGGTCATCAGCACAACTCCGCAAAAAGGCATTTCAATCTGATATCTGCGAACCTAGGGCATAGTAGTGAACTGAACCGCTATTGATCCCTAGCTGAAAGCCAGCATTACCACTCCCAAATGATAGATCCGACATACTAAAGCCCTGAGGACAGCATAAGCTAAGTGACGTTTGAAATGAACCCGAGAACGTTCATCAGCCGCATCTCGTATTTGGCCCCGGTCCGAGCGTGGCGGGGCAATTTACTATACTAGTATGCATCAAGACTCGATAGTCTAGCACCACCACTAGCGCGTGTGTTTGGTATTGTGTATACATAGTGCTCACTGCCCAGCATTAAGTAGTGGTGGTATTAAGTCTTCAACCCTGATTTACCAACTTAATCCCAGACAACTCTTTGGAGCGAAGTTGATCACTCAATGCAGCTTAATTTGGTATAAAAGACACCTAGAAACCCCAATGCCCGAAATAATGTACAATGATGAGGAAAATACAAAGCGAATATAAAGCTAAACCACCTCAACACTCGCCATCAAACGATTAAGTAAATCATCATCAACATCACTTCCATCACCCTCCTCCACAATCCTCCCAACAGCCCCAACCAGTCCAGCCACCCTCTTCCTCCGAATAGACTCCTCAAGCTCCGAACTCTTCCCCCTCGCCACATCAATCACAGAAGCCGGCAAATTTGCCAACCTCGCAACATTCAACCCATAACTACGATGCGCCACACCCTCAGTAACCTCATACAAAAACGTAATCTCCTCATCGCCCTCAACACCCGACTCAGTAAACCGCATATGCACATTCCGCAACTCCTTTCCGGGAAACGACCGCACCATCCGCGAAAGATGCTGATAATGCGTAATAAACAGCGTCAACGAACGAATCTCGCGCACCATGTGATCCAGCACAGCCTGGGCAATAGCGACGCCATCATGCGTGGACGTCCCGCGACCCAGTTCGTCGAGAATGACCAGCGAGCGCGGCGTAGCTTGCTTGAGAATATCCGCCGTTTCGGACAATTCGACCATGAACGTTGACTCGCCGGCGAGCATGTTGTCGAATGCGCCCATGCGCGTGAATACCGCGTCCAGCAGGCCGAGTTTTGCCGAGGCGGCGGGGACGTAGGAGCCTATTTGGGCCATTATTGCGATGAGGGCGACTTGGCGCACGTAGCTTGATTTGCCGCCCATGTTGGGGCCTGTTACGAGGAGGGCGCGGGTGCCTTCGCTTTCGAGGTTGGTGTCGTTTGGGACGTAGGCGTCTGTTAGGATGCGTTCGACCATTGGGTGGCGGCCTTGTTCGACGTGTAGGCAGGGTTCGTCTGTGTATTCTGGTTTCACGTAGCCGGGTTGTTGGGCTATGGCTGCGAGGGAGAGGAGGCAGTCTAGTGTGGCGAGGGACTGGACGCAGTCTCGGAATGATTGGTATTGGGTTGCGATGTCGGCGAGGAGGGATTTGAAGGCTTTGTCGCAGGCGGCGGCGAGTGCTTCCTTGTGCTGGTCGCGCTGGCGGATCATTTGGATGACTGCCGGCGTGTGGAAACGGGAGACTTTCTTCGTGCCGCTGACTTTGACCCATGATGCTGGGATTTTGCGGATGGCGAGGGAGTTGTTTTCGATTTCGATTAGGTATTCGATCCCGGCGACTGTGACATATTCAATTTTCTTTCGGCCTATTTGCTCTTCGGCCACGGCGAGGTGTTCTTGTAGATCGTGCTCGATGCTGGCAATGCCGCACTTTTGGTCGCTGATGTCCTCGGTTTCTTCTTCCTCTCGGAAGAAAGCATATTTGTCGTCACTTCGCGCGGCATGCATGTTTATCTTGTCCAAGAAGCTGGTGACATCCTCCTGAATGGTAGGGAGGGAGGCAATGGCTTCACTAATGAGAGTCGAGTCAAAGCCTGTGTCGGCTGGTGACTTGATCTCCGAAAATTCCATTGAGATGGTCTGCATGGTTTGCAAAACAGTGAGGAGTTCAGGTCGAGTACACTGCACTCACCGGGTTAGTACAACATTCCATTTCACTGGGGATAGCTCGGAATCACTAACCTTGCCGTAGTAAATCCGAATCAAACTCTTCTCGAGGTCACTCTTAATCTTACTCAGTAACCTCTTAACACGCTCCACAGGAACCGCCCGAGCAGGATTGACCAGCTCTTGCACGCCATTTGTGCGCTCTTCCAAGCGTGTCCTGTCAAGCAAGGGCCTTCCAACCCAGTTTCGAAGAAGCCGCTGCCCAAACCGCGTCTGCGTCCGGTCCAACGTCCAGAACAAACTCCCCTTCGCAGAGTGATCGTTCTGATTCTGGTAGATCTCCAGACTAACCAGGGTATTCCCATTCAGCAACATATGCGATCGCGCCGAGAAAGGCTGAAAGTACTTCGTCAGATCAAAAACATGTTCCAACCCATACTCAGTCATATGCTCAATCATCGAAGAAAGACAAATCGTCACATTCTCCGACAACCCCAGAACATTCTGCAGCAACTTGGCCGCAACGATATCCTCCTCCTCGCCCGTAGCCTTCATCTTGCCCGCATAAAAGCCCGAAACATGACTATGCGCCTCGACACCCTTCTTCTCTCCGACCCGTTCCAGCCTCACCGCATCGCCAAAAACATTCATCTTACTCCCGGACAAATGCCGCACAAGCTTCTCGCTTGCCTTGGACATCTCCCCCACAATCAAAATCTCACACGGCGCAATGTGCAAAAGCCGCGTCTCGATCTCACTGCGCATAAAACCGTCTTCAAAGTCGTCATAGATCACATCGCCCGTATTCGGCTGCACGGCCACAATCCCAACCTGCACCCGCTCATCATTTCCCCAGCCCTTCGCCTTGTTCTCCGTAATACAAAGCATATACCCCGTAGCCGGCGACGCACCCCCAGCCGCAGGCGCAGGACCCTGCAACCCCTCCACATCATCAATATAAGTCCCCTTAGTGTAGAGATTAGTCAACTTGCGCACGAACGGCGCATTGCGATTATCGCCCGCAGCCTTGAGCGCAGCCGTCTCGATCTGCCTCACAACGCCAACCTTATGCCCCGCCGTAATAAGCCGCTTAACATGAACATGCAACCTGTGCACAGGAATACTCGCCGAAGCAAAGCGATCAAGGTGCGCCTCGGATGAATCTAACCAAGTCAGTAAGAAACTTCCTTTCCACTGGAAAGAGTGACATTGGAATTGGAATTAGAATTGGATGGGAGACACGCACGCTCATCGAACCTGAATTTCCCTGGAATGCACACAATGCCAAGTTCCTTCGCCGCAACGCGCGCGTCGTCTCCGAAAAACCGAAACTTATACCCGACTTCAATGACGAGGACCGTGTCCAGGTGTTTGCGCTTGATCTCGATGACTTGTTTTTCCATCGGCGTCAGTTTGCTGCCGGTCTTCTTGCCTTTGCCTTTTGGTGGTGGGGCTGGTTCGTCTTCGTCGTCTTCTTCGCCTTCGACTGCGCCGGTGGAGGCATCATTTGCTGCCGGGGCTGTGCGTCCAATTCCAATCAGGCAATCTGCTCCTCCGAGCCTCCGGACGAATTTCTGGTGTAGCTTTTCTTTTTCTTTTCTTCGGTCGGCGTCCTCGGCGTTGGTGTTGGCATCGGGCTGGTCACCTTTTGGTGCGGTGGCTGCTGGTGAGCTTTGGAATTTGAAGATCTCTGTTCGTTGGCTGCTTATTTCGGTGGTCTGGGTGTGTGAGGTGGGGGGGTTGGGCTTGAATGATATCTCTAGAAACAGAAATCGCTTCTTCTTCTTCCGGGACTTTGCTCGAGCTATCCTTGGTGGAGGTGGAGGTAGAGGTGACTCTAGCACGTTTAGAGGGTCGAACCACAATGTCGTCATCCTCGTCGTCGTCTTCTTCGCGGATGGGCTTCGCTGCGGGTTTCTCCTGTTCCGGTGAGGCTGCTCGTTTCTTGGATCGTTTTTCCTGGGTCGTGGTGCTGGTCGTTTCGGAGGGTGTTCGTGGAGAAGACTTGCCGCCAAAGAAGCTGGAGATGGTTGCTTGCTTGCGCTTGAGAGATGGCGACGGTGCCGACGATTGCGAGGAATGGGGCGCCATTATTTCTGTGAAGCCTGGACCCTGAGCCCTTAGCTAGAAAACTGAACCAGAGGAGACTGGGGGTTCTTCAAAGCCAAACTGCAAGATCAAGATGGCCCAGTTGACTCCGCAATCGCGGAGCTTCGACGCGTTGACGCGCGGAGGCGTTAATGGGTTGCTGACTAAGGTGCCCTAGCTACATTAAAGCTGCTATACGAAGTTATAGCAGAACTACTCGAAGTTCAAGTGAATGAATCATACCGCAAATTATTAATACGGAGGCTACATACAAAGCATAATGCTTGCGCAGTGAAGAGATACACTTGAAAACAAAGTCCCCATCCCCATAATCCAGACTCCAGTCTCCGAATCCCGATTTTTTCCCAGGGTTGATAGCAATCTCCAATCCTAAGGTCCCAACCCTTCCAGGGTTAGCCATCAATTGATAAACCCGTCAGATACTCGCCCATAGGAAGAGCACAGAAAGCAAAAACAGGAAAAGAAAAAGAAAGAAAGAATGTTCGGTGGCAGCCAGCTCGTGTCTAGTCATTCTGCATGGCTCCTCGTGATGCACAACAATTGAACGTGATCGACAACCTCATTCAGCCCTCGACCCCAGCACTTCAGCACTCTATCTAATCTGCGCCGCCAGCCAGATACAGCCGTGCAAGTTCCTGGTGATCTTCCTCCGAAATGGTCGCTTCCGATGATTGCGCTCGATGCATGTTCCAGCTGGCATCAGCTACAGAGAAATCGTCATAGCAGCCATCTCCAAGGAGACCCATGCCCCCACTCCTGAAGGTCGGAGCAATCAATGGGTTGCACTGGAATGAACACTTGCCCTCGTCTTCCCCTTCATCCTTAACGAAAAAGAATTCAGGAGGGTAGTTAGGTTGATTCGTGCCAGTTCGCTTAGCGAGTGGTGAGTCCCAGTCACTCATGCCCATGTATCCATGTGGATCTAGGATTGGCTCGATGTTTTCCTTTTCTTGCATATCTCGGCCATCACCCTTTCGTCCGGGATTCTTCGGGATGTTTCCCCTATGGTCCAAAATAAGCCGGGCGGGAGTGAGAGTTTGCTGTATCGGATGTTGCTTGGAAGGCTGGTGGCCTTTGAAAGCGTCCCTGGCCTCGTGTTCCGGGTCTGCGAAGATACGGAAGCCGCCACGCGGTCCCTTTGTACACTTTTCAAAGGCCTGAAGAGAGATTTGGAAGTCTGGATCATCTTCGGCATAAGGGGGCTTGATGACTGTCGGACGCTGTGGACGACGGCGAGGCGTTGCGACACTCTGAACAGGTTCGCGTTTCTTGGAAGTGCCAACCGCTGCCTTCTTTCTGATGCGTTGTTCAATCGGCAGGTTGGGGTCGTTCTGGGCAAGAGGTCGTCTCTGCCTGGAACGAGACGGCCGCTGCTTGGGGATTGGTGTCTCGCCTTTCAATGGGGTCTGGTTTTCATCCACATCGCCAGAAATGTAACGCTCTTTCAGTAGATTGCCCTCGGGAGAAAATATTTGCTCCGTGGGTGCCACCATCAGGGATGTGGTCTGCATGCGTCTGACGACGGTGCCGTCTTTCTTCTGGTTACGCTTGCGTCGCATCTGGCCCGTTGCTGAGTCGAAAATATCCATTCCAGGCCACAAAATGCCCTTCAACCGGGACATTTCATCCGAACGCTGTTTCTCGGCTTCGGTCAAGGCGTCTTCATTGCGCTTCGGGTTTGCTTCGTCATCTTCGTCTAGAAACAAAGAGTTTAGCTGCTCCTCGTTAAGGGGTGTCTTGGTCATGCAGCTTCGTTTGGGTCGACGACTAGTAGTCTTGGGTGTGACTGGTACGAGAACAGGTTCCATGAGTCGGGGATCCAGATAGTTTGGGAGTTCGGCGAGAAGGGGAGGGGTGGCGGCGGGTTTCTTGACGCGACAAGACCGTTTGGCTGGTGGCTGAAGGTAAGGTTCGTCATGGCTTGACTGGGACTTGCGCTTGTTCTTTCGTTCGTCTGTGGTGGCTATTCTTTCGGAGAGAAGAGCTGCGAGATTGTTTTCGCGGAACCAAACCTCATAGTCCTGCAGCAGCTGAGTGGCGTTCTCATCCTGGTGGCTGCGGACTTGAAGTCTGAAAGTGTTTGCGAGATGGCCTTTCGAGGAGATATGAGTCAACAAGTGAGAAACGTCGCTGAACCGGGGTTGCCCAGGGCAGGTAATGCAGTTCAGATTGGAGGCGTCCATTGGTCCAATTGGAGGGATTGGATGAACCAACCCAGCATGCAGATGCAAGCAAGACCAAATTGGAGATCAAGATGTCAACGTCGAATTGAACGTACAAAAGACCAGAAAATGCAGAATAGTAGAGAAACAGGGAAAGAGAGAAGTGAGTATTGAGAAGGAGAGTGCCAGACCATGGTTTGTTGTGATTTCTCTTGTTGTGGTCGACGGCAGCCTCGAGTGGACGTGACGAGGAAGGGACGCAACAACCCCAAAATGGGGAAGGTGCAGCCCTCAACCCAGAATTTCCCCACGGGGAAGGAACGATCCAGAGTTCAGGCATTCCATCTTATCCTATGCGAGGTATGTATATGGATATTTGTTGGGAGCGGATCTCATAAGAGATTCTGATCTGTGTAATATTCAATAGTAGGCTATGCTAGACAATATGTAAGAATGCAGATAAAGGTAACTATGTATGTACCACGATGTCTTAACAGCCTTCAGGCAATTGTGGGAGGGTATGAAGCGGAATAAGTCAAAGTGGAGATGCTCTCCTCCCACATTGTATCCCATGATCCATGGAGAAAAAGAATCATGGGTTATTAGATTGTGGGAGGGATGGGCCCATGGGACGAATGGTTTCGAATGATTGTGTCATAAGATGCATGAGATGATTTATCAAAAAAGATTGTTCACCTGGCGAAGCACCGAGCAATGACAGATTTGGGCATACAACTGGGACCATGTGAGCTTAGCTTCATTGCAAGATGAGGAAAGAGACGCCGCTTACTATATTGGATCTACTTCCTGCAGTCCTTCCACCACACCAAGCAGACTCAAGCCAGCCAGACCAAAATGGGTGTGGTAAACATCAACCATATTTCCTGGTCGGTCAGCAAACCCACCAGCTTCGGGGTCCTGTATCCGTATGATTAGAGAAAAGAAGAGACGAAAATGTGATCAGGGAATGGTGCACTAACCTGGCATTGCAATACATAGGCAGAAAGCTTCTGGCGATCGATCCAGTCCAGCCGGTCAATCATGGCCAAGCTTGAACCAACCCACCAGGTATAGCATGCATCAACAAGCTTCTCTGGACGTCCATTGAAACCGCCGTTGTCAACCTGCCGTTCGCTAAGCCAAGCTCCGAGACGGTCCTTGTTCACCAGATCTAGACGGCCAGCAATGGAGAGAGCACCAATGCAAGTGAACACCTGACCTGCATGAGACTCGGTACCCGGGGAGATACCATAGGCACCATCAAAGTTCTCGCAACTCTGGACATAGGTCACAGCTTTGGGAACATCGACAAGCTCCATGAGACCGAGCAGGGAGAGCGCATTCAGGGCGCCATAGAGGAACCGAGTGTCGGTCTCACCCCATTGGTCTCCCATGAAGGAGCCGTCATTCTTATTTTGCAAACCGGCGATGACTGGAGTTTGTTTAGTACAAAATGGGGACAATAAAGAGGAAATCATCTGCAGCGAGGGAAGTGAATCGTACAAGACGCAACTTTTTCTTTACCGCCACGGCCTTGCTTCTCCAGCTCATCCACAGCATTAATAGTTACCAGTATCTGGACCGCTGATACGGTGTAGAGCATGTGAGCATCATGGCCCGGGGCAGCTCCGAAGCCTCCATTGTCGCTTTGACACGAAAGGACAAAGTCAATGGTTTCTTGGCGAGGCAATGCATCGGGATGGCCGAGGAGATGAAGCGCCGTCAATCCCCAGTATATGCCATTGAGTCGCAAGTGCTCGGTCAGCCAGTATTGCAACTCATCCTTGCGCTATTATCACCGTCAACGGATTGTCCGCAAAGTGGATGGCCGCTATGAAAGAGTAGGACGCACAGTATCCAGGTTTTTGATGTACGCCACGTGTTTCAAGGCATGCAGTTCTTGATCTGATGAGGACCCTGAGAGGCCACCAGCCCTACCAGGACCGTGTGCCAAAGACATTATGGTTTGCGGATGATGGCGGTGGCTGGAAAGCGAGGGGAACAATGATTGGGCGAGGGGAGTGACAGGTTAGTAATTGCGGGACGAGAAAGAAAAGAAAAAAGACTGTCAGGGTTAATGTTATCCGCGCTCAGATCATGCTGTCATTGAGCGAAGATGCATGAGCGGGGGGGAGCTTTCAAGGGCAGTTCAGAGCCGCGACGCTAGTCTAGGATCAACCGAGTTCATCCAGTGGTTGCCAATGGTCGCCCGCGAGGCAAATTGTGGCTTGGAGCGAGGCCGAATCGGGCCAGTTTTGTGCTGTGTGTGTTCACGTGAGGCACGTGACTGCACGTGAACTCGATAACGGTTGCACATAACTGCACATGACTGCACGTGCCTCTACGATTGATCGATTGATCACATGATCATGCCAACTGCCACCCCCGTCAGGCCAACCTTGGAAGGCTGAGATCCACTTGTTTTTGAAATCCACAATGTGAACTCCACAGACGCCACAATCCTTGCCCCCTGAGGTCGCACTGTACACTGCTCCGTGCACTCCAATCCCCCGCTAGTCTCAGATCGGCCATGCCATGTTTCAGAAGAGCCACCCGGAATGCCCGTGCACCGCCATGTCGAAGCACATGGAAAGGCAGGCAGAAGAATTCGCTTCGAATATTCCACATTGTGGACACTCGAGGATGAGAATAGCATCTGACGAGTACTAACGAGGAAATCGCCGTTTTTAACAATGCTCAGCTGTCTCCACCTCGCTTCCTTGTTCGTGCTGTTAAGTACTCCGTCCTGATATGGGCGACCGCCGAGCGCTTCCTTGCAATCAATTGCTGCCGATCCAGGATGCACGCGATGTATATGTATATATTGGCATATATACTTCGATAAGCCGCTGCATGCGCCCGGGAAAATTGTCTCCGGACTTGGAGTATCCAAGGGCTATCATCCGTGATAAATTTCGCTGAATGTCACGCATGTGCTTGTACAGACCCAGGTGGCTTATGTGCGGCAAAATTAACTGTTACAGAAGACGCCGGAGAAGACGCCGGAGTGCAGTGACAACCCCGGAATAACTCAGGCGCAGGCGCGGATGTGGACGCAACGCAGACCGCACTTCCCCGACAGGCAATTGGAGCAGTGGCATGTTTGCTTAAAAAAGAGACACAAGGCCCACTCCAAGGCAGTGTAAATACGGAGCCAGTGTGGATGTGGATGAAGGTGAGTGGGCATTGACTGAAACTCGGGCCAACGATGCGACCAAGTGGAGGAGGGGCCCTCCTCAAGCGCCCGGACACGTTTTTGTCTGACGACTGCTACCCCTGATCCGATCCTGTCAGAATAGGCAAACGAAAGAATTGAAAGGCAATCCAGGATATTCCATCACGTATGCTTATGGAATTTATCGTCAATTGATGGGGATCAACTTGGGGATCAGCAGGAATTGACAATGATATTCATTTTCCCCATGCAACAACAGAAGCTGGTTCGCCCGGCCAAATCGTCCATCGGCCGACCAGACAAGCACAACCATGGATTGACGACAGGAACAGAATGCACACCGCGGATTTGTCAAGGAGGCTTACAATCTCCACCATGCTCCGGCTGATCGGCCAATCAGCCTGTTCAATGAGGCGACGCAAGACAAGCACATCATCCCGCCCGTGGCTCTAACTGCCTGACCCAATGGTGATTGTGGAGGTCGATCGGTGTGAATTGTATGTATTCTGGGAAGAGAGGAAAACGAGAGCGAAACAGTTTGCCATCGAATTAATGTACATGATACAGCGATAGTGGTGGAGCACGATAACACCTCTCCGTATGGAAGTGGAAGTGGAAGTGGAAGTACCGGACCAAACGGACCAAACGGACCCCAAAATGATTGACAAGTTAGATCACCTTTTGTGTACATCGGCAGATGATGTTGCGTACCGTCACTATTGGGTCCTTCTCCGAGGCGACCCTTGGATAGAGTGACGTCGGCCCCAGGGGAGCATCAGATTGGAAACGATTGTATTGTTTGGAAGATGAAATTAAACACAACCCCACCGGTCTTTTTTTTTCTTCTCTTTTTTCCGTTAGAACCAATCTGTTTATTAGTTCGAATCAAATTATACGATAAGGTAGCAATTAAAAAAAAGTAAGAGAAATGATCAGCTTCAAGTAGATCCCCCCCCCTCGTTGGGCCATTATTGCATGACTCTTCTCTCTGTCCGTGGAATGTTTTTCCTTTTCCATCTCCCACACAACTTTATCCCTCCAACACCCGTTATATTTTTTTTTCTCTTCTCTCCCCTCTTGTCTTCCCCTTAGACGCATAATCCCAGAAAGGTTTAGTGGCTGTCAAATTTGGGCCATTTGATTACTGCTAGCGTGCAAGTGCAACTCCCCTACCGCCGCTACGCCCAACGCTAAAGTCCGTTAGGGGACTTGTGCACTCTCTCACTCTCCGGTCCTATTTCTGTCTCTGTGATTCTCCTTGATCACCATACCTCATATCTTCAGCTGGCTCTCCTCTGACCAGACTGTTTTCTCCTTTCTTTCTTTGCATTCCTTACGTGAAACGGTTTCCGACCACTTGGGACAACCTCCTTGTCCTGTCGATCCCTTGACCCGCCTAAAAGAGGGGGCTCTGAGATTCCTCGTCTGGAAATTACGCTGCAAAGGGGAATCACTCTGTCTTTGAGACATAACATGAGGGGTTTGGTGAGTGTCTTCCCTTTGAATCGCATCTTCATTGTTATTTCCCACCAGTTCATCCTGGTACCTGGCCTTGTCAATCAATATCTCCTAAACGGTCGTCCTTTGAACAACAACCCCTCCCCGTGCCCCCCCTGCATCTGTCATGGCTCTATGCGGTTTCACTGGTCTTTTTTTTAGATGCTCTGGTGACCTTCTTATCTGTTGGAATGACCTTACTGATTGTATAACCGTCTTGTGCAGATTCTACACCCTCGATAGCATTTTCTCACTGCCCATCCCCGGCGGATATCCCAACGACCATCCCGGCATTATAGGCATCGGCAAGACCGAACAGCCTGGACAAAGTGCTGCAGCTGAAGGTCAGACACGAGATAATAGGTGATCCAGAGGGATCTGGAGTGATCGGGTACGGCTCAGCTCTTCAGCTCTGGTCGCCTGGTTTCAAGACGCACGCTGACCAGATATCTCCTACAGCCAACAACCCTGTTCGACTTCCAACGTCACACTCGAAACACGCGCAACGAGCCCGGTGCCTCTCGCTTATAACCCAGTTCGTTTCCCACTATCAAGGACCGGCCTTACCCGACGAGCCAATATGCCTTCCCGACAGTCGACCGTGCCCAATCTCGACTTAGGCTCGTTGAAAGTGGACTCAAATAACGGAAAACTTTCGTCGCCTATCACACCCGGTGCGCAAAGTTCCGATTTGCCTAGCCCCTTATCACCCTCCTCGCCCAAGTCCGCGTCCAGCTCTCCGCTGTTCAAGGGTGCCACTATCCGTCCGGTCACCCAAGATAGCAGCAAGGTGAACAGCCCGACAATTCCAACCTCGCCGGGGTCCTTGGCAGCCGAACCCCCAACTCCTGGTCTGACGGCCATTCCTCAACATTTTCCTTCATCCAAGGACTCGTCAAAACACAGTCGCGATGCTTCCAAATCATTCTTCGGCACGCTAAAGGCCCCCAAAACGTCTCATCGCCCGCAAAGATCAGATGGTTCAGATCACTCGACCGAGCCCCCCAAGAGTCGGGGAAGCTCTCGGGATCGCAAATCGTACATGCCACCCAAACTATACGAGTCGAGTCCCGACCTGCCGACTGTGATTGCCCAAGCAGGGGAGAGCGAGAAGAGTGAGAAGAGTGAGTCAAGAAGTTTATGTCGATCACATGTACCAGCGAGCTAACAATCATGTTTCCTGATAGATGGACACCAAACGAGCGAAAGCAGTACGCAACAAACCGGCCACAAGAAAGCAGGAACCGATCCGGAGCAGGCAGCCTCGAAAAAGATGAAACCAAGATTCGGCAACCTCCTGGGCCGCTCTCGGTCAATTCGTGTCGATGAATCTTCCGGCAATCGCGCCGCCGGCCGCCGACCTTCGACTGGTCTAGCGAAATTGGAAGAATTCAGCCAGAAGGATACGACCACTGCACCGCATCATGCAACAGTGCGCCCTGAACGACCTCCGCAAGGTGGCCTGCAACCTCCTCCTAGCCGCGGAGGAGATGGTCATTCCTTGCGAAAGGAGAGAAGCCACGGGGGATCTATGGTGACATCAGGCTCGTTGAGCCAAGTTTCTGGTGCATCAGCCGCTATTTTCAACAACCTCAAGCAATCATCGTCCGGTGCGGCAGATCGTCTAGGCAAGGCTGGAAAGGGATTCTTCGGCAAGATTACTCGGAGCGGAAGCACGAACGAGCGCGAGCTGATCAACGACGACAACTACGTCTGCTCTGTGATCAACCTTCCGCTGATACAGCAAGCGAGGAAGACTCGTATCTGCAAGAAGCTGGAAGCCTGCCGCGACAAAACCGAGTTCTGGATGCCCGCGCTTCCATATCGTTCTATCGATTATCTCAACTTCAAGGGTTGCGAGGAGGAAGGGCTATACCGAGTACCAGGAAGTGGCCGAGAAGTCAAGCACTGGCAAAGGCGGTTCGATACAGAATTAGACATCGATCTTTTCGATGTTCCGGACCTCTATGATATCAACACGATTGGATCTATGTTCAAGGCTTGGCTCCGTGAACTCCCCGACGAGCTGTTCCCCAAAGCGACCCAAGACATGATCGCCGAGAAGTGCGAGGGCGCTACAACGGCTCCGCAATTGCTGAAGGACGAACTCTCCAAATTACCACCTTACAACTACTACCTCCTCTTCGCCATCACCTGCCATCTCAATCTCCTCCACTCATATGTGGATCAAAATAAAATGGACTATCGCAACCTCTGCATTTGCTTCCAACCCTGCATGAAGATCGACGCATTCTGCTTCCAATTCCTGGTCTGCGACTGGAAGAATTGCTGGCAGGGCTGCTGGACCGAGAAAGAGTACGTGCAAAAAGAGAAGGAAATGGACGAGGCAGAACAGAAGGCTGTTGCAGAGAAAAACACCGCCAGCCGAAGCAGGCCCGATCTTCCCCAGTCTTCATCCAGTCACGAACGCGCCGTCTCCTCAAGTTCCAGCTCGCAGGCCGAAGAGGAACGACCTCGACCAAAAACTCGTGGTGAGGCTCGACCAGAAACCCGGAGTGAGTCTCGACCTGAGACTCGGGGCGAACCTCGAACCCGAAAGGCAAAGCCCAATAACATTGAGACCGCCCATACACGAAGCATTTCTCAGCTCCCGGAACTCGGACCTCCCCTTTCTCCCATCAAAATCTAATTTGCATAGGCACATGCACCGCACTTTCCGCGGATTGACATGGACTTGCATCTTCCCAACACAATAAACCCATAGATGCCACACATGGCCTATGGACTCACTTCTGGCCCAAAACCATGGCGTTGTCATCACTCATTCGGCTGGTCCGCTTTGGGTATACTAATGGCAGTCTCGAGGCCTACGGGTTCTCTTGACACCATTCTCTTCCCGTTTGATCAAGGATTGGTCAAAGTTGAGACCCCCATTTCACTTTTTCCCTTGTTGCTCCATCCTGCACTGGGGGTTATTTGTTTGACCTGCCAATTGTCATTTGGTCTCGAACCAGCATTTGTCGGAGTGCATGCCCGGCGTCTCCGTTATTGATTTCTTTCTTACCTTTCCAGTTCTCCGTTGTATATGTTGTTGTTTTTTACTCCATGCACCTCTGGTCCCGGCGAAATGGGAGGCGGATTTTCATTCTCTCTTGTGTTATTCTGATTCGTTGTTTTATCCATCATCTTCTCTTATTCGCACCACGCGCACGCTCTCCTTGGCCATGTTCTATTTGCGGCAACAGGGCCAGTTTGTTCTTTGCTTTTGCTTTTGCTCGATCTCTCTGTTTCTCATCTCAGATTCCCCTCGACGGTCCTACATGTCTATTTCTTTCGTGTTCTTTGATCTTTTCTTTGTCACGTCAACTCTCTTTTTTTTTTTTCTCATTTATGGCGTTCTTTGCGGTGCTTTGTACAATAGCGCAGTGGGCAGGCAATTTTTCTCGGTTCAATGATTACCAATTTGGTTTCAACTATCAACTTGAAGTTTCATCTATCCATCTGATCCAGTAATTCCTCTGACATCTCCAAATTCGTGTAGTATATCTGTGGATATTGGTAGTGATTTTATCAGGAAACCCTGACCCCGTGGCCGTGGATTACTACCAGTACATTAGTACTACTAGTACTAACGTTCACTACTTCAAGTTTCGTATTGGTGCGATTCAGGACAGGTCTTCAAGTTGTACAAGTATGGATGCAACATATCGTTTAAACAATGCTTTTGATGTAGGAAGATTCGACCGTCTTAGGATAGGCCCAGACACCAGCCCCAACGCCAAGGACATGAATAGTAGAAAACAGAGAATACGGAATGTACAAAAAGGTCCACCAGGCAAGGTAGGTAGGTAATGTAGGTAGCAAGCAAGCAAGCAGGTATTTCGTGAGCCCTCGGCTATAACCAGGCTTACCTACTAGTTACCACCCTTCCCAGTCTTAGCCCTGCGATCATTAGCGCGCATCTTGCGCTCATTCCGCTTAAGCTTCTCCTTGCGCTCCGTACGAGACATTCCACGGATATTGCTACCCTTCGCAGCAGCATCCTCCTCCTTCTTCCAGTCCTTCTCATTAACCTCGACAAGCCACTGGTTGTCGGAGTCCTTGTTCTTGCCCTTGTATCCCCACCGCGGCACCCACTCGCCGCTCGCCTCGTCGTAGACGAGGTTCTTGCGGCGCTCCTTGTCGGCCAGTGTTGCGCCGGGCTTGGTGTTGAACTTGCCGATGCCCTTCTTGCGCGCGAAGAGCTCCCACTTGGTGGGTGGCTTGGGGGTGGGCAGGGGCTTGTGGCGGGGTGTTTCGATTTGGGGGGGCGGGGAGGTTCAGCAGGACGCCGTTGGCGGCTGTTGAGGTGATTTGGCAGGTTGTGAGCAGTTGGTTGAGGAGGGATTGCGTGCCATCGCGGGCGATTGCTTGGAGGGAAGTTTCTAGGTCTTCGGATGCGGGGAGCTCGAGGGGGTTGGGGTCGTTGGCGAGGATGTTGCCCAGGTCGAAGGTGTAGGGGGTGGGCTTTGAGACGGTGATGGGACTAGTGGTTGGTGGAGTTAGTAATGGTGGTTTTTATATATCTCGCGGTTTGAGGCTTCATTTTGATATTGGATGGAGTAGCGTAGAATAGAAGCAGGGGGAGGGTTCAGAGAGAGAGGCGGGGGGGGGTTCGTACAGCTTCTCCGGCTTGGATTCAGCAGCGCTGTTGGCCATTTCGACGTCTCCCATTTTGAAGACTGGAGAAATGGGTGTAAAGGAGGATTGATTGGGGCGGAAATGCGGCGGTGACAATCTGTTGCTTCTGAACTTTTTTTTTCTTCGGGGACAATCGCCCTTTTCTGCCGGATGACTAAGGAGATGTGGTGAGACACCGCCTCCTGTATTAGGGAATGAGGAATTCATCAAATTATTATGGGCAACTCCGGACTTGCTCCAGGGCCTTTCGTCAATCACATCCACCCTCCCTTCAATTCCTCGTCTCGAATTGATTCTTGCACCGGCACGACTGCCGGTGTTTCTGAACAATGGCTTCCGCCTGGTGCTGGAGCTGCCTCTCGAGACTGCGCCCGACAACACGAGCAGTTCTCCCTCCGCCGTCCGCTATTCCCCGGTTAACGAGTGCCCCCTTCCACTCGTCTGCGGTTCAATATGCCCCGCCTCTCAAGAAGAAGTCCAACAGTATGACTCAGATGAAGTACCGACAAGGTCAGACCCTGCGGAGGAAGAAGAAGAAGACTGTTGAACGCGCGCGTCCCCCGGCCCCAGGCGAGCGCAAGGCGTTGCGGAAACGCATTATCCTGAGCAACCCCAATGCTTTGGAGGTCGAGGGTATGCAGGAGATCTCAGTGGAGAACATCGTTGATGCTCGTCTCCGTGGCTCCGTGCTTGGTCTGCCTGTTCCCATGCTTGACCAGCTGCGGGCTGTGCAAGCTTTCAAGCCGAAGCAGGGTTGGTCGATATTCCGTCGGCCTGGTGCGGTTGTCCGTCGTGACACCGTTGAGATGGGTCGTCTCTTTGAGAAGATCTCTGGCGAGGGCGATGCTGCCGAGAAGGGTAAGGTCGTCAAGAAGGTCATTACTGGTACAAAGGGAACTGGAAAGACTGTGCACTTGCTGCAGGCCATGTCCATGGCTTTCTTGAAGAAGTGGGTTGTGGTTACTATTCCCGAAGGTAGGTTCTATTAAGCTCTTTGTCAATTCATGCGCTTTTGGGGAAGTTGCTAATTTTGGACTCTCTAGCTCGCGAGCTTGTCTCTGGTGATACCGCCTATGTACCCGTCGAGGGTTCCAATCCCATCCAATACAACCAGCCCGGCGCCACCTCTGCCCTGTTGATGCGTACCGTCGAGGCCAACCGCGAGGTCCTGTCTGGCCTCAAGGTCTCCCAGAATCACCCCGAGATCAACGGCGTCAAGCCCACTTCGACTCTTGAGGACCTGGCCAAGCTCGGATTCCAGGACCCTGCCGTCGCCTGGCCCGTTTTCAAGGCTCTCTGGACCGAGCTGACTGCTACTGCCGCAGCTCCCGGAATGGAGAAGGATTTCCAGCCTCGTCCCCCGATGCTCGTGGCCGTTGACGGCCTCGCCCACTGGATGCACAACAGCGCCTACCGCGACACTGATTACAAGCTCGTCCACCCGCACGACCTCGTCTTTGTGAAGCACTTCCTCTCTCTCCTGCGCAACGGCCAAGCCGAGCTAAAGAACGGTGGTATGCTTCTGTACGCCACCTCCACCTCCAACAACCCCGGTGTCTACGCTCTGGAGGTTGCCCTGGACCAGATGACCGCTCGCCAGGCTGGCATCAAGCCTACCTCCCCCGAGTACCCCTCAGCCGAGGCATACAGCAACGCCGACCCCCGCGTCCTGGATCTGTTCAAGCCCATCGAGGGTAAGGAGCCCCAGATGGAGCTGCAGACATTGGGTGGTCTCACGCGCGACGAGACTCGTGGCTACCTTGAGTACTTTGCCCGCAGCGGTCTGCTCCGCGAGCCCGTCAACGAGAACTGGGTTGGCGAGAAGTGGAGTATGTCCGGTGGTGGTATCATTGGCGAGCTGGAGAAGCTGGGCCGTCACGTCCGCAGTGCGGCTATTCCTACTCCTGCTGCGAACTGATGTTGAATATATCCATCCTTCCCAATCATTGGGGATCCATAAGTGGATCCACCATGCTGTACTGTAAATGGGATGTCTGGGCTTCCTTTTTTCTGTTTCTTCCGTGTACTTTACAAGTTTTATCTCCCTGGTTCGTGTTTTGTATGCATATAATGAATATGTTTCCAAAAATCATCTTTCATTTCCAAAGTTGTTCTTATTCTCGCCACTATTTTACTCTCTGAGAAAGGTAACGACCGTAGGATTTGAGGTACTACCGTGATTGCAGTACATATTAACTAGTAACCTCGAGAAGTATACTCCCTAGTATTTACTACTAGTACTAGTAGTAGCCCCTCAACTTCAAACCTCCTCCAAAGTCTTAACCTTAGGAGCTCTCACCAAATCAGGATAATCAACCCGAGCCGCAGAATTCATAAAAGTCGAATTACCGGGGTGCGCCTCCTGACTCTGACCGCGGAAGAGGAAATTCATCGGGAACCCGATATCAAACTCATAAGCACCCTCAATCTCCTCAATATCCGCCTCAGTAAGCTGAATCTTCAACGCATCAATATTCCCTTGCAAATGCTCGACCTTGCGCCCGCCAACAATCGGATACACATAAGGAGCCTTCTGCCTGACGTACGCAAGCGCGATACTCGTGATGACGGTGTCGTGTCGCGCAGCCACCTTCTCGAGGACCTTGGAAACCGCCACATCGATCGCTCGCGGCTCGACCTGTCGTCCCGGGTTACCGCTCTTTGCGATCTCCTCGCGCTGGGCGGTTGTTTTGAATGTGCCGCCGCCGATGGCGGCCCAGGGTGCGAGGCCCATTCCCTCGGCAGCGGCCATGGGGATAATCTCGCGTTCAAAGTCGCGGCGAGCAGCGTTCCATTGGCCTTGGTAGACGCTGAATGGGCGTAGACCGTGGTCACGGGCGTCTGTGTATGCATTATTTAGTTCTCTTTTCATCCTAGTATCGTTGCTTCGGCGATTCTGCGCTCACATTGGTTCGCACGGCTGACAATCCAAGCTGGCGTGTCACTGATTCCCAGGTACAAGACCTTGCCAGAGGTGACGAGCTGATTCAGCGAGATCATGACTTCCTCGATGGAGGTGCTGAAGTCCCACCAGTGAACATATAGCTAGACGGATAGTTTCTTTAGTTTTCACGCCCTGCCTGTGGTCGTGTTGGTTGGTTCGTTGCTCTTACCAGGTCGACATAGTCTGTCTGCAAGAGCTTCAAGCTCCTCTCCAAGGAGGTTCTCAGACTCTTCGAGTTATTCCCAAGGTAGTTGGCCTGGATTCCCTTGTTGGTGTGTGTTTGGAAGGACGAGGTATACTTGGTTGCCAGAACAATCTCGTCGCGCACGCCTCGGGATTTCATCCATTCGCCGAGCCATTGCTCAGAGTCTCCGTTTTGGTAGTTATTGGCCCTGTGGGCAGAGAAAGAACTGTTAGCATTGGCTTATTTTAGCACAACCATGGCGGAATAATCTTACGTGTCGATGAAGTTGCCTCCGTTCTCATAGAATGTATCGAGGATCTTGAAGGAGTTCTCTTTATCACATTCACCTAGTCTCTGCTGCCTGTTGTTTTGATTTAGCCAATCGTAAAACAATAGCATCTCTTGCTTCAGAACCTACCAGCCCTCTCCAAAGTTCATCGCTCCCAAGCATAACGGACTCACCTTCACGCCAGCCGATGGCGCAAGAAGGCGGTAGCGGCCAAGAAGCGATTTGGGTGGCTTACAAGCGGGGAACATTTTCGCGGACGTTTTTGTATTGATGGGGTGGATTATGTAGCTCTGGACTGTTCCGGGTCTGAATAGTCTGAGGCAACTTTTGTTGAGAGAGCCCTGGAGGAATTGATCTTGGGAAGTGGAAAACTTGAAATACGGTGAGAGCTGCAGGAGCTTTATAACCAAGTGGGAGTCGGGGTTATGATGTAAACAACGGGGACCAAGCACAGGATCAACTTGAACAATCATTGTACTACTACATCATCAATCAATACATATTCAACGACAAGGTTTTTGATTCCATGTGCCATGTTACACTAACTCCGTATAGATCACCAGTCTCGCTGACAATTGTGAAGGCTTTAATACCGGAGTCTACAAGTTATCTCCGATGGATTGCCCCGACCCCGACCCCGCTGCAAAACAACATTATTATTAAGCTGTGATGCGGATATTGTGTAGATCCGTTAAATTAGCCTAAAATCGCAATGAAATCATAGTTGAGCTTCTCGTATCCATATCATGACAGCCATCATGGCTATCATTGAATTGGTTGGTAATCATACATATTTGAATGTGACGAGTACAATGATAGATAAATTGTAGGAATGTACGCGCAGTAGTGGTGGAAGCAATATGTTCAGCGCTATGGAAAGATAAAGAGAGGAGTGGAAGCCCTGGAGGAAGCTATGGAGAGCTGCCTAACACAGGTGATAAGAGAGGCAAGGGGGTCCTTGATGCGTTATAGCTTAGAAATATTCGCCTCGATCCGATTGAGAATAGCCGTATGATCTTTCATATAAGTGTCACCGTCTCTAAAGATCACTTCACGCACCCAAGGTCCACGAGGATTGAACGAAGCTTTGAAAGGTAGCGATCGCATAACCAGGCCGTAAGTGCATGCAATTGGGTCAACGGCAGTAGGCTCACCCGTCTCATCGGATAGTCCAGCCTTGATATCGAATGACCAAATCAATTGAGCAACAACGATCCAAATAAAGTTGCGGGCAAAATACCGTCCGGGGCAAATTCGCCTGCCATATCCGAAGGCTGCCGGGGTAGCGCTTTGAGTGTCTTTTTATCGCCGTCGTTGATCCAGCGATCTGGTATGAAACTCTCAGGTTCCGGTCCGAATAACGCTTCTTCTCGAGAAATCGTCCAAACATTTGGTACAATGACAGAGCCCTTGGGGATTTTGTATCCATTGTACGTAGTCTCTTCCTTGTTCATGTGAGGAACCCCCTCAGGCCCAGCGGGCCGCCATCGGAATATTTCCTCGACGATAGCAGTGATGTAAGGAAGATTAGGCTTGTCATCTGGAACTGGAAGCCTAGAACGTCCGACAAAAGTATCTAGTTCTTCGCGTGCTTTGGTGATGAACCCTTGGTCCTGCGTAACACATGCTACCACAAACCACATGAGGCTATCTGTAGTGCCGTCTAGTCCAGCGTTGATGATGGTACCAAGCTCAAATTCGAGCTCACTCAAGGGCATCTTGAGACTGTCCTTTTCGATGCTCTTCTTGAGATACTTTGCGATATTCCATCCGTCCGAAGACAGGGCCTGCCGGAAGTTCTCGCCTTGCATATTGACCTTGGTCGTGAAGTGATTCTCAGCTTTTGCCTTCCATGGAGCTAGAAAGCTGGGCAAATTATTGAGAATAGGGAACTGGTCAACAATATTTGCGCCGACTTGTATAAATTCTGAAAATTCTTCGTTCAGTTGAACAGCAACTTGAAGAATTGGGTCATCGCAGTCTTTGATACGGAAGCCGTACAGCAGTGTATGCATCATACTTGCGACCGCGCGTTGAAAATGACATCTCACATCGGTACCAGCCTCGCCAGTATTGATCAGAAGATCTTGCATCAACTGCTGTGATTCTAGGGCTTGTAGAGGGTGATAGGCAGCTGCGGGCGTCGCATTCAATACCGAGACCTCTAGCGTCTGGTGTCTTCGAAATTGGTCTGTATAATTCATCATGAGGATGTTAAGCCCTTTCAAGGCTAGATCGTTTGCCAACTTGATTTATATTAGATCATCTCACCCAATTGGAGATCAGAAGAGGAGACTCTTACAAAAAGATGAGGCCGGTCTGAAAATGTGGCCCCGCGCTTCGCTAGGAGATCGTGGGCTGTTTCGGAGGTATTCAATATGACCACCGGCTGTCCAAGCATATTGACAGACACGATGGGTCCATACTGTTTGCTCCATTCCTGATATGTTCTCCAGGCGTGTGATTTGGGAGCTTGGTGGACATTACCAATGATAGGCAATGGTTTAGGGCCCGGTGGTAGAGGCAAAGACGAAGTTGTTTTGCGTCGTTTGAGAGTATACACACCAATTAACAGCCCGAAAATGGCCACAAATATTAATGAAATCATTTTGCCTCGCAGTTGAAATAGTTTGCTAGTAGCGAAAGAGTGGGAGATGGCAGTGGGTCAATTAATATGAGGTTCCCAACTTGAAGGAAATGCAACGGCCCCAGCTGAAACAAAACCCGATATACAGAGTAACTTTCTTGGGCTTACTTCAATGCTTACGTTTGGTCAAATGGGTGCAAGTGGGCCCTGAAAACTATCAATTATGGGGTTAGGCGACCAACCAAGCTTTTCTGCTGTCTTCTGTAGCTTCATGCTGTTTCATGATTGGAAGGCATTCTGAAATGAGCGGCTAACCTATTTTGGCAGGCAATGCGATCATAAACTGTCAAGGGCTGGTGCCCAGCCGGCGCCTCAGGTATACAAAGCATCCCAGGCTGCCCCTGCCTAGATAGCTTCATCCTTCATCTCTAGCTCTCTCTCTTCCCTCTGATCACCAGTTTCGTGCTTGGGCTTCCTCCTAGTAGCACCTTCCGACTTAAACCGATGAGTCGTCTCTGTCATGTAGTGAGATCTTGTTCTAAAGCTATTAAACTCTATTCCATAAATGATTTTGGGGCAGCCATCGACCTTGGAAATCAAATTGTGACAATGATCTTCTCAGATAAATCTACACTCTTCCCACAAAGGCTGCAACACATGCTCACACACAGACTTTCGAAATGTTGTATCATTCCAGTCAATTTCTACAGGGCCTCCAGGATTCGTCGCAAAGTTGCATTCGACACATCTTTTGATCACCTTATGGTGAAATGGCATGATGTGGTCAATACTCTCATCTGCCCATTGGCATGCAGCATCATATCGGCATCCAACGGTATGGGAAGCAGAGATTTTGGCATCGGCAATAAAAGAGGCAAAGGTCTGCTGGTTCCACAGTTCGAGTAAAAGTATGCCTAATTCTAGCATCGTGCGCCGAACGCTGCAATGCGGCTTTTGCATTGTAGCAAATATGAAGTTGTGTTTTATCAAAGGCTGAAGTGGCATAGCGGGTGTCATAGAGCCGTTTGAAACCAGAAAAACCATATTGATATTCAAAGGTAAGTCAAGCCATGGCGTGGAATTGAGCTGCATCACAGATGAAGCCACGCTCAGGCTTAAAGTCATCCGCTGGTTCAATGATAGATTTCCTGCCTGCAAAGCGAAATCGAGTGGAATTATTTCGGCAGTATTCACGTTCATTGATGAGATTGCCGGTGGAGAAGAATGACAGAGAAGGCCTCCTTTGGACAGGAAAAGTTCTTCGAAACTCAGGCCGGTGGAATGTTGACATAAATCGTGAATAAGTCTGAGCTGCGGTCCTGGATCCTGACGGTTGTCTGTAGACTGAAAAGAAACTTTGGACTTTTCACTTCTTTTCAAATTGGCTGGAATAGGCATAGCAGACGGGTGGGCTTGGCTTGCAGAGGTGCTATTTTGATCGCTTGAACTGACGATTTAGCTACCAGTTCTAGCCCACGAGAAGGCGATTTTACACGTACCTATCCAAGCAGTACGATTGCATCTCTTCTAGTACTTTGATCTCCGCCTTGTAGCATAACCTTGGCTTAGCAGGTCCAAAGCCTACCATAAATGCCAACGGTATCTTTTTGACCGATTTCGGTCTTTTCATTGAATCTGCTCTATGCTGAATGAAAAATTGCGCTTCATGGCCCTCTGTGTGACAATTTTCTGTATAACCAATGGAAATGGCGGAATAAAGATGATATGCATGCTTGGCGACCATGTCGAAAAATGAGGTTATCTTTGAGACCGTTCGTGAGCCCGACGGGAAGGTTGGTTCGAGATGTGACTTGTATCGTCGAATTCGCTCGAGTTTTGATGTATTGAGATCCAGCTCATTGATTTGACGCTCCAAATCATCCTTGGCGATACTGAACTTTATTTTTCTAGAAAACTCGTAACGCCCGCTTCTCTGAGGGTAGATCTGAACAAGGGACAATAAACTCAGCTGTTAAGAAATTGAGTTATTAGGTTCATCCATAAACTTTGAAGTGTAATTCTGCGGAGTCACTCGGGCTCGAAATATTATACCGTGCGACATACTTGATCATTCGAGGCCAAACCAACAAGCCTCTGAGCTATTTTCATCAAATTTCCTTGACACCGGGCTAGCTCTGTCATATAAGGATCGAACCCATCCCCAAGGAAATCCCTGATCTCATCTGAGAGCTCTGGGTTATTAAAAACCGTGGGAGTCGGATTCTTGAGTAGGTTTTCAATTTCTTCTTGGTCGATCGAAGTCGCTTTCAGAGTCAAAGAAAAGTCGGCTTTAATGAAGAACTCCTGTTCTTTGAGACTTCGAATCAACTCCTCCACAAGTGTTTCCTTCTGTTGATAAAACTTCAGTGTTCGACTAGTGGCTTTATACTTCTCAATGGCCGATATTAGCAAAGGTATTGCGCCTAGCACTACACCTACGACCTCGAAGCCACTCATTGTGATAAAATATCAAATTCAGTAGATCTTGCTCACTTAGGCCGGAAAGGAGGGGTAGTTCAGTTGAGCCCCTCGCCTTAACACGTGATGGGCCTGGACAACCCATCAAACTTGCAGGGCTATTCCAATTTCTGCTCCTACTAGTACCCCTAGGTCATTGATTGACATTTTCCCGTGAAGATGAATACATCAATATCTCCAAGTCCTGCCGAGGCTTTAGCCAGCATTGGGAAACAGATACACACTGGGTTTTCTGACCTCGAGAAATTTGATACTCAATCCGGCTCCACAAGCAAGGCGATTTCAAACGAGCAGCAGCGCTTCCAACTGTGGGCTCGTAATCTTGGTCTTTATCATCACGGACACAGCTCTTTGGATTACCGGCTTCGGGATTCAAGTTTCCTGTTCGACTATACGGTTGGGCTACTTCGTGATCTTCAAAAGACTATTTTAAAGCGCAAGTTAGCTCCAATATCCGTATACCAGATGGCTAATTTACTTTATCTTAGTTGAAACTACGTTGCAGGAAGATGCCAATCACTATGTACAGTCTGAATATGCTTCAAACACAGCTTTCAGGTTGAAAGATGACGAATCAATAGACGATAGCGATTCCGAGGACTTATCTTCCTACGAAATTGAACCGATGCCTATAGTTCTTCTTACTACGATCACGTCTATCATTGATAGGCTGTATCGACTTGCGTTTAAAATTCGAAATCCAAGAATACGCATTGGTCGTAAAAGATTCTCGCTTCATGGAAACGCAAGCTCCGAGACAGAAAGCAATCTCATAGAATGCTTTAGAGATCTAGATGTGGCTCGTATCTCTGATCTTCTTCTCTCCTATCGTTCAAATCAAGATATTGCACCATACGACTACCTCATTCAGCGGCTGGTAAGGGCTAATGCACAACGAAGGCGGCAATTCGAATATTGGAAACATCGCAGAGATCAAGTTGAAGCTCAAAACAATTTTGAACTTGCGGGCATTGCAGCAACGATGTCACAGCCAGCAACTGCTACCGTTCCCGACACAGACAAAATTGATTTGAACGATGACCACTCCGCAACATCTTTGAACACGTCCATTATATCACCGAGCGAGGAATCTGATCAATACATAAGCATTCCCAGGCCTCCTCCTCTCGAGCCTGGAGCTAAAGAATTCGAGTGCCCCTACTGCTATTATCTCCTTCCTTCAGATACACAAAGCAGATCCAAGTGGGAGTAAGTCATCCGACTCTTTGTAATAAATAAAACCATACTCAGTCTCTGGAAACCTTTTAGATTGCACATATATCGTGACCTACGCCCATACATATGCACTTTTGAAAACTGCAAAGATCCCGACCAGCAATATGACAGTTTTCATGACTGGATGGCGCATGAAGCTTCGGAACATACCAATATGTCTCAGGTATCTAGTCGTTCACTATTGCATTCCAAATAAAAAATTGACTCTGAAACATCGGTCATTAATAAGCTAGCTAAGTTGTTGACTCGAAAATGTGCATTTTGTGAGAAAGAGAATGCATCCGCCGCCCACGTTGCTTCGCACCTTCGGCGCATTGCGCTTTTTGCTCTTCCGCGTTCATCAATCGACGATGGCCAAGACGAAAACTCCATGAAAGACTCCGAAGGAGCGGCAGTAGACTCTGATAGTTCGGGGGATTCATTGTTTCAAATGCGTGACCAGTTGAATCAATTTACGATGTCATCTCATGAAGGCGTTCGAGATTTCCAGAGTCCCACCGAATCATTAGGAGAAGGAGATATAATTAAACAACAGCCGGACGCAAGGACGGTACAGGAAGAATCATTGAAGCCAGCAAAGGCTAAAGCTTCATTTATGACGTCTCGAGTCTCATCGGGGTCCGATGGAACAAACGTTTCTCTACCTGCGAGCCATAAACCCCAAGAAGGCGCCAACCCTTTCGGTCCAGAAAGTACATCTAAATCTCAAGTACAATCCGACAAATCATTCCGCCGGTGAGTGTATGATATTGACCAATAATTATCACTATAATATCTAATACGTGTATATCGAAAGTTTGAATAATCCATCCCAAGAGCAAATTACGTTGGATGAACAACCTGTGGATCCAGGCAGAGCTTGGAAGAGTTCAGCCGGTTCCAACATCACAGACACCGGCGCAACATTAAGTCGGAGAAATTCAACAACGAATGTAGAAAATAAGGACCCCGTGGCTCTTTGGTTTTGTTGTGGGTGCAACTTCGGTCCCCATAACTCAAGTCTGTACAACAGTTGCGTCAGTTGTGGGGAGGAAAGATGTGCATTTTGTCCAAAAGAAACGTATGATTGAGACAATCAACAGGAGATATTCCAGGATACCAACATGAGCTTCGATCTGTAAGGGCATACTAATTAATATAAGAGCACATGGACAGGCCCCGGTGCAAAATCCGAAACGAAAATGTTTGAACTGAAAATTGGCAACACGTACTAGTACTAATTGTAAATCCTAAAAAGCTACACATTTAATTAAGCTTGAAACCCTCCAACTCTCCATCTGCTAAGTACGCCCTCTATTTCTTCTTCTTAAACCGATCCCAGTGGGTCACTTCCTCAACATACTCTGGAGCCAAGACTGTCACAATCTCTATGGGGTCGCCAGGGCTTCTCGCTACTTGTGGTACATCGACATATTCCACCATCTCATGGTCTTCCATTTCCTCCGCCAGTTCTCTAAGCCTGTTCGCATCTCGGTCGTTCCTGAGAGCCAATCGTTCCTTCGCTAGCCACTTCTTGTTATCCTCACCTGGCCTCCTCGGAACCATAGGGACATAAGCTTCTCTCCTCCTCGCCTGTGTCTTTATGCTGGCGGATCCAGCTCCGCTTGCTATAAAATTCTTCCGTTCATTTTTTTCGACTTCTTCTTTCAGTGTCAGTAAGCGTCGGATTGCAATTCTATCCTTTTCGACTTTGGCATACTCCTCGTATTTCCTTTTATTGCGTTCCGGAAGTTCATCCTCGTCCTCTTCGTCCGAGTCTCTTTCTTCCTTCTCAAATTTTACTTTCATTCCGCCGCCTTTCCGTCTTTTCCTCACTTTGAGAATTTTAGAATTTACTTTCGGTATTCTCTTTCCCTTTGGAACTGATAACTTACCTTCGAGCCCTGACATTTTGGTACCTGAACTTCCTCCTGCAGCCCCGTAGCGCTGAGGATTTGAATTTCCACCACCACCACCCGAGTCGGATGACCACGAAGACTCTTCATCTGAACTTTTTTCGTCCAAATCCATCTCGTCTTCGTATTTATGTGCTGCATTGTTGGGGCACAAACAAGGATCGCCCAGGATCTGCCGGGCGTCATTCTTGGAACCGAAATGATCACATTGATAGCGAATTCGAATTTCCTCTCCTGCCCGGATATCCTTATGTGCCCACACAATCACTCTGTTCAAAATTTGCGTGTCATAGGCCCACTCTGCATTCTGCATTCCCGCACACGTATGATTAAACATGTTCAATCCAGGAAAGACGTATAAGTTCATAAAAGAAGGGTCCCAATCTTCGAAAGTATACCCGTTCATGAGTCTCCGCTTCTGTTCCGCTGGATTTTCAAGCTTTCTATCTTCCTCCTTGGGATCCACATCACGGACATCTCCACGACGTTTCATGTCCCAGGGGACTGCGTTGACAAGTAGTTTTCGCAAAATGGTTTGCAAGGCCCACGTGTCAAAAGTGAGATCACGGAAGATATTCACGCCCAGGAACGAGACTATGTCGAATGGGATAATGATGTTCGCGGACATGGTGAATGGGAACCAACTATCCCGCCACGAATGGCTATTCCGACTAATAATTAAAAGTTCGTCGATCTCTTGTGGAGCCAGACCCGGCTCGTCATGATCTTGTCGGCGAAGAAGAGTGATTTCAGTCACGCTTCTTAGAAGTAAGCTCAAAAGCGTCCCGTGCACCTCGTTACTGTGGGAAATATGCTCTATTTGTCCCCATTGCCAAACATTCGGTCGCATGGTATCGTACAACCACTTCCAGTCTCTACCACAGCCATCGTAATGATATAAGTCATATGAAATGCTCACACACGTCTTTTCCTTCGAGCCTGATGGGCAGAATATAAGTCCCCTTTTATCGGAAGGGTTTCGATTCCAATGTTTTGCGCAACTGCAATACGGTTCTTCCTCCTCGTCATCATCACCGTGTGTGCGTTTATTGTCCACGGAAGGTCTTCTGATCGTGTCATCGACCTCGATTTTGCAGTTTTCGCATCGTATGTCGTCCACGCATGGCGTTTTCGTCCTGTCTTTGTTCAAACGACGGGCTGGAAGGTGGCCTCGAATAGTGGGCTCTTCCCAGTGAATCAAGTCACCTTTCTTGATATCCTTTTTCGCAAAGACGCCTAGCCCTTGCTGATTTAGCTTGCATTTAACCTCGCAAATGTCCGTCGGGCCAGTGGGGCTCTCCTCTGCTTCCTGTTTATGCTGAAAGATCTCTTCCGTGAGCTTTGTCGCCAGGTTCTTTTTAACCGGGAACAGGTCCAGAACATCATCCTTCTCGTATGGATATATGCTACTAGCTGAGATTGCGCCCTGGTGTCGTTCAAACCAGAAAAGGCCCGGGCGGCGCTTCTCCTTTCTCCATGCCTTTTCTGCTTTCTTCGATACTTGCTTTCGTAGATCCGCCACGAACCTCTCTAGATAGAGGCGGTTGGTTCGGGCGGCTAGTTGTCTATGATAGGAATCAAAGTCATCCCAGCAGTTGAGTGCTTCGAGGCTGAGACAGATGATATTGAGAAGTGTTTTCTGCATGGTCGAGATAAAGATGTAGATGCCCTGAGGTTTTCGCATCTCAGTGATCAACTCTGACCAAACTTTATCTTCATCCGTAGGTTCAACCAAGATATGCTGCTCCATTGCATGGTGGATCTGCGTGTGTAATCCATCTTTCGAGAAGCGATCCTGGGCCTGTTCGATAGTATTACAGAGGATCTGCGCGCGATAGGCGTCTCCAAGCGCCAGATCGAAAAACCCTTGTTGGTAATGGCAGTAAGCTCGACTAAGCCAGTAGGCTGGATTGTAAGGACTGAGGTGGATTGCAAAAGTGTACATGTCGATCGGAGTCATGGCTTTATTGGTCGCTGGCTGTAAGATGTACTTGTTGCTGCGCTTGATCCCTAAGTGTGACAGGTTGGAGACAGACATGACACCGCAGCGTTTTTGCACCTCATCATCAATGAGTCGCTGCTGAAGCTCTTCGGACTTTCCAACTTTCGATAATTCTCTTTCTTTCAATTCGGCTTTCAGGGCGTTAGTGCTCCAGTTGGCGACTCCGCGGATCGAACTATCGGCTATGATCTCGGCTTTCATCGATGCAATCATGGCCGCAGTGTCCCATGTTTTCTTCAAGCCCTCTTCTGCAAACAGCACCTTGGCTTCGTCTCGATTCAAAGGCAAGATTGCAAAAACCATCAGATGCTCGTACACGTTACGGGCCAGTCCTGGCTCCTCTGCTTCGGGAGAGGGGTTGTGATCGGGGCGATCTTTCCATGCTTTTCCCAGGGTGTCATCGGCCAACTTCCACACTTGGTAGGCCAATTTTGCATTTACTTTCGATACGAGAGGACCAAGTTGGATGATCTTTACGGTATTATTTGGTCTTGGGGGCCATTCTGCGGATTTTATCGAGGTCCATGGAGCTTGTGGCAGGAATGATTTATCGAATCGCTTGAAACCGGGACCATCCGGATTGTCTCCCCAAGCTTGATCGTCTTCGGTTTCCTGGCCGTTTTTTGGCCGCTTCTGGTCTGCTATTCCTCTTCTGTCTTCCATGAGAGCAGCCTTAATTATGAAATGGGAGGATGAGGTAGTATGGTTATACTGGAATATGTGCTTTTTATGAAGAGTCTTTTCCGGCGTAAATGAATACTGCTAGCAGGAAGGGCACTTGCATGCTGAATTCCTCGAGTCTGGCAAGGTTTTAAAGGAAATTTTGGGGTGTGAAGTGTGTCAAAGAGTAACGCGACAAAGAAACCTAGATCTTCTTTCATAATTACCGCATGGCTACCCTCTTGTTTAGCAGGGCAAATCAAGTGCTATGGATGATTGAAATGGAATCAAAGGGGCCAAAATGGAAAAGAAGAGTTGGTTATACGGAATAGCCAGTAAGTGCGAGGCAAGTGTGGTGGTTTAGTTTGTTTCACATGGTACAACTTTAGGGCCGTGGGGGCTATCGCATAAAGCATTTAACTCGGGGGATATCCACTTTACATCCCTAGTGTCATCTGGACTTTTTAGTTCGTTTCTAGAAATAAAAATAGATATTCTAGTATGCCGTGTGACTTTTGTGTACATCTACATGCTGTATCTTTATTTATCATGTGCCACTATCATTTGGTTGATGATGGCTTAGAGTGTCACGTACCTAGAGATATCTTTTAATTTTAATTTTCTTAAAAAAATTTAACTCTACTAGTATTATTCAAATTTCTCTTTCCCACTAAGATCCTCATAATCAACAGAGTTCGCGCCCGATAGTTTCGGGGTTTCGTTTAGTTTCGGCTTACTTGGAGTCTTTTTAGGTGGAGTCGAATGTGCCTTGGCCTCCGCTCTCTCCTTTTTTGTTTTTGTTCTTCCCCCCATCTCTCTTGGCTTGCGCTCTCTTCCTCTACCTTTCATATATTCCGAGTTCGCCTCTGGAATCTGGTAGTTTAAGACGATGAACGATAATGTACGGTCAACCGCCCCAGTCCGACTCTTCTCAGCCAGAATGGCGACTCTCCCCACGCCCCGCCAGGAATGATGCGCCTCTGCCTCCACCTCCACAACCTCCACGTCCAACCAGCTCAGTCTATACGCCAGCTACTTATGGTCCGATCTCAGGTTCGAATACTGTATCACCAATAACCCCTCATTCAGGGTCAGGAAATGATCCAAGGACGTGGGGGGTGCGATATAATCAACATCAACACATCCACCCCATTCATGCCCCGCCTCCACTGCCGGTAGGGAAATGCGCCAACTTCTTTGTGTTGACGAGAGTCGGGCTGACTCTCTCGGAATAGCCTCGACCATCGAGTACAAACGAGCAACCATATGCCTATACTTATTCCCAACCATTCTCCCCGCCACCGCCGCCGCCACCACCACCACCCCCCGCACCCACATCAGCTCCGGTCGTCGACACCCACTCCGCACCTACAACACATGGCTACGAATCTTTTGGAGATGCTCAGTCCCCATCAACAACTAGCACTATCCCACCGCCATATGTACCTTCGCACGGAGCCCCTGCTCCTATCGTTCCGGCCCCGCCCCCGAAAATTCCTCAGGGGTATCAGTATGCACCAGTTCATCCGCCTAACCCAATAGGGCAGCCCCCATTGCTTGCCCAGGGTGCGGGTCCTGCTGCCACGCAAGGCTCCTACGAATTTCGGCCCCAAAGGATGATGAGTATAGCTCCCCAGACAAGCTCATCGGCTTTGGGGCCAGGGACCCCGTCCGATTGGGAACACCTTGGTCCAACCCCCGGTGATTTTGATGATTCGGCATGGTTTCCACCCAGACAACCGGAACCGATTCCCCAAGAGGTCATTCAAACCCCTCCGGGGTTTTCGTCCGGTATACCTACTCCCGGCCCTACTCCTGCCCCTACGACCGGTCGGGAGAATCATGCCGCCAATCCTCTTCCACATGTAGATACCAACTATCATTACCAGCACCGATATCAGCAGGCTGCCCCACCTGCGGAATATCAATTTGATCAAACGCGCCGACATGACTCAGTTTCGCCTATTAGTCCTATGACTATGTTGGGTGCTCAGAATCCCCCGCCTCCTCCAGCTCGAATGGGTAGTACCAGCTCAGGCACATCCATGAGAAGCCATGCTGACAGTATCGACAATGTCATCGATGCATGGGTGAAGCCTCTGGCGCCTACCCCTCGAACAAGCTCATCTAACCAGGCCGATGCGCCATCTCGTTTGGATCCTCCAACGGATACCTCACAGGAGGCGTCTGAGAACAATTTGAAGACCCCCGTCGAAGTCCCGCCACCTCCTCAGAATATTCAGCCCCCTGTTCAGGACCAAATAGCAAGTCCAGGCACAACAGCTCCAGCGGAACCTCAAGCAGCCCTTCCAGCAATCAAAGCTGTAGATCCATATGAGGACCTCGATCCATGGTTCAAGTCCTCTCTCACTCGCTATGTCGCTACTTTGCGCAAAGAGGCAGTCGCTGACTCGGATGAAGAGCGCTACAAGATATTCACGGCGTTCATGGCAAAGGAAGCCAAGCTCCGCGAGATCCTCTACAATATTGAACCAGAGCCACAACAACCCGAGCCATCCCCCCCGTGTCTCCGCGCCGTCACGACGATTGTCATCACTCTCGGAGGATCGAACTTCGACTTATGAGTCAGGTCTCATTCCGGTGGAGACAGAAGACACAGTGCCCCCTACGCCAAGCACTGTCACAGATGAAGGCAACGACATGGATGACGTGGTAAGCGAGTATAGCGCCGGTGGGCGGCCTATTTCCGCCAAGCGAGCACGCCGAGGATCTCAATGGACGCCAAAGCTTTCTAGTCTAGGCCCCGAAGAGAACCCGACGACTCGCCTTTCCAAGAGTTCTCTGGCCCAGCTGTCAGAGGAGAACGCACAGGCACATGACTTGGCACCTCTCACGATAAACCCTCCGCGGCCTATCTACACGCCTTTTCGGTATACCGAGGGTCCTCAGCGAGGCTCGGATAAGCTTTCCTTTGGTCGTCCCGCCTACCAGGCCTACTCTGATCTACGCGCATCTGCTGTGAATGGTCGAATTATGTCAAATGCTCCGCCACCTACAAGTCGCTCTCGGTCGGCCACCTTAACTTCTCCCGCTCAGAACGAGAATGATGAGACTTTCCTTGGGATTATTCGTCACAAGAGCTCTGCGTACTTAGAAACAGCAGCCAATCGAAAGTCTATGCCGGCTGCCCTATTGCCGGAAGCTCTCCGCCAAGAACAAGGGAAGCCAAACGTTGTCGAAGAACTGCGTGCGATGGTTTGGACGCCACTCGACAAGCAGTCCGAAAGTTCATGGCATGTCACTATCCGAGAGGGCCTCGAAAAGTTGCCCGATGATTTCTCGTATATCCAACAGACCATCGATGAGTGGGAAAATGCTGCAAAGACTCGGAAACAGACTCTCGATCAGGAACGCACAGTCCGCCAAGAAGAGTCCGAGGAGCAGATCGACAAGCTTTTCAATGAAAAAGAGATCGGCTATGCGGACATCAATACATTAGAAGAGGACTTCAGACAAACAGAGGCTCGCGTTCAGCTGGACGAAGAGCGGCAAGATGTTGAGAACTTCGTCTCCCAGGTCTTTAACCCGCTGGATGAGCGACTCAAGGAAGAGATTTCTGCTCTTCGCAAGTCCTATGACTCCGCGCTCCAGCAATTGGAACGGGACCAGAAGGGCAAGAACTCGCCCGTTGAGCAGTGTAGCCCATCCGTGACGATGAAGATGGTCAATGAGACACACAGCAAATTGGAACTTCGATTCCAGAAGCGACTGGAGATTGCTCTAGACTGCGAGCGCCGTCGTAAGAAGGCCGAGCGCCGTCCGCTGGTTTTCATGGGCGACATGGCCAGTCTCCGCAAACTAGACGGAGATTTCGATCGAATGGAAAAGCGTAACATTCTGGAAGCCGCCAAGGACCGCGACGACCGTGCCAATCGCTTGATGGACTCCTTCGATGATGCAATCTTACACGGCTTAGGTATGAATCAGAGTTTACTGGACGAGCTTGTATCGAAAGTCGCCCATCTGGAATTCACAACCCTCCGCGCATCCGGCGTTCCGGATTCTGAACTTGAACAGATCCTCAAGGCCACCGCGACCTTCGCTACGTCGCTTCGCGCCGATTCCGAGGCCATCTTGCGCTGCTCAGGAATTGCCGACATGGCTCTCAACGATGCCGATTACAACGTCTCCGTCGCCGAAGCACGCTATGCCAATTCGGACACGGAAACCTTCGGCCGACTGGAGGATGAGAAGAAGAAGGAAGATGCGATCTTGGAGACTGATCTGAATTCCAAATTGCAAAGTATTAAAAAGTCGCCCGCGGATATCGAAGCGAACGTTCAACGCCTTCTCCAGACGTTGGCCGATGCGCCTCCTGCTGCGCTGTCTCCAAAATTTGCGCCGGCCAGTCAGCCTATTGATGTCACTCCCCTGGAACTTCGCCCAGGCACAGCAGCCCCCAGTCGAACACCGGCTTCTCTTGCGCCTCCTGCGCTATCTCCAAAATCTGTGCCGGCCAGTCAGCCTAATGATGTTCCCCCTCCATTGGAACTTCGCCCAGGCGCGGCGGCCTCCAGTCGCACACCGGCCCCTCCGTCGGCCCCTCCGGTGGCTTCTCCACCAGCTCAGGTTGATCGAGCTTCCGGTGCGGAGTCAGAGCATCAAGAAAGGTTACGCAGGGCTCTGGAGCAAGCCAAGAAACGTAACGCGGCTAGGAATCCATGATCCTTTCGCAGTCTCGTTGTTTTATTTGGGCATTTGCCTGGGCAACTCCCATGACGCGACGAATTTCTTTGTTTCTACGATATCCCCCTCGTTTATCTGCATGCGCATAGCGTGTCCACGGCTTTCTTGATATCAGCTATATTTTCTTTTGGTTGTTTTGACCATCGATACCCGCTCGTTTCTATACAGTGTCGTTCAGCCACATCGTAACCACTAGACCTCCATGCAATTTGATTGAACTGCACGCATATCTACATAAACCGGTTTAATTATCAACAGCCCCTGCTGCCCTGCTGTAATATAGTTCTGACGAAAGTACTTCCATAGTTGTTGGATGGGGCACAGGCCAAGGCCAACTATGAGTGGACACTTCTGCAGGGTTGGTCGGAGTACTTTTTCCCGTGTAACACAAAGCATTCATCAAAACCAACACAAGTCCCCTCCTCGCATACCGACAGTCCAACATCAATCAAAACACTAGCGACGATTTGCCTAACCGCTCAGCTTCACTCAGGTACCAACCAACACTCTGCACAGCAATTCAAGTCCAACTCTTTTGATCCGGCGTCGACGCTCAGCGTCGCTCTTATTTTCTCTGCAACAATGCCAGCGCCACCAAGTGTGGCTGCGAAAAGCAGGGGCCAAGGACGTTCTTTTTTATTTTGAAACCCCGAAGAAACGCACAGACGAATCCTGGCAAAACTTCGGAGAGGGCTTGAAAAATTAATCCCAGTTCCATGTGGTCTCTCCGAACGCCCCGTGTGAATCCGATCCGATGCTGTGCAGACCAGGCACACTTTAGGCGCCCGTCCACAATGATTGGCGGCCGCGAGCCAGTCAGGCTGGATTAGACGCCAATTTCTCGCCGATCACAACTTCTCTACGCCGACATCGATGATCTCAACCTCGACTGCCCCGCAAGTCACCTAATGAGATTGGGCGATGACCAAGTCCACCCCACCACTTTCCTAGTCTAGAAAGGAGTGGAAAAGGAATATCGACAAAAAGAGACCAAGATTATTGGACAGGGAAAAGAAAGCCTATGGCCAGACAGTCTCCAGCATCTCCAGACCCAACATCCAAACCAGCGGGTCCTGATGTGCTGTGCTGTGCTGTGCTCTGCTGCGCCGGCACAGCAACACTAAAGCACGCTCGCAGATTGACCATATCACCTGCGCTAACCGTCAGACTCGAATCCACGCACCTAATTAATAAAAGTTCTCGCCCTGGTGCCGAATCGATCGTGCCCAGTGCCGCTGCCATTCTCAACGTGAACTCCCTGCCAATTGACACGGGGGGGGCGATATGCAAGGCAGCCCTGTTGAATCACCAACTCGAGAAATTTTGCTCCGAAGAATGACAAGAATGGGTTAATTTGAATGTGTGGCGGGTCCGGCTTACTCTTCTTAGTATTGTTCAGCCAGTCCAACACCTGTCACAGGTATACAGTAAGTTTTGACGTTGGAGATCGAATTCGAGAAGTGTCCCTGCTGTGCTGTGCCGAGATGGACCGAGCTTTCAGGCACGCTCACGCGTACTCCGTACATGCTTCGTCCATCGAAGTGGCGGGACAAAAAGAAAACAGACCTACGTCTCAATGGGGTAAGATCTCCATAGAATCTACCCTCCAAATGCACGGAAAGAAATGAGTATGCAAAGTGCGTGCTAAGATAGCCCCCCCATTCCTCAATGACTCGCTAGTTGGTGTGGATTTGACCTTGGCATGACATGGTACGGAATGCATAAGGATCCATTGCAGCAAAATCAGATCTGAAGGGGTTGCCCACCACTAACAAGCTAGAGCTTTTTTTTGGCAGGATTGACTTTGAGGCCACGGCTATCAGGAGCTAACACCAGGGTGGAAGCAAAAAGCGAAATGGCGAAGAGGGGGGGGATGAAAAGGGGAACGGGCGGGTGTGACGCCTCACACTAGCACCGAAGGGAAGATCGAGATTCGTTCCCCCGCTGGACGATCGCAGCACAGCAGCTTGTGCCCCAAGCGGGCTGGCAGATCATCTAGCCCAGACACACGTCTTTCTGGCGCAGCATAGCACAGCACAGCACAGGCCAACTCAAACCAAGCCAGCACAGATACGAAGCTACGCCCCGGTTGAAGGTAAAGCTGATGCCATACTGATGTCAACATGGCTCTTCCTCAATTCATCGTGCATCTCAATCGACGGGAGACCCATCCACTTTCCCTTTATTCCCGAGCCCGGGCCCTCTTGACCCCAGCAGATTCGCCAAAGGCGTCTACCAACCTGCGGCATGCATCTCGTCCTGTACAGGGTCAAGTAGAACCAGTCATTCCCAATGGAAGCTTTGCCGGACAGATATCTCGCGTGATTCCGGAGAGATAGCTCACCCAGCAACTGTGCTCTCGTGCCCGGGTAGGGTATTCCATTCAACTCTTTTTTCTTTTCTTTTTCTTTTCGTCCCTCTCCGTCCTCCTCCCCTGCCGCCACTAAAGATGGTTAGGAGAACCGAGATCAAGATCAACCTGTCAGAAAGAAAACTACACGCATGAACCCCAGATTTGTTTCCCATTCCACACGACGTCTGTGCGCGCATGCTGCAAATTAGTGTCCTAGTGCCATTGGATTGAGGGACCTAATTAAACGGTTCGGCCTTGTCGAGACCTCATCCCTTCAACTCCTGTCCACACCCTAATTTGCTTTCCCCTTGCCACCCCTAGAATCCTATCCTTACGCGCCGTTGGATCTTTCAGTTGACTGCGCCGAACGGAAGTGGACATGTGTTTTTTTTTTTTCGAGGTTTTTTTTTCATTGATTGACCTGATAAGTTACCGGGCCATTTGATTTGCCATTTTACATTTTTTTACATTTTTATTATTGGTTTTTTTTTTCCTGATCTAATTATTTTTCCACCGATCTTATTCGATCCGAGAGCTCTCCAGCCCTCTTCTTTTATTTTATTTTTTTTTAAATTTTTTTACCCTTTCTTTTCTCCCCTTCCCCCTCTTCTCTAGTATGTACTCACACTCTTCAATCTCCTCTCTCGGAAGCCCCGTCTGCGGATGAACCTAGTCATCTAGTCGGCACAGTTGCATACCGATACCAGCACCGGCGCAGGTGCAGGTGCAGGCACAGGCATACCTGGGCAACCATTTTGTTGGATACCAAATGATGATCCAGTATTACTTCAACATTACTTTACAAAGTACCTAAAGATGAACCAGCAGCAAAACTTGAACTTCCCAAGAAATTATTTAAAGCGGGCGCCAGGGAAGCCCGATCCATGGTTCAGGGTACCCGCTTCCGTCCTTGGGTCGGAAGAACTCTCGTGAATCCAAATCCACAGCTCTCTCTGTATATTTCACCCCTCCCTTTCCCCCTCCCCTTTATTTCTCATCATGCCTCCCCCTACAAGGCAATTCCACCGTCTCTCTATCGGCCAGATGCCTGCGCGGGACTCCAGGTCCGCCCGCGCGGGGCGGGCGGACCCTTCCGAGAGACTTCGCGAGGATAATACTTCGCCAGAGGAGAGTGGGGAGGAAGAAGACAGTGAGCAAAGCAGTGATGAAGAGGATGAGTCTGAGGATGAATCTGTTGCTGTGGGCACTTCGACTGTCTCGGCCCATTCGGGAATCACTTATGATCTCAGCCATCTAGATACCCAATCTGAGGCTCACGCCTTGGTGGGTTTGGGAGAACAAATCGACGTCGTGAATGCCCGCGCTTCGTCTACGGGATATGACTTTGAGCTTTCGGATAGACCTCGAGTTCACGTTGGCAAGGACTCGACTACCTGTACCTGCTCGGCTTTTCAAGAAAGACCCGAAGCAGCGTGCCACCATATCTTCGTGAGTCGTCCCAAGCACTGAGAAAAACAAACAGGGTTCCTCCAGTCGTCAGGCTACTAAATACAAATACAATTGCTAATCCAGCCCCATATGTAGTGGGTTCTCGACCAACTCCACGGTTGCTTCCCTTCCAATCCTCCTCCGCCCTCCGACGAAGGTGTAACTTTGTCTCCCGACGGTCGACCACAGGTCGGAGCACGCATTGAGGATCTCCTAGAAGGCCAGCTGGAAGCAGTCACAGGACGTCTGGATTGGCAGTATATGCGAATTGACGGCGACGGCCGACGAACCGGCATGACACGCGCAGAAAAACTCCGAGACATACTCTCAGCTTTCAACTCGAGCATTCTAACAGAAAACTTCCGCCAGGATCTCGTCGAGAAGACGACGCACGCACGCACCGCAGAGCAGTGCGTCGTACAGGGGGACGTGGAAGCAACAATCTTCCGCCTCGCCATGCTAAATGACGGCCTATTCATCGACCTCTGCAAATCCCAGCCCGCGCAAGCCTGTGCCTCCATCTACTTTGACAAAATCCAAGAGCAGTGCCGGCGACTCCTCCGCGATTTCGACCGATACTGCGCGACAGGCGAGCGGCCCACGGATCCCGGGAGTCCTGGCGGCGGTATGGTCGAAGTGGACGAGGTAGTGGCGCAGCTGCGGAAACTGGTGCAGCATATTCGGATGAACATTGCGCTGCGCTCGCCGCATGGTTCGGAGGGTGCGGCCAAGGCACTTGTTTCTATTCTTGAAGCGGTGACGGCTCGCAATAAGGATCCGTTGGATGGAAATAATTGGGGCCGGTCGTCCTTTCATGGCGAGGATGAGGATCAGCGGAATTTATACCAGTTGCTGATCGGGTCGGAGGATTCGGATATTGATTCTGATGAGGAGCTTTTTGTCATTGATGCGCTGGAAAGCCTCGCCCCGTCTGATCTCTACCAATTCATCAACCAGCTGCAGCCTATCCAGCAGCGAATGGAGGTGAATCGTGCACCGAAGGCGTTCCTTCTTCGGTTGGGTGCTTTGGTTCGAAGGGCGCAGTCAGCTGGCTCTGAGATTGCGTCTGGATCTGGACATAAACGCCCGGCAGCTGGGGGCCCAGGAGGCTATTCGAAACGGACTCGTTGATTGATTTTTGATTTTTTGATTTTGCACTTACTTCTCCTCGTCATTTCTTACTGCATCACTGTCATTGTGTGGATTTCTGATACTCTGTCATTGTCATTCTTGGGCGGCCATCGCATTCATTCCAATCAAATACCCCCTGCATCGTTTGTTTGACCCACATCGAGACTCCAAAATGCTTGTTTCTCTCTTTTCCAGAATGCCACTATCATTTATTTACCTTAGTGTAGCTAGCCCATGTTCTAGTCTGCCATCATCCATCTAATCAGATCGATCTTATTTCGTCTTCCCATTACATTCCCCGGTTTTCCCTTCTATACATAAAATTATCTGACTACTACTATATCACCGATCTTCCAGCTCGTACACCTGATCGAGATCGCCACTCGTCAGAACCCGGTTCATTCACATCACGCTTCACCCTGGGACCCAGCCCCAACCCCGCAAGACAGCATAATGACCACTATACAAAACCCGACAAGAACGTCAGGTGTAGCATGGCGTCATAAAACCCTCCTAAAATCCCAGCGCGCCGGGCTGGGGCCCCCGCGCCCATGGTCCGGCACGCGCATGGGTCGTGTCACTTTCGCCGCCGTAGCCCGATTTGAGCGCGCGAACCGTGGAAACCTCACCGCGTTTTGGGGCTTGGATCCCCACTTTACAGCACGGGCTGCGAAGATAATAACAATGTTTGGTTTTTAAGTTGGATGAGGGGATTATTGTGTTATTCTTTGTAGTGAGTAGCGTAGGGGGGGGTGGATTTGATTTGTCTATCGTGGGTGAGCAGGGTGCAGTGCAGCCTTGTCCCTAGGGTATGGTTGAGTGGGTGGGTCTATCGACTACCTGTCGGGTCAATTCTTTTTTTTCTCTCGATTTTTTTTTCTACTGGATATTCATATCGTGGAGGCTTGAGGATCGAATATATTCTATAATTAGTTTCTGTATAGTTTCGGGACCGAATGATAGAATGATATCTCGACTTTGATTTCTTTGGAAATTTCACTGATAGACCGGGGTGCTGGCACTGGAAAAAGCTTCAATGAGCAGGATTGTACTAGCAACGTCTCAATTTCTGTAAGTTTCCTGTACATTTTTCTTTATGTTTCATGTTTATCTGGCACAATATCCCCAAATTTTACACCGTTATATGCGATCATTCTGGTTATGATCAACTAGCAGGAAAATATATGACATACTAGTGAAAGAGACTAAGATATAATATCTTTCTTGGATGATCATACGCCACTCCAGTCTAAGTACTCATCCTCCCTATTATAATATATCTGGCAGCTCCAAAGAGATCCTCTGTCGGCGGATGGTTTGTTATATTATTCTAGCGCGGCAGAAATAAGATCGCCTAATACAACATCCCCACTGCGGTTGATGAAAGAAAGCTGAGAACAAATCTCAATTGCAAATATGAAGATGCTGCACTATTTCTTCTACCAAGTTTCTTGAATACTCCACGAATAGACACAAAAATTGTTCAGAATTCTACAGGAAGAATTCTATTTGTCATGGTATGTAGTGCGATGGTGGAGTCAGCGGAGAACATGGACTCGGCATTGCGCGGATTCGACCTTGGATTTCATAAAAACAGAGAATATCAACTCCAACCGAAAAGGTACTGGCCTGTGTGATTCTCTGTCCGACTTCGGGACGCTTTTCTTCTCTATTACTAATTGCCGCCCAAGGTGTCGAGTATACCACATACATGCAGCTCTTCAAAATCGTACGCTCACTTCTCGTTCCACTCGTTCCCGCGCCTATATTTTCATTCTCCACTTATTACGGGGCGCCTTAAGAATATTTTGCGTTGGACTTTCCCCCTTTCGGTTCCTTAAAAGCCTCGGGGTTGGTCCGAGCTTTTCGGCTGTGTGTGGAAATTAAATTCAGCTTTGTCCGCTTTTTTAACTTGCCTGTGCTGGCTGGCTGTGTAGACTCTCGCTCCTTTGGGAGCTTTGCAGATAATGGCTTCTTGTTCGGCGGAGTCTCTGGGCTGCTGAGGATTTTCCTTCAAGGTGGGGGTGTAAATTTGATCGGGTAGCCCGTGTTTAGTGGAGGGTTGGTGGCCTTTAATTCGCACACGTTGCGCTAGGTTTTTGTTTGTGCAAGTGTTTTCCAGGAAGGATGGTTGGTTCCTGGGGTTTTGGTGGGTTATTTTTTTTACAATGAGAGGTATGAATTGAGTCAAACTACTAGTACTATTCCTACCGAGGTCGTACAGTTGATTCAATGCCCAGGTGTTGTGTAAGTGCCGCCACCTGTTCCTTGCTTCGTATTCTTATCGACTTGGTATTTTTCAATCATAATTCGGAAGTATTTATTTCCAGATAAATCTCGCATTCCTCTGATGCAGTCATGATTTTCCAAGGTAGTGATCAACTTGAACCTTCGCGCCGGGGGCTGTGTTAGATCGGAATATCAGAGTCGGTCATTCATTTACTAGTAGATCCAAACTTTGAAACCTTGATATATCTGGATGATGGTTGAGGATAACATTAGGTGTATCTTGATAATATTTACATCCAACAGCCTAAGTGCTACCTCGTCAACCTCGGAGGTATTTGCTGATATAGCGTAATTATGAGGTGGCAGGATAGCGGTTGTAATGATAGACCTCGGGAATGGTTGGCCCCTGCCATGCGTGAATTGCTTTCCAATATTCATCTCGCGAGACTGGCCCTTTTAGGACATAAAAATCCTTTAGTCTAATATTTTGGCTTGATCTGAAAGTTTCCTTACGAAAATAAACTAGGAAAATTGAAAGTTTACTGGTTTTTGAACGTACCACAGGGAGATTTAGCACCAGAGAATCAGTAGTGCAGACCACTATATATATCCAGCAATATTTGAGAAAGTTGGCATTGCCCAGGTGCTCAGTCACCCTTGGAGTTGAGGGTTTAAAACTATCCGAGCTGGTGCCTGGGTATCAAAACACTACCTTGGTATAACTAGAATAGTCCTTGAGAAGTCTAAATGTAGTGTTGGTGGCTATTTGATCCTGAGATATCTAATGCGTTTTGGGGAATTGGAAAATCTTAAGGTATTTTCCTTCCTGCTCCATAGCGGCAAAAGTGGAGCAGCATTATATACAACAGGCCGGCTGGCCCAATGGCAAGGCGCTTGACTACGAATCAAGAGATTGCAGGTTCGACCCCTGCGTCGGTCAACTTTTTTGTGCATTTGAACATTCTTATGCTATGTTCTTTAAGCAAGACTTTTCTTTTTGCATCTGTTGCGCAACAACTCCAAATGGCCAGGTTACATACACCTCCTTTTGCTACCCCCCTGAGCACTCACAAAATTATTATCTAAACTTCAATTCTTATTGAGCCGAGACTTTTAAATGTATGATAAGATCACTTCATTTATTTATTCATCAATGGATACACATAATACTAATACGGCACTACCTCAATTATTGTCGAGGGTACTCAGCCCGAGAGGTCCAGAACGACACGGCCCTGCAATTTACCCTCGGCCATCTCCTGGAAAACAGAGGTCAAAGCATCCATCTTCTCGACCCGATAGTGAGCCTTGATGATTCCTCTCGCAGCAAACTTCAACGTCTCAATTGCCTCGGTGCGATTCCCGACCGCAGAACCCGTGATAGTATAATGTTTATTAATGAATGATGACGGGAAAGCCGTCGCGATAGCCTTGGGCTCATGCTCGGGAATACCCACGCAGACCAGCGTGCCGTTAAATCGGAGTAGCGGCAGAGCCTGAGCATATGCAGCATTCGCAGCCGTACAAACGACAGCAGCATGGGCGCCTAATCCATCGGTTAGGGACTGCACATGCTTCTGAAGGGCGGCTCCGTCATCATCAGTAGGGAACTGGGTGATATCAACGAAATGCTCGGCTCCGGAGTTTTTCACGAGCTCGGCCTTGCTGCCGTGATCAATGCCAATTACACGCAGTCCCATGCCCTTGCTGGCAAGCTGCACGGCGATATGGCCGAGACCGCCGCCGGCACCGGAAATAATGACGAACTGGCCAGGCTTCGCATTGCTGCGCTTTAGAGCTGCGTACACGGTGACACCGGCGCACAGCATGGGAGCTGCCTGGGCGGAATCCAAATCGTCTGGGATTGGAGTCACATAGTTGGCGGGGCCAAGTGCGTATTGTTGGAATGTGCCGGGTGTATAGTAGCCCGAGACCTTCTGGTTGAAGCAGAGTCCGTCGAAGCCCACCTGGCAGGGTTCTGTGGTATCTCGGTTAATACCTAGGTAGACAAGAACTGTATTATGGAGAAAAAGAAACTTACGGCAGTTGCCGCATGCGCTGGAGACCCATTTGATACCGACGCGATCGCCAACCTTCAGACCGGAGCTTTCGGCACCTGCGCCAAGCTTGACGATCTTTCCTACACCCTCATGACCACCAACCTGGCCAGGTTGAGTAGGGAAAGGGAGCATGCTCCACTGTCATAGATTAGAGATGGACGGACCCATTCCGTCAGGAGAAAAGACCTACTGTGTTGGTCATGATACCATAGTCAGAATGACATACGCCGGAGTGTGTCCTGCAACGGAGTTAATTCCCGACAAGCAAGAGGTAGTGAATGAATGATATACAGACAAATTAATAAGAACTTCACCCGCACCGGGTTCAGGGACGTCAATCTCCACGACCTTTGTCGAGACCGTTCCAGGCTGGTCGAAGACAACAGCCTTTTGCTTCTTTGGAATCTCAACCATACTGAAAGATTGATAATATATCACAGAAGAAAGTGTAGGGAAATGTGAAGAGTTTCAGCTCGATTGACGGAAAAGAAGGGAAAGGGTGAGGTAGGATCGACGGCGAGCTATTTGAAGGCTTTCCCCGCCAAGTGAAGAGGAGGTCCGGTTCATGTGGAGAGGCGGGGCGTAGCCTATCCGAATCCACAAGATGATCGGGACCTCGGAGGCGAATTAGTCCTGAACAAAAGAGAACATAGTTAGGCCTGTTTTATTCGTCACTGTAACCGAAAACAGGGAGACGCTGATGAGGGGTGCGTGGTGGAGCCATCATGTAGCCTCGGTTCCATAGGTGTGACCAACCCCAGATCAAATCAAAGAGGTGAGTTATTTGAATTGAGGTGATATCGCGAGAAATCAATTAAAACAAGAGTATTGAAGCTGGATTGAATATTTATATAAAAATCTAGGCCTCAAGGTCCTCGGTCTGGCCGTTGCACTGCAGGGCAATGCATTGCTGCTTGCTCGGCGAGCCCCGCATCCCCGCATCAAGCCCGACGCCAGCACGAGCATCCTTAGAATGGGGCGACAAGTACTAGGAGCTCCTCAGGGCTTTAAATGATACCGGGGGTTCAATTTTACAAGGACCACTAAAAGAATATGACGCTAATTTCTTTATCCACTGATCTCCATAATTAAAGTATCTTCTCCATTCCATCTTTACAACGAAAATTCTAGCCGGTTTCCTGCATAATCCCGCGCGAAAAAACGAGTGGGATACTCCTTTCCCTTTGTACCTGCATTTAAAAAAGAAATCTAGTCATTATACTGACCCGGGGGCTTTTGAAAAGAAAATAACTGACCAGAATCCACCTCTCCAGGCTTATCGGCTGTTAGCGGAGCTGCCGGCCCTCCTCGGACATGGTGATCATAAATTGATTTCTTGAGCTGCTCCAGCTCCTCGCGGCTATTGATCTTGAAGCATGGGTGCCTGGTTGATTCCGGATCCGCTGCGATGTGGTCGGTGATGTGTATCTGCTGTCCGCTGGAGCCGATGTTGAACCTGCGGGGCATCAAGCCGATTAGCTGGAGCTTTGGTGAGGTCTAGCAGAGAGAAGGGTTTGGTATTACGGTTACTTACCAGCAGATTGTTCCTATCTGGAGCGCAGGCACAGGCGCTGATGTCAAGCCAAGGGTCTTCACATAGAATTCCTCTGCTTGCGCCAGCGTGCCGGGCGTTACCGTGAGATTGACGTGTGCGATACCGGAAATCATGATGAATGTCGTGAAAGTTAAGAGGAGAGACCTGAGGACTTCTTTTGGATTATTTGAAGGGTTTTAAAGCAACATAAGCGTGGCGGTCCGAGATATGTTATATTTATCAGAGACGCGGGGGATACGTGGGGGGGTACGCGGGGTGACACCATTCGGAGGCTCGGAAACCAAATCCCGCTGATTGGTGATCTACTGCACTCCACACCGGAGTAGATCTCTCGCTGACACCGAAAATGTTCGACTGGGATTGGCTTAGATGCGAATTATGAGTGAGTCACATCATCTCATCATTATTGAATATCGGGGTTTATATCAGGTGACCGGGTCTGTTCGCAACGGGAAATTTTCCAGAGGACCGGATTCACTGATGGCCATATCTTGTCATTCATTTCTGGGCTATGGAAATACAGGAGCTCAAAACCATGACAAAATATCTGAACACCGATGTCGATTCGAATTCCGAAGCAGTAAAAGCCAGAGCTCGTATACCGCCATCATACGGGCCACCGTAGTACTGGAGAGACGGCGCGTGAGGGAGATTCTTACCCGGATGAAGACATAGCCGATACCAGGGAGTCGCGAACCGGGAGTTGACTTACCATTTCCGGTACAGCTGGACCCTGAGTTATACGGCCATACATACACTGATATACCTAGGTGCAATGCATGCTTTGCTAGGCCCAAGCCCCGACAATGCTCATGCAGAAGGCACCCAGGAAAACCAAAATGCAGGCGTACACTCGCTTTCTTCCACGAAGGACACGCCAGCTCTCATCACTGAGAAAATCCTCAGACATAAGCTCGACCAGAGAGGCAAAAATCAAAAGTCCAGACGACATAGCATTCATGCAACCGACGACCAGCAGGCCGACCTCCGAGTCGGGACTGTATAGAGTGTGAGTTGCAAGGCCTATAGCCTGTCCGATGGGAGTTCTAGAAACAAGTCAATTACGAAGAACCTTTAGAGGACACTAAGAAGAAAAAAAGCTTACGTGCAGCCATAAGCCAGGGACATAATCCACGGCTGAAGTTGGTCCTTCCTCCAAGGCAAAGAGGCAATTCGCGAGCCCAATGCCAGACCCTCGAATGTTTCTGTCACATTTCATTAGACGATACCAGATACTTAAACGCCACACGAGAATAAACTCACGATGGAAGACAATGGCAATGAGCAAGACCACAAACTCTTTCCCAACAGAAACACTGAGAGACATGCCGATGAAAACACTGTGGAAGAGAATGCCCATCTCGAGGAGATAAACTTGCATCGTCTCTTTCTTCTGCTTCTGTTCTGGCGATAGGGCGAATGAGTCGTCTTCACGCTCAAGATCAGTGTGAATGGTACCGTTATCCTTCTCATGGTGAGTTTGGATATTCGGAGCAGATGCGACTCGAACAATTTCTTCATTGCCTTCGCCCATTCGATTGATGGCCCTGCTGATACTCGCTGACCTTCCGACAAGCGGACCCATATCCCGCAGATGGGATCCAGCGTCTAGCCCGATGGGCTGAGAAATGTTTGGCCTTGAAACAATAGCGTGGAGATTGTTATCTGTGCTTGGAGAGGAATCCTCTTCCTGGCCGGGGCGGGTCCGGTCAATATTTGCATTAGGGGTACGGTTTCCTCCCCGGCAGACATGCCTAGCTGGGCTGAAAACCATCTCGATAACCGTGACAAGAAAGATGCCGCCTAGTGCAATTGCTCCCGGCATTGCCGGGTAGTCCTTTGTCCAAAAGTCCGACAGACATGGGTTCCCAAGAGAGGTGAAGGCAGTTGGGAGAAGATGCACGAAGGCCGTGGCGATCAGAACGCCAGTTCCGAAATGGCTCACAAAGAATAGAAAGGAGGCGGGTACATGCAGTCGAGGAAAGCGCGTTGCGAGAATTGGAAATGCACAGCCAAATCCCGACACGAAGAAAATGATGAAAAGAGCGGCAACATGTAGTGGCATGTCATACGTATCGCCGCCGACTCCGCCAGAAGCGCATCGCGATCGCTTTTCTGGCTCGACAAAAGATCTTTCGACTGGCGAAACCTCGAAGAGCAGTGGCTGAGCCGAACTTTTATGTTTGTTGCTACCAATGCGGGAGATGAGAATTGACATGCAAATAACCGAGAGCAGCCATAGTCCCCAGTCCTTGACGCGTTGGGATGAGATGAAGTTGTTGTTTTTTGGAAATGATTTCTGAGAGACCGATTCAATTGGGTCCTTTCCAGAAGTGAGGCGTCCTATAGGGAAATTTAGCCATGAGGTCGATGGATAGAGAAGAGGGGGATGCCTCATTCATACCTGACTTTGTCAGGGACGCCTCGTCCAGTGCAAGCGGGCGATCGCTTGCATCGGATCTCCCTAGAGACGGTCGATGTGCACAACTCGAGCCACTTCCCAGCAGCTCCGATCCCTTCTCCTCTGCTTGATTCTCGCGAGCGTTTGAAATCCCGATGAGGTCTTGGCGAGTCGTCAGATCTGGCGCGAAACGGGGTGGGTTCTGGTTCCAGTCGTCGTGCAACCAGGTGTCGTCGGTGCGGGAGGGGCAATTCATTGTTTTATTCTTCCAATAGGTAACTTCTAGTCTGCTTACTGGGATCCAGGAATGTCAAAGGGGCCCTATTTGAGCCACCTCGAGACATAAGGCAGCATCGATTCTGAAGGCTTGGCAGGCCGGTCCGACTTTGCTTGGCAGCGGAGGCAGCGGAGCCCTCTTTGTCTCCGTGGCTGGCTTTGATTGAACCATCGGGCCGAATACGCAAGGTTTAGTATTTTTAAACATAGATGATATGATAGATCGAAGTTTATTTCAAGTGAAGTGGATGGGGTAAGAATTACTTCCGAATTGACCAAGTCACAACTATTGAGAGAAATGGGGACGCAGAAATGGCCACTCATAGGCACTCCTTTCATACCTAGGACGATGATATAGGATCGATGTCTACTAGTGCTCTACCATATTTATCACAAGTGAAAGTATCGCGGAAAATACTGCTATTGTGAGTCACTTCAAAGAGATTGCAGCTTTGTGAAGGTGCTCGAGGAGATTCCTGGTCAAATATAGCTATAAGTCTCTGGCTTTACTTTTAAGGAGGCTTAGACGCGATGATAGAATTTCCTGATTATTTTTTCTCCTTGTCTAATGACTATGATAGCAGGGTAAGCTCTTACAATGGCCGGAAATGGTGAGTTTCATACTCCGCATTTTTAGCTGCGGGAACACGCCAAAGCCGAAGGCAATTGCGGTAATTGCGGAAGTTCTACGGGAATCCCCAGAAGTTTTGACGCAACCCCCTCAAACGACCTCTGTTTTGACTCACTTGCAAAATTCCATGAATGTTTTTATTCTGTCTCGGTTCCTCTTACTGATTCGTTGACATCTACTTTCGACAAGCTAACCGATCGATATTTGTTCCGAAGTTTCGCTCCCCAAAACTTGAGCGGGTGTCGAATTCCTTATACCGGCGATGCGGCTGAATCGAAAGCACGACCAACAGGTCGATCGCGAAAAGAGTGACCAGGAGCTCGCATCTTCTAAACCAGACCAAGTTCCCGATGGGGGACTCATAGCCTGGGTGCAAGTTGCTCTTATGCACATCGTATTCTTTAATACCTGGGGCGTCGCGAATGGCTACGGCATCTTTCAGCAATACTACACCCAAACACTCGACCTTTCAGAATCGGCAGCATCGTGGATTGGTAGCGTCCAGATGTTTCTTCTTTTCTTCATCGGCGTTTTCGCAGGGCGTCTTACCGATGGCGGATACTTCCGAGTCATATTTGCCTCAGGAGTTTTTCTGCAGGTGTTGGGCATATTTATGACCTCGTTGGCAACAAAATATTGGCAAATAATCCTCGCACAAGCTGTTTGTCTCGGAATTGGCAACGGCCTGACATTTTGCCCAGCGTTGGCAGTTCTTTCACAGTACTTCAAAAAGAAACGAGCCTTCAGCGTTGGGCTAGCGGCTGCCGGCGGCGCGGTTGGCGGACTTGTCTATCCGGTCTTGATCAACTGGCTGATCTTCAAGGATGGTGTTGGATTTCCGTGGGCTTTGAGAGCCATGGGGTTCATTATGCTTGGAACATACATCCCATGTTTGATATGGTTCAAGCCACGCATAGCACCTCGGAAAAGCGGCCCCTTGATAGATACATCTGCTTTTTCCGAGATGCCGTTTATTTTCTTTTCGTTGAGCATGTTCTTTATCTTCTGGGGACTCTATTTTGCATTTTTCTACATGGGTACTTTTGCTCGGGATCAGCTTCAGTATGCGGAGCCAATTTATCTGCTAATGGTTCTCAATGGCGTTGGTGTGGTCGGACGAACTGTTCCATCAGTCATCGCAGATAAGTGGACGGGCCCACTAAACGCCTTGGTCCTGCTGAGTTTTGCGTCAAGCTTGCTTGTATACTGCTGGGCAGCGATAAGCTCAATCGGGGGGTTGTTTGCCTTTACCATTGTGTATGGGTTCCTTGCAGCGTCGCTCCAAGCTCTTCTCCCAGCAGTCGCGACTACAATGACACCCCATCCAAACAGGACTGGAACTCGGGTGGGAATGATTCTCGGCTTTGTTAGTTTTGCAAATCTCACTGGCCCGGCGATTTGCGGCGCCCTCATCAGAAGACAAGATGGAAGCTATCTGGGGGCTCAAATGTTTGCGGGTACATCGATTCTTCTCGGCGCCGCTATGGCTCTGGGGGCAAGAATTGCAAAGACAGGAATGATCCTAGGCGCGAAGGTGTAAGGCAATCAAACTTCATGTCACATTACTCCGAATTCGGGTGCATTTTTTCGGCTCAATCCTAGATAGTGATGTTGTTTTTCTCTGCTCTTACCCACGGCAAAAATCCCCCCGGGAGTTGTAATATCGCGAATCCGTATCAAAAGAAAGACAAATTGGTGGGGTTTGCTCTTGTACCAGTAGCTGCGGGTTACCGAGCCACACAGGGAAGTGAACTCCTGTCTTCTGCAGCTGGCTGATAACCGTAAGATCCTTGTAGCTGTCCAACTTGGTGATAGGAGAGTCGTCATCAAGAGAGGACAATGAGTGGAACCGACTTCCCATGCCCATATCCCTAGGAACCAACCCGAGTGGTTTCGGATCTATCTGGCGGCTGAATGTTTTGCAACTTTTGTCCCTGCACGGCAAGAGTGACCCCTCCCGGCTAGTTATCAGTTAGCGCTCAGGTCCTTGGGATTTGGGGCTCAGGGACACGGTCTGGGGGAGCAAGGGAGGGCTAAAGAGCGCCCACGCGTCATCTGACACTGTGTGTTGAACCATTGAGTATCACTGAGAGTTCGGCGGACGGCAGAAAGTTAAGCTCCGACAAGACAGTGGAATGGGTAATCCAATCGGTTGACATTTGAGAGGTGATAGCAGGCTCCGTGGTTGGTCGGAGAATGCCGATAATTGCACTTGACTGCGCTAGAACCGCCTGGGTTTAGTTCGATCCTAGAGACAAGAAAAAAAAAATTAAAGAGAAAAAAAAACCCGGTAGCACGATGCTTTACCGAATTGGGAATATGATTCCCGAGGAGGTTGTTGGTGATTATTGACAGATTGAAAATGTAGATTGCGGGACAGGACTACCTCTCTAGTCAAGGGCAGTGCAGTATAGTTGTTAATAAAATGGATGCACCTTCCCCTCCCCCAGAAACGGTCCGCCTCCGCAAACAAGGGGCAATAACGACCAACACGAATTATTTGGCGCTAACCGGTTGTAAACGAGAGTCAACCAAGAAAGTGGAGCGAATGCTTAGCGAAGGAAGGCTGGCCTCGGCAAACACTTTAAAGTCCCCCCCCCCTGCCCTCCCTCCGATCTTGAACTTCTTTCTTTCCACAACAGGAAATCTTGACGCTATTCGAGACTTTATAATATGTTTGGGATAGAGGTACAAGTCCTTTTTGTTTTATGAAACCATCTCTTCTCCAAGAATTTAAGAATTCTCGGGTCGTCGTGCCGATCACATCTCCATCATGAACTCCGACTCCGGTCTCGAACGGACCGATGACCAGGCTGCCCTGGCTCGGCTCGGCAAGAAGCAAGTCTTGAAGCGTCGGTTCGGTTTTCTCTCCATTGTCGGTTTCGCGATGGCTGAGTTGATTACTTGGGAGACCGTCCTGACTCTGTTCAATCAGTCCTTCGAAAATGGAGGTCCGGCGGGTGCCTTTTATGGCTACATCATTGCCTGTCTTTCGACCTTATCCACCTACACGGTCATTGCGGAACTGTCTTCGATGGCTCCTATCGCCGGTGGTCAGTATTACTGGGTGTATATGCTTGCACCCATGCGCTGGAAGAAAGTCTCGAGTTACCTGATCGGATGGCTCACCTCACTTGCATGGATTGCGACCATCGCAACTGAGACCATTTTCCTGGGCACCATGATCGAAGGCTTGATTACTTTGAATGATATAGGATTTGCTCAGCAGCGTTGGCAAAACACTCTCCTGGCCTGGGCTAGCATCGCCGGAACATTCTTCATCAATGTGGTGTTGCCCAACGCGCTTCCCCGTTTTGAGATCGCAATGCTTGTACTGCATCTGGCGGGCTTCGTCGCTATCATGGCTACATTATTGGCTCTATCTCCGAAGAGCACCCCTGACTTTGTCTTCCACACAAGTCTGAACGAGGGTGGTTGGCCTACCCAGGGGATTTCCTACTGCGTCGGCTTCATCGGCAATGTCGCAACCTTTGTCGGTGCAGACGCCAGCGTTCACATGGCCGAGGAGGTTGCCAATGCAGCTGTTGTGATCCCTCGGGCTATCATCACAGGCATGACGCTCAACAGTGCCCTTGGCTTCGCAATGATGCTCACCGTTCTCTTCTGCATTGGTGATGTTAAATCGGTCCTGGGTTCCAACACCGGATTCCCTTTCATCCAGATCTTCTACAACAGCACACAGTCGTACGCAGGTGCGTCTGTCATGACGGCGCTCATCATGGTCTTGACCATGGCCTGCTCGACCGGCATTACTGCCACCGCATCTCGTATGACCTGGTCCTTTGCGCGAGACCAGGGCCTGCCCTTCTCCCACTACCTGAAGCAGGTGAACCATCGCACCAAAATTCCCATCGTATCTGTCTCCGTAGTCTGCGGATTTGCCGCAGCCCTGACGCTCATCTACATCGGCTCCACAACCGCCTTCAACGATGTTATCTCCCTGACGGTCACCGGATTCTACAGCACCTATTTCCTCCCAAGCGCATTCCTCCTCTACCACCGGATGAAAGGACACATTCTCCCCCACGGAACAATGCTCGATGGCCTCCCGGATGCACCCGCCAGCGCCAGCGCCAGTACTAAGGAGAAACCTGCTGCCCCCTTGCGCCCCAAATCCCCTGATGCGAACTCAAATCAACCCAGCCCCAGCCCTGGCCCCTCTTCTAGCCCCGAACGCAACCCATCTGAAAAAACCACCAAGCAACTCGAGTATGAAATTTCTCAGGCGCCTTTGATCTGGGGCCCTTGGAAGGTTCCGGGTATCCTCGGCACTATTAACAACCTCTATGCATGCGCGTACATGCTCTTCGTCATCTTCTGGAGTGTCTGGCCTCCTAGCACGCCAGTTGATTATTCCACCATGAACTATAGCATCGTCGTCACAGTCGGTGTGCTCATTCTAAGTGGAATCTGGTACGTTGTGCGGGCCCGCAAGGAGTACTCCGGTCCTTTGATTGATGAGGAAGTTGCCGCGATAATGCATCTTTCTCCGGCTGCTATAAAGGCTTCATCGCAAACAACCGAGGTTTAAGCTAGGAGCCGGATAGACTTTCGTTACTCGTGGAAATATTCATGGGCGTGGTCCGCCACCGAGTGGCCGAGTTTCGAGAAAGCAGGAGTTGTACAGACATATGACGAAGATACCATGTATTTTAAGAATTGACGACAGAACTAAATACCCTTCAATGCAATGAACTGTTAGAAAGCACCATGGAATTTGAAGCCCAATCTATCACTAGATCAGAGTCGATTGAGTGTTAGCTAATCAATTTCATGCATGTCGAATGATCAGCAAGATCCGGGACGAATAAGCATCGCCCCTGACGAACATGTTCACGATCGGGACTCTGAAAGTAGCGCGACCCCATCGACTGCAACAAATCAACAAATCAAATTGCGATCGGATCTGGAGCTTGTGAAACGAAGGAAAGATTCACCTAATCCTGCAGAGACCCACCGACCTTATCCAATCAAGATGCAACTCCAAGCTTATTCCTAAGCGGTAAACTGACAGCCCTGCTGATCTACCAGCCAGACATGACGCCGAATGAAAAAGCATGCTTGAATTTATGCGTTTGATTTGGTGACACACCTGGGCAACACACAGCCCCGGGCAAAACAACTGCGCCCGGGCTTTACGTACCAGGCACCCCGTGCGAACGCCTTGTTTGTTATTGACCCTTAAATACAAACCATGCGTCTCATACGCCTTAACTGGCCTGGGTTATTTTTTGCAAACTGGCGAGATTAAAGAATGGCGGAGACTAGAAAAGACCACGAGCCTGAGCTTCATCGGCAGCCGAAACAGTTTGTTTTGTGCTTTGATGGCACCGGGAATAAATTCGCCGGTGATACGTCGGATACTAACCTCGTGAAAATCTATCGTGTAAGCAAACCGTCCTGATTCGAAGTCTCGCTGCTCTAACTATTTGCCGTGTTTTTCATTTAGATGCTCGATCGCAGCCAATCTCATCAATACCACTACTATCAGCCGGGAATCGGCACGTACCTCACCTCACACTCGCTCGGGAGCAAGGGGAGACTAAACCGCGTCAAATCGTCGTACAAGAAAGCAAAAGATGCCGCATTGGGTTCCTCCTTCGACGAGCACGTCCTGGGTGGGTACAAGTTTCTCATGAGATACTATTCACCCGGCGACAACATCTTCTTCTTCGGATTCAGTCGAGGATCCTACACAGCGCGCTTTCTGTCCGAAATGCTCGATTTCGTGGGTCTTCTCCAACCCGGAAATGAAGAGTTGATCCGTTTCGCATGGAAGACATTCGCAAAATGGCAGCAGCGGAAGGACTCCACAAAGAAGGATAAGGAGGAAAGACGCAGACTTTTCGCGTTCATGAAGGCCTTTCGTGAAACGTTTAGTCGGCCTGTTAGTCGGATTAGGTTTCTAGGCTTGTTTGATACGGTCAATAGTGTGCCCATGTTTGAGAATGCCTGGCTGGAACGGAGCAAATTTCCGTATACGGCGCAGACCACTGCGCGGGTTATTCGTCATGCGGTCTCGATTGATGAGCGGAGAGCAAAGTTTCGACAGGATTTGATTTCTGAGGTGAAGCCTCTCGCTCACGACTCGAAGCATCCCCATCGACTGAGACGTTTTCTTTCGAGGGATGATCATCACGAGAAAGCCGAAGTGCCTGAAATTGTACTGAATGCTGCCGAAGATGAGCGAAGTTCGAGATGCCAGGTAGTTCACGGTGCGAAGGAGGAAAGGTACCGCGCCCCCTCGCCTTCGCCCAATCGACGACAAAGCACGGAATTTCCCAGGAACAATGCTCTATTGTCCGATAGGGTCTCACTCAAAAGTGCCATATCTCGACAATCACTTCATGTCCCTTATATAGACGAGCCCGAACAAGAGGAAGAAGAAGATGATCACGGACAAGACATTTCAGAGGTGTGGTTTCCTGGCCAACATGGCGATGTTGGAGGGGGCTGGAAACTCAATCCCCAGGACAATTGGCCATTAAGTCACTTACCTCTTGTGTGGATGGTCAAAGAAGCCCAGCTTGTCGGGCTAGAGTTTGATCCCGAGAAGCTCAAGCGTTTCAATTGTTTCGAAGCCGATAAGGGAGATGAGACAATTCACTTTCACGAGAACATTTTACCAATCAACACCCTGGAGACCCAAAGTGGTCGCTTCCACCGTCAAAACCTCTCAGATCCATTCCAAGAAACAGTGACCCGCACCATGAACCAAGGGATTGTGCACGACTGTCTCACGTATGGGGGTGGACTATCATTCTTCTCCACATTGTCTTGGAGACTTATGGAATATCTACCATTCCGAAGAATGGATCTGCAGCCCGATGGGTCCTGGAAACCCATCAGCTGGCCTCTTCCTCGCGGCGAAGTACGTGATATTCCAGAAAATGCTCAGATTCACGTCTCCGCCATCCATCGTTTGAGGACTGATCAAAATTACCGACCTGGGAATCTTATTATTGGCGGTGGTGGAAGAGGTGTCAAGCGGGCGCCCGAGAGATACGGGATTGGGGAGTGGGAAATTTGTAACTATGAGGGGGACCTTGTCCGAGAAACCTATACTCGAAAGAAGCCTGAGACTGCTTGCAAAGATGAGACTGTATAGTCGATAAATTTATTACTACTAGTTGGAATGGCATGTTTCTGCTGAACAAATACTCCCTCCATGGTTTGACTTTTCAAAGGGACTTTCCTGCCAAATGGATGAAATTCATCCTCGATACCTACACTGCTAAACAATTACTAGAATTTGCCCCGTTGGCCATGTGGCAGAATCATGTGCGCGCAGGTGGTCTTGAGCATGAAGGTGTAACGCTTTCTTGTTGCACAAAGACCATTAGTTTGTACATCCTTTTGGAGAGTGCTGCGAGTCCTAGATGGTACAATATAAGGCCCAGTGGCTTTGGTAAATTAACAGAATTAGCTTACTAGTAGTATATTTTTATTTGATTTATTTGTACCTTCAACTTGAAACCAGCAGAGTTCAAGATAAAGCCCTCGCAGCTTAAAAGCGTACGCTCCATCTATAATTTCCAGGCTTGGTATGAAATAAAATATTATGTCAATGATTCGGGTGGGACAAACAACTAACAATGCCGATGAGAAAAGTACCCGTCTAAAAGCCCGGTGGACTCGGATTTGATATGATTGTGTTTCCAGTTCAGAGGAGAATCATTTCTTGCAGTCTCGACTTTGGTTATACGCCTCAATAGTGATATTCGTTGAACCTGAATCTATCGCGATGAACGTTCTAAAAATTCGAGGTCTCGTGGCAAACATAACCGCCTCAGTTGATCTATACGAATCATCTGGGTCCGAAGAGTTCCTAGTAAACGCTCGTGAAGATACGACTCGACTGGCGCGTGCACTAGAGAATCCCCGGGATGCCATCGTCAAGTTATTTTTCGCTGTAATTACCATTTATTCCCTAGATGAAGACGTGATTATAACCTTGGAGATGCTGATAATCTGATTATATAGCCAACAGTCTTGGTAATTGCTAATGTTGCTCATGACATGAGGATCTTCACCATACTCTCACGAGCGACCGTCCCTGTATCTTTGGCAGATCTGGCGGCCGCGAAACCTGCCGATCCGCTATTAGTTGGCTAGTAACGAATTTCAGCGAGAAAGGAATCGAAAACTAACTTATTGGCTTAATCGCCCATAGAACGCATAATGAGACATCTAGTTGCCAATGGCTTTGCGGAAGAGCCTGTGCAGCGTGAATATCTACCCACAGCTCTTTCTAAGGAAATGGTTCAAATAGGCTCTCTCGCTATAGTGGAATCGCTGTAAGCTTCTCACGGGCGTATCTCAGCATTGAATCATTGACACATGAATGACTGCTGATTACTGCAGCGCTATAGACTTTCTCCCCTGTATCCAAAAGCTCCCCGAATATCTCAAATCTATCAACTACTGCAACCCAGACGACCCGCTCCATTCGCCGGTCCAGTACAGTCATAATTTGACTATTGATACTTTTACCTGGCTCGGTCAAAACCCTGACACCCTGAGACGTTTTAACAGCTTCATGGAAGGGTACCGCGGAAATCGCCCACATTGGAGTGACTGGTTCCCCGTCCGTGAGCGTATTCTTGATTCCCAGGTACTGGCTCAGAATGAACCGCTTTTGGTAGATATCGGTGCTGGAAGAGGCTATAATCTTATAAAATTCCGGAGCCGGTTCCCAGATGTCCCTGGAAGACTAATTTTGCAAGATTTGCCTACCGTGATCGATGAGATTCAGGGAGCGTACGATTTGAAAGCCGCGGGAGTCGAGACCATTGCCTTCAATTTTTTTGCAGATATTCAACCGGTCCAAGGTACTACTATTGGACCCGTTCCTTGAACCAAAATTCATTCTTCTAACCCATTTTCCAGATGCGCGAGTGTACTACTTGAAATCCGTACTGCATGATTGGTCCGACGCAAAGGCCGCCTTTATATTGAATAATATCAAGCATGCAATGAAGCCCGGATACTCTAAACTGATCATTGAAGAGTTTATTTTACCAGAGAAAAATGCCCCGTCACTTGCTTGCATGACTGATCTAGCGGTCATGCTATTTTCTTCGGGCTTGGAGCGAAACCGTCAACGCTGGACTGATCTTATGACGTTGACTGGCCTGAAAATTCTGCAGTTTTGGGTTCCCAGAGGCGATGGAATGGGAATTATCGAGGCGGAAGTTCCTCTGTTTGACGAGTAAAGTTCCATATCTTTGACATTTAGTTACTCAGAATCGAATTGGGACTCGCAGCCGTGGTCAACTCATTTTCTAAACTCAAAAAAGCAACGAGACTCTCTCGTTGAACGGAGGGGCTCCTTTTCCTCTTTTTTTCTTCTCCATTCATTCAATTTTGAGAAATCCAAATACTTTGAATACCACCTTTATATGAAAAGCATGTCTTTGATTATATTTGATTGAGCAATAATGGCCCTGTCACGTCTATATGATCAAGTAGTCATCCTGATGTGACGAATCGGAGTTGAAAGTCTGCAAGTAATTAGAAATGAACAATCACAAGCGGTAAATTTCACGGTAGCACTCACAAAGGACATCCAGGGAATATTACTATTGTCATGTTTTGGTTGTTCCGCACGGGCAGTCCATACCTTCTCAAGCAAAGCCTGAGGGGCTGTATTTCCCATTTCCGACCGAGCCTTGATCTGCTCTAATCTCAAGATAACATAATGACGTGAGTGCGCTGACAGATTATCGGCGCCAGCCATAAACAGAGGCAGAACCATTAGTTCTAGCAAAGGACTGGTCGAGGGAATATTGGCCACTGAATCCAGGATTTCGAAAACCGAATCTCTAATTTTTGGTTCAGAGGCAGACTCGGATGGATCGAGTAAGCGCCAAGCGCGCAAAATACATGCATGGCGAAATGCATTGGAAACTGAACCCCAAAGCACATCGTTATCTGGGAAAAAGCATCGTGAGCTGTCCCAGAGGTATAGCTTGCGAATTGAGCTGTGGATAGTATCATGGAACTCTGAGTGCTCCATACTTCCAGCAGCATACTGTTTCGCGTACTCTAGGATTGTAGCAATGATGAGGACTATCTCCCTGGGACAGCCATTGACTGACTCGAAACGTAAGTTGCATAAAGATAAAATCTTCGAGCGAAGCTCGTGAGTGAAGCAGAGTCTCTCGGGAGCAGAAAAGGCGCGTATGATATCTAGCCTTTGGCGGAGTCGTGATGTTAGAGAAGACAAAACAGAGGAGGGAACTGATTGACTCACCAGAGAAGATTCCCTAGAAAGAAGACGGTCCTCTCCTGATCAACAGTCAAAGTTTGATCAAGTTTGAGTTGAGAGCAGATTGACATAGCGCCCGAGATATGTGCACCATGTGAAGATATGCCGGTTTCGCAGATCTACGAAATTCTATATTAGCGTGGATCTGACAATCAATGAAGCCGAATGACAACTCACGTCGTGCAGTAAAAGTATTTGGATGGTAGCAAAAACGGAATCAACATCGCTTCCTCTGAAGTTCCCTGAGCAAACCTTATTGATGGTAGTACCGAGAGCATTGATGGCCTTGGCGCGATACTCCACTGCGACTGATTCATAAAGGTGCATCTCTGAGTTCAAATGCCCCATATGACAGGCTGAAAGACCAAGAACTGCGTAAAGAACATTCAATTGCTCGTATGCCAATGGAATTACGTAGAGTCGGTATGGGTTTTCTTTTTTGTCGCTAGGCTGTGCAATCTGATGGGGACAAATGATGCGGTCATCTGTGATATCCAGTTAGTAAACTCTGAACTTGAAGTTGACCCCATCCTAGGATGATCGAATGACCTGGAGATAGTGTATACATACAGTGGACAAGGAGGGTTTCTGCCTCTTTCGAGACTAATATCTTGCTATGCTCTTGGTGCCCCGGCGTGCCAATATTGCCCTCTGGAGTGGTAACAGATGAGCTGGCTTTATTTTGGGATGGAGGCACCCATGAATTAAACTCTAAGCCTTGAGACATATTTGGTTCCGTGGCGGTGGAATCTGTCGTTGGGGTAGAAACGGAGTCCTTGCTGATTGGAAGGTCTTGATTCTTCCATTTGCCACGACTGGCTATCCCGCAGAAACGAAACTTGTCTGGATATCCTTCACATTGAAGTCCCATTCGAATGCATCGCCTACACATCGGCCGTGCACGGTCACACTTACGCGCCTTTTGGCGACATGTCAGACAGGGAGCATCTGGACAAATCAGAAGTTGGCCAGTAAGTGGATACGTTGCAAATTTGACCTACCTCGTTGTCCCATCTTGGATTCTCACGGTCACAATATCATGACCGCCTCATTGTTTCTAGGAGAGAAGAAAGAAGCTGAATGCTGTGACTATCGCGCCTTGTCCTCGCGGGGTCGAGGTAACGCAAGAAGAGTCGCGTTGAAGCGTGAATATGTCACATTACGTAATACATTTTGAACCGTGAAATTCTAGTTACAACATCGACAATATAAGTAGTTCGGAATGGCCTCCATATAACAGTCAGTGTTAATCTAATGTATGTTAGAAAATACCTACTAGGCTTCACCCTACTCATTCTACCGAACATTGACACTTTCGGGGTCCCGACATGTGGCTATGGTCATTTTATCTACTCCGTACCCAGTACCATACTCGGATTCACGCCGATTCCCGGTCTAGTGGGGCGTTTATACAACAACGATTGGATTGGTTCTCCCAACGATTGCCGCTTTCACACACGTGATGGTCGTTCCAAGGGTTGATAGCCGTCTGCTGATAAGTACCTGCACGTTCACTGGGTGTACGCATATCCCCAGCCCGATGACACTCCACATGTCCAGTTTATTCCGCATACCCTATGGTAGTTGTTGATAACCACGATAAGAGGATTAATTTCCCTTGCTAGTAGGATTTGGTGTATCTGTATTCACTATTTAGAAATTCCAAGCTTCAAAACACCTCAGAGAATTTCAATTATTTGTCCAATTGCTGTGTGTTAATCCGACCACGAGCCTTGTTGGTTGACCCGAGCATCTGCCGAGTTTGGTTCTTGCGGGGGAATAGAATGGGGTATAGCCCCGGATTTTCTCCGTCTGCATCTCTCCCACCTCCCACCACACCAGATAATTCTCCAGAGAACAAGCTATTCTTTCGCCCTGCCTCGATTATGTCTGTATCGCCAGTGATAGCACGAAAGCCATCCTATCAACCATTCCAATGTCTGATATGTCAGAGCCGTTTTACCAGACACGAGAACCTCAAACGACATTCTGCGCTGCATAATCGCTCCCAAAATGAAACTTCCCTCCCTTGCGACTTTTGCCACGCCACATTTTCTCGGCCAGATCTACGAAATCGTCATATGAAGAGGAAGCATCCAGATCAAGAAGATGCTCGGGTCACCAAGAGAACCCAAGGGGATGTGCGCGCGCGGTCACGGGCTTCTCAGAAAGGCTCTTCTCCTAGGGAGAATTCTGCTTCGCTATCACCAACAGACAGCCATAATGACTTGCAGTCGCATCATTCTCAAGGAGACAACTTTGAAATAAACGGCGGAATTTGGAATTCCGGCGTATCATATGAACAGCGCCCTTCCGACTTCGGTCCTCAGCGAGACCATGCAGAGAGCAGCCATCGTGCAGCTACTGCTTCCTTGGCTCAACCATTTCTCAGCGATCCAACATGTATCAACCAGATTGTTCAAGAGGCAACTGATCTTGAGCAGAGCATACTACTCGGCGCACCCTTCCTAAAACCTCCACACTCCTTCGGGCTACAACTTCACCAACCGGAACCCACCCATTCGATTGGCCCAAATTTGGCAGGCATCGAGTCCAGCCACAGCTCCCCAGACAGACTTTCATCTCATGAGCTACTGGAAGCACAGGGAGATTGGCTTCCTTCTCTTCTCCAGATCGAACGCGGATGCGACCTTTTTTTCAGACACGTTTCACCATACATACCATTCCTCCACCAGCCGACCTTTGATCCCTCACAAACTGCCCCCTTCTTAATATTAAGCATGCTTTCTCTCGCTTTTCAACACGGAGAAGATCCAGATTGTGGAAATCAATTAGGGTCAGGCGCTGCTTTGTCCGTAAATTGCTTCCACCGCGCCCGATTTCTCGCACTTTCCGGTGATACAAGATCGGATATGCCACCACAAGACATTGCCATGGTCCAATCATACCTACTCCTTCAAATCTGCGCCATGATGTTTCTTTGCGGCAAAGACTCAGCTCACGGCCTGAAGATGCACTCCAGCATGATTTCTCTCGCCCGAGCGGCAGGCCTTATGCAGCCGAATCCAGTCGAGCCTTCAACAGCCACCGATCTCGACTCACTCTGGCGAGAATTTGCCCGAGCCGAATCACACAAACGAACCCTTTTCGCCGTCCACCAGATCGATGCCCTCTGGTATCAATTTCTATCCATCCCCCGTTCTATATCACACCTCGAAGTTAAGCACGACCTGCCCTGCCCCGAAGACCAGTGGAAATCAGTCTCATCCGCGGAGTGGGCTCACAGACAACTCGTCTCAAGAAATTCCGGGCCCTCGGTACAATACGCCGATGCAGTTCGCCAATTTCTATCCGCGGACCCAGAACTCCGAGATCTGCCCTCCTTTGATCCATACGGCGCCGTCAACATCGCGCAATTTCTCATATCCAGCGCCCGCGAGATATCAGGATGGTCCACAATGACAGGAATGCTCAGCATGGAGAGATTCGGCGCATTGAGATCATCACTTATAGCGCTGGGCCCATTCGTCCGACCGGAAGTGCACACGGGGGGATCTCACCAACCTCGCCCTGTGCGAAGCAACCTGGCAAACCGCCATGATAGAGATCCAGCTCTGGTCGCCCTCCCATACGGGCGGTATTGTGGAAGGAAGCATCGATGCCGTTCTGAGCCAGTCGACTTTTTTGTCACCCTCGGCGGAGTTCCTGTGCGAGCCTGACACTGCAAAGTCTGTTCAGCCCCACGTTGACTGGTTTCTTCGATATCTTGAGGCTGTTGTTGTGCCGGGGTCGGAAGCACCCTGGGTCGCGTTGTATGCGTACAAAGCCTTCTTAATAGCGTGGCAACTACTGCGAGGGGGTATTCCAGGCGCGATGGAAGTTGTGGGTGTTGCTGATGGCGATGAGAATGGTGCGCTTGAGTGGGCTAGGAAGGTATTTTTACGCAGACAGAGATGGCAGTTGGGTAAGCTTATTCTAGAATGTGTGGATGCATTGGGGAAATGAGGTTATTACATGGATGGAGCCCTGGAGGCTTTGCTTCTACTGAAACAATATGTATCACATTAACTTGAAGCTTCACGTTGATAACTAGCTGAAAGGCTTTGATGATTACAATTAAAAACACAAGGATTTCGTAACATGCGTATACCATAAGTACTAGTACATTTCATACCGCCAGTTGAGCTGGACCATCTCTTCTGTGACGCCGCCCTTCATAGCCTTCGCGATGAGGTCTTCGTCTCCTGAGTCGAGGCGCTTATTCTCACGAAGTACCAGCCAGCGGTAGACGGTGATAGTGATGGCGAAGAGAAATGCGGCGCCCATAAGAGTGCCAAAGGCAGCATAGAAGTGTGGGGAGGAGTAATATAGATAGGAAGCCCAGATGTTGGAGGTTCCACCGATGGCATTGACCAGAGCTGAGGCGGCAGCGCGCTTGGAGACGGGCCGGGCCAGGTGCAAGTTGATGGTCTTGTAGAGGAGGAGTTGTGGACCGACGGAGGCAAAGGGTAGAATCATCATTGAGAAGTATCGGGCGCCGGTGTTGAGAGTCGCGATCAGAATCACGTACATCACGATTGCGATGGCGATGCAAATAAGGATCAAGGGGTAAACAGTATTTTTCCGATCAGAGTAGAACATGACCCAATAATAGACAATGCCGGCGAGGATATAGGGAGGGGCCGTGAGCAGAAGACTGATGGTGCTGTTGAAATTCAAGGAACCAACAAGGGTAGGGAAATAGTTGGCAATAGATCCCTGTGTTTGGGACAACATGTTACAGAAGATCAGCAGCAGCAGCTTTGGATCTGACAACGCCTTACCAAAACCGCGCAAAACAGATTCATTCTCCGAAGCCTCTGCGGCACCAGACTCAGACTCGATGCGCCAGACAGCGAAGTCGCGTTCCACCTGGGAAAGAATACGGCTGTTGTGTGGAAACTCGGGCATGATACAGGAGCAAATGATACCAACGCCAACTGTGGCACTGCCTTCGATGATAAAAAGCCATTGCCAGCCAGAAATCCCGTGTCTGCCATCTAGTTGGAGGATAGCTGCGGCGAAGAGGCCACCGAAAGCATTTCCGACTTGTTGCGCGATATATAGACCAGCAATACGCTTGCCAAGTTCTGTCTTTGTGTACCAAGCCGAGAGGTAATAGATTGCACCGGGGAAGAAGACGGCTTCCGCAGCACCAAGAACGGCACGCACGGCAAGGAGTTGCCCATACGACTTCACCGCTGCTGTTGCAGCCGATATACAACCCCAGATAGAGACAGCAGCACAAATGTACATTCCCGGTCGAGAAATTTTCGTAATAATGAGATTGCTTGGAATCTGGAAAGGAAGGTAACCGACGAAGAGAATCGAAACTGCAGTGGCGAATTGTTGAGTGTCCATGTTGAGATCTTCCATGATTCCTTGGAGCTTGGCTGCAGCCAGGTTCTGACGATCGATATAGTTGAGGATATAGAGAATTCCGATGGTTGGTAGAACGAAGAGATCGACCTTGCGGACAATTTTCTTGTTCAAAGTCTTCATTTCATCTTGACTAAGACCCCGAAGGGAATCTGGCATGCGGCGGTAGGCGGCATCGGTGATGTCGACCTGTCCTTCAGTGGTTGATAGGTTGTCGTCAGTCGCAGACGACATGGGTCGTTTCTTGGTATCCATGCTGACTGACATCTTGAAGAGATCTTAGATGTAATCAAATTGATGGATGAGGTGATTTTGTAAAAGAGCTCAGTCCGGTGAGCAGGCAATGGCTTTCTTAACAGCTCCTCCCGTCGATGTTGATCTATATAACCAACACGCGACAGACAACCCGGGCGTTATCTGGTTCCAACTTGGGGAAAGAACCCGAAGAGTCTTAGCAAAGAGTAACCGACTAATGATCGCGAGTCCTTTGCAATTGACCGTGACTCATTGATTCATTGTCTGATAGCCGGTCGACGCAGCAGTAGATAAGCACTGGGAGGAGCGCCCAAGTTGGTATCACAGCCCAATTGGAGCTAATCCCCGGATGGTCCGTGTCATACTGCAGATCTGGGGTACAGCTGGGGTGGACCGGGAGGAGTGTAGTGCATAGTTAGCGGGTCTGAGTAGTGTCTTGGGCGGAGGCGAGGTTGTCAAATGTTGAGTTTGGGGGGGGAGCTCCTCCCGCCGATAAGCGGAGTGGGACTCGCCCGAAGTGGCGATGTGCCCTAGTTACCCAACTGGGATGAGATAGCGGCATCTATGAACTCCAATTCTCCAAAATTGAGGGGCTGTTCAGATCTGACCCCGCGAAGATGGAGAGCTCTCAAGAATGATTTGAGCTACCGAGGTAATACGTGTTCGAAAGAAATACTTGCTCATCGAAACTCAAGCATACTTATTCACGAGTATTCTCATATCATATTTTCTTCTCTTCTATATCATTCAAATTTCTACTCCTATAATTCTCAATCACCGAGAAGATCGACCAACACAACTCAGTTCTCAAACCGCAAAAATGAGCTACCCTACCGCACACACTACTCAGATTCAGAACTCTCGCCTGAGGGTTCTGAACAAGCTCAGATCGGGCGAGTTCCCCTTGATGACCTTCATGGCCCTTCCCTCTGTTCGCATGGCTCAGATTGTCTCATTGACCGGCGTCGACGGTATCATCATCGACTGCGAGCATGGCCACATCGGAGACGAAGCGATGCACAACTCCGTCGCAGCCATTTCCACCCTCGGCGTCTCCCCCGTCATTCGTATCCGCGGACCCGCCCACGATATCCTCAAGCGCGCGCTCGACACTGGTGCCCACGGCATCATGGTTCCACAAATCAACAACGCAGATGAGGCGCGCCAGGTGGTTGCCTCATCCAAGTTTCCCCCTCAGGGAGTTCGCGGTCAAGGATCCGCTTTCCCAGCCATTGGACACGGCCTCACCACCCCGAATACATGAAGTCCGCCAACGAGACAATCGTGACCATGATCCAAATAGAGACGCGTGCTGGTGTTGAGAATGTTGAGGAGATTGCTGCTGTGGATGGTGTTGATATGATCTTCATTGGTCCTAACGACCTTGCCCAGTCACTTCTCGGATACACTCCCGCCCGTGGTGATGAGCCCGAGTTCGTTGCTGCGGTTGACAAGATCATCAACGCTGCCCGCAAGCATGGCAAATGGGCCGCTCGCATGGTGAACAATGGCACTACTGCAAAGGAGGCGCGGGAACGCTACGACACAGTCGCTATTACTGGTGACACGAAGGCCATTCAGAACTGGTATATGGCCGAGTTCGATATTGCTCGGTCATAAGGGTGGATGGAACTGCCACGATATTATGCGAAAGAAAATTTATAGATATAATGAAACATCATTCTCACTTCCAATCGCGCATCTCTATCTGGTTCATGGTCACGATTGTCTCGTTGGCGGGTTTTACAGTATTTCCAGGTAGCGAGAGCGCGGCTCTTCAATGATTAGTTTCTGTGATTGAACTACAAATTTTTGATAAGTATTACCAACTATAATTCTCACGAGACTTTGCTACTAGTAGGTTCTTACAGAAAATGAATTTGAAATATCGATGATGTAAAGAGACCACCGTAACGCCATAGTTGATAAATGCATTCCATGACTAATTTATTCACTCAAGACTGCAAATAGGCGACTCGTTCCCCTGTTTGGGTTAGCTACCTAGACATTTAATTGCCATAAAGAAGTAATATGAAGGGAATTATTAGTGCCTGAAGTCAAAAATCGCTGTTGCAATTCTCCGAGACCTATTATTCTACCCTCATTGGAACATATAAAGTTTTGATCTATTAATCAATCGGCTAACTTTCACTGCGTAACTTGAAGTTAAGATTTCAATGGATAAGGATTTTCATATAATTTTGATTTATTTCATTATTTGTCTATCAATCGTAACATATAAGCTCCACTCTTAAGCCTGGGCAATGCACTCAATCTCGATGACGGTTCCATCACCAGGGGGGAACGGCCTGTAGACAGGAGCGCGAAGGCATGGGCTGGGGCAGGAATTCGATGTAAACTTCGTTCATGGCGGCAAAATCCTTCATATCGGCGAGGTAGACATTGTACTTGACGACTTGCTCGAGAGAGGAGCCGGAAAGCTCGAGGACCTCCTTGAGGTTCTGCAGGACGGTGCGCTGAAATGACGATCCAATTGTCAGATGTCGTGTTCAGGCTGGGGAGATAATTGATCGTCGGATTTGGAAAACTTACAGTCGCTTGCTTGATCTCACCGGTGGCAGTTTGGCCAGCGCAGAAAACGAGACCGGGCACCTTGGTGGCGGGGCCTGGAGAAGAAAATTGATTAGCTGCGGTTCTAATGAAGTAGTATGTGCATCTAGCTCACAGTTGTGCGGCTTGGTAGGGAACTTCTCGCTGGAAATGAGCTGGCGAGACATTTTGGCGTGTGGTAGTAAAGACTTAGAGATGGAATTTTTTGAGATAGAAGTTTGAATTGGATGAACGAAAAAGGTTGATGATTCCGATTTAAATTGTATAACTATTTTGCCCCTCCCCCACCTGACGATAGCAGATTGTCAACAGCTCCAAAGGAGGGGCAATTCTCCAAAATCTGGGAAAGAGGAGCTCTTGATCGGTGAATGTCCGAATCGGCCTAGGAATCCCCAAATGCGAAGTTTTGTTGTTCTATCTGAGACACTACGGATGTGGCTTCAGCCTTAACGGGAGGAGTGGGAGGAGCTCCTCCCACTCCTCTCACTCCTCCCAAGCTCCACTCGCCGCACGTCGCAGATCGATTTCCTTTATTGGTTAGTATCGACCACAGAATCTTATTTTCGCTTTATCTCTGTCTGATAGTCGGTATTGATCTAATCGGGAGGAGCTCGCCAGGGAGATAGAGGATGTCAGCTGAGATACCCCACAACTCCACGCGGAGGAGCAGATGAGATTGTGCACAGCAGTCTCACTAGTGCCCTGCTAGAGCCATGGAACTGGTATGTGGAGAAAAGACAATGCCAATTATTTCTTGTGCTCCTCTGGTCCAAACAAGGAGCTCGCGGGCGGCTTGGGTCTCGTAGAATTGTATTGCGGCACGATTGGCACGATTGGTTCCGAGTCATATCATCACGCGATTCAATTAAATATAAGACGCTATTCAACCGGAAGACTAGAATTAGCATTAATTGCAACAATAATTTGAACATTCTCATTATCCAAGATTCAATAATGGCACCCGCAGCCGCTTTCAACCCCCCCTTCAGCCAACCTTCCCGGCAAGCCCGCTGTGGCACAGTGGGTTCCTCCCCCAGTCACACAGGTGAAGGAGAACTTTGCTACACTCCAGTCGATTGATCTCTCCTTGCTGGACTCGGAGGATTCCGCCGTCGTCGATGCTCTCATTCAACAAGTGAAAACTGCTATCCGAGATGATGGCTTTCTTTTCCTGGAGAACTATGGTGTTTCCCTAGAGCAGGTAAGGAAACCTTGCAGCAATGAGCCCCAACATACAGTCACTAATAGCCATTTTTATCAATAGCTGCATCGCCAATTTGGTATCGCACAATATTTGTACGACAACATAACTGAGGAGGACAAGGAACGTCTTCTATTCGACCCCGAAAGTGGCATGTGGTCTGGCTACAAGCACCCTTATGGTTTCAAGGTAAGAGAGTCATCCATATGCGCGAGTAAATAGACGCAAGAGAGTTCTGACAAAAATACTACTGATAGCGCCAACGTGGACCCGCTGATGGAATCGAACAATTCAACTGGTATAAGCGCGACTGGGAAAACATCGAGGATCGCGTTCCGACATGTCTCCACCCCCTGATGGATGAGGTTGAGGCCTTTGCCAACTACCTGACCAAGTCCGTCAACCGACGCCTCCTTACCTTATTCTCGCGGGTTCTCGAGTTGCCCGATGACTACCTTTGGGATAACGTTCAATCTCACGGTTGCCCAACCGGCGAGGGCTATTTCCGCCACGCCTTATTCCGCCCAGTCAAGAAGGAGACACAAGAAGCCTCCAAGGGACTTCGTATGCACGGTCACACCGACTTCGGTCTGACTACCCAGCTCTTCTCCGTCCCTATCTCCTGCCTTCAGATCTGGGGTCGCGATGAAAAGTGGTACTATGTCCCCTACAAGCCCGGTGCACTGGTGATCAACATCGGAGACACTCTCGAGATTGTGTCTGGTGGACACTTCAAGGCTACTCGCCACCGTGTTTACAAGCCGCCTGCCGACCAACTGACCCAGGAGCGTCTCTCACTGGTACTCTTCAACAGCTCTCTCGGTGATCTCCGCATGGGCCCTGCCACTGGTAAGTGCCAAGAGTGCTATCTTTTATTGTTTGAAATAACTGGATGCTTACCGTATTCTTCTTTCTAGCTTCCCCCTTGATTCAGCGTGAAGGATGTGTCGAAGAGCAAGGTGTCTACAAGGAATTCAAGAGGCTCACATCTGAAGGCAAACTCGTGCCCACAAACAAGCAATGGCGCGAAATTCAAATTGCTACTGCAACGGACCCTACCGACCAAGTGCACAACCGTGTTGGTGTCCATCAAGTTATGATTGATGGGAAGATCATGCACCAGAGGGAGTACATGGGTGTGAAGGTTGTTCTGCCCGTATAGACGACGGCGGGGATTCTATTTACGACCTAAGACGGGAATATGGGAATATGGGATATCCGTGCGCTATGTGTATAAGGATTTGAAGTAAACAAGATGTATCATTGATTATTTAGCATGCAATTTACGATTTTTTTAATTTTTTTTTTCAGACTTATATACCAAGGTTTTGGATTTCATTGGTAGTACTAGGATGCCTCGATCCGATCCGTGCTGTGGGAGCGATATAGTACTTTTGTGAGAGATCTATTCCAATCATGATGGGAGGCCAAGAGAATGAAAACATGAAGGAAATACTCCATTTTGATGTTCTCCATTTCAAATGGGTAAATCGGAAAATTTCCAACGTGAATAGACCGGCTCGGTGATTCCGGCTAATTTGCCCACGCCAGGTACGCCAGCCCGCTTGGTTCGGGAGAATGACCACCGACCAAACCGACACCCAAATATCCGACCGAATTATCCACCTACGAGTTCATCCTGAACAAATTGATGATAATTCCAAAGTTTAGAACCTCAAGTTGCCTAAAACAAAACCTATATTTTTGTTTCGTGTTCAGCAGGAAGATCTTCATCGTCGATCCAGTAATCCTCCCAGAGACGCGACATTTACCCCGCATCTCCCCGCAAACACAGCACGACTTCAAAACGACGCCCTGAAAACCTATCATAAGAGCCCGAAAATGCCTATCCCAATAATCGACTCGCATATACATCTTTTCCCAGCATCCCATCTCCCAACACTGGCCTGGTACACCCCAGATGGTCCCTTGAGCGCGCAGCACAGCGTGGACCAATACCGACACGCAACAACCAGCATCCCCGCCTCTGCGAATTCCAGCAAAGATAAGTCTCTAAGGGGATTCATATTCTTGGAAACGGACCGCATCTCCTCGATCGAAGAATCGGAATCGGAATCCTCAAATACCCCGGGCTGGAAACACGCCCTCGACGAAGTGTCCTTCCTATCGCGCATCGCGCAAGGAAAGCCCGTCGACGGCGAAGGACACCAAGATGCTGATAAAGACCTCTGCGTTGGGATTGTCCCCTGGGCCCCCGTACCCGGTGGGCCAAATGCCTTGCGCGCGTACGTGGAGAAAGTCAAGGAGAGGGCGGAGACCGCAGAGGTCTGGCGCAAGGTGTGCGGCATGAGATATTTGGTTCAGGATAAGGCTGCCGGGGTCATGCTTGAACAAGGATTCATCGATGGACTTGGCTGGCTGGGAAAGCAGGGACTTGCTTTTGACTTAGGGGTTGACGCGAGACAAGGTGGGCTTGGTCAATTGCGAGAGGCTATTGAGATGATGGAGAAGGTATCTAGTGCCGCGAAGGAAAGTAGTGAGACACCAGTAACTATTGTGATCAGTGAGTTTATTCAGCTACATGACCGGCTTTTTGATGCTCATATTTTGGCAGATCATCTTTGCAAACCTAATCTTCGGCTTGGGACTGAGGCTCTTACTACACACCCTGAGTATGTGGAGTGGAAGGACTTGGTTACCCGTATGGCCCAAGCGAGTCCAGTGAATTATATGAAGCTTTCTGGCGCTTTCTCTGAGATTTTACCCCTTTCGTCGGAAGATGACGTCGACATCAATGGCCTGGCTAGTCAAATTCAACCATGGACTGATGTTGTGTTCGACGCGTTCGGCCCTGATCGTGTGATGTTTGGCTCTGACTGGCCGGTGGCCAATATCGGGGGTGGCGGAAATGATGTCGCTTGGAACAGGTGGATTAGGGTTGTTGAGACCATTCTAGACCGGAGAGGGCTGACAGAAAAGGAGAAGGAGGGAGTTTGGGGACAAGTAGCAGTCAAGGCTTATGGTATTCAGCTATAACATAGAAAGCTCTATTTTTATCATAAGGGGAATCAATCATGCAAAACACTATTCTTACTGCAGATTGACAAATAGTCCACCATCAACAAGAAGCTGTGCACCAGTCTATACCCGGAATCAATTAGCGGATACATCTCTAGGGAGAAATGCTGTAGAAGAAAGAAACTTACCACGTAGCTGCTCAACTCCTCACAAGCCAGGAACACCGCTGGGCCTGCCAGATCACGCGGCTGACCAAGTCGGCCCAGTGGGATACGCCCTTCCATATAAGTACGCTTCACTGGGTCCGCCATGTCGGCATCATTAAGCTGAGTGCGAATGGTACCCGGAAGCAACGCGTTACAGCGAATGCCATATTTTCCCAGTGCCACTGCGGTTGACTGCATAAGACTAAGCACACCGGCCTTGGTAGGTGTATAATGAGTTTGTTCGCCGCCGCCAACAAGCGCTGAAATAGAGCTGATGCCGATAATAGAGCCGCCAGGCGGGGACTGGGCTTTTGCCATTTGACGGGCGGCGGCCTGTGTAGCGAAGAAGGCACCGGAGAGGTTGGTAGAGACGGTGTGATTCAGAAGGGAGGGCTCAAGCCTTTAAAAAAAATCAGCAAACTGAGAATAATCTTTCGATCTAGAAAAATGACACCTACTCGAGGAAATCAGCAAACTGGCAAACGCCTGCGTTGCTGACGAACACGTCTAGTCGGCCAAAAGCCTCGACAGTTTTCGCGACGAAATTGCGCCCTGTCTCTGGCTGTGAAATATCGCCTGATACTGTGATGAATCGAGTCTTGTCTGCGCCTGCCTCGAGCTCATTGATCTCCTTGCGCAGAGATTCTAGCAAGTCGTCTTCTTTGGGTCCGCCGAGGTGACTGATTGCAACTTTGGCCCCATGCCGAATATAATCCAGGGCAATTGCCTAGCGATAGATGGTTAATACAATGTCCATTATCGTAGCTGCGGGGAAATAGGCACACTGACCCGTCCAATGCCGGTCAAACCGCCAGTGATGGCAGCAACCTTACCAACAAGTAATTGAGGAAAAGACATGGCGGTTTTGGAGATACTGAATCTGAACTCGCGAAAGGGTTTCCGGACTCCAGTGTTCGATGCCCTTGATCTTTAAAGCGAGAAAATTGTCAAACGTGTCGAGAATGTGACAGCTGGAACATCCCACCAAGGCGACGTATTTTCTCGCCCCGCCGATAAGATTTCGGGGTCTCGCGATGATGTTCGCCCGAGTGTGGGGTGGCTTCCCCACACCGAGGGGCAGCGGTCTTCCCGTATGGCCGGAAACTCCGAGGCGCGTGCCAAAGAAAAATTTCCTGTGATTTGTGGAATTGAATCGCACCGTCGTGGCAGGGTCTCAGCCCTGAAAGTTTGTTTTCCTACTCCTAAGGGCTCGGCGAATTTCCTGCTTGGAAGAGGAACACTATACTAGAAGGCTGTTTTGTTTTTTCATCCGGAACGTTTCAGTCTATTGGATTGAATGGGTAATGCTATTTATGTACATGGACATCGTGATAGAACGATTCATCAAAGGCAGATAAACATGGGAAATATTTCAAAGTGGCAAAGGGTCGTCAAAATGGCCGCACTTAAGCGGAAGAGCCGTTGGTAGCCTCTTCATTATCCGGAGCCCGCAGAGCTTTCTGAGGCGCGGGGTTCAGCAGGGAGGCTCCAGAGATGAGAGGCGCCGAAGGGTTAAGCTCGAGACCAAATCCAGGCTTGTCCAGAATTGAAACATCAAGGAATCCGTTGACAGGGATGGGCTCATTGGTGAAGAGGTTACCAAACACGGGCAAGACAGACTTGCCGTCAGGAGAGTTGGCCAGATATTCTTGGAAGGGGCTATTGGACTGGGAGACGACGAAGTGGTAGGAGTAAGGTCCGGAGGCGTGGGGGACAACGGGGATATCGTAGGCAGCGGCGAGGGCAGAGACCTTCAGAAGCTCAGTCAAGCCACCAAGCCACATAACATCAGGCTGGATGATATCGAGGTTACGGCCTTCAACCAACTTGCGGAATCCATAGCGAGAGAACTCGTGCTCGCCAGTGGTGAACTTGACAGTAGGGTGGGCACGCTTCAGCAGAGCGTGGCCATCGAAGTCATCGGGAGTCAGGCACTCCTCCCACCAGTCAATGTTCAGACCCTGCTGCTCACAGCGCTTGACCAGCTCGATAGTATAGGGAACGGTGAGAGACATATAGCAGTCAACACGCAGGGGGAAATCAGGGCCAACACTAGCACGCTGCAGACGGAGATACTCGACGTTCTTGAGCAGGCCTTCGGTGCCCTCATCAGGACCGTGGGGAAGGGCCACCTTGGCACCAATAAAGCCAGCAGACTTGGCAGAAGCGGGCTGGGGTCCAGTGCAGTAGAAATCAAGACGCTCGCGAGTTGCACCACCAATGAGCTTGTAGACGGGCTCGTTGCGGATCTTTCCCTGCAGATCCCACAGGGCCAGGTCAATCACCGAAATCACGGCCACGGGCAGACCCTTGCGGCCGTAGAACATGGAGGCCTTGTACATCTTCTCGAACAGGTTGTTGGTATCACGGGGGTCTAATCAAAATCAATCCATCATGTTAGCCATGCCAATGCATCATGAAAGCGCTGAGACAATCTCATACCTGCGCCAATTAGGAAACGCTCAAAGTGCTGGTGGGTAAGCCAGCAAGCAGGGGGACCACCGAAACCGGTGGCGAAACCCTTGGTGCCATCTGTGGCCTCAATCTCAACACAGAAAGAGCCCAAGACGTTGATTCCCCAGGAAGTACGCGAGCCTCGGTACTCCGCCCACTTGGTCATGGGAGTGGAGATGTTGCTGTCGATGAGCCAGTGGCCACCTTTCACCTTGGAGGAAGTTAGTGCTTGCCCAAATGAATTTTTAAGCATCCCCGAATCAAATTCCCCCCTGGATGTTTCTTACATTGTGGTAATCACCGCCGGAGCCGACACCATCGATAATGAAGGTGCGGATCTCCTTGATGCGGGGAAACTCGGTACAACCCATGATGGCGTGTGGAAGAATGGGAAAAGACACGAGTAAAAGAGTTCAATGCAGAATTTTCAATTGAAAGAAAGAAAGAGAGATGAAAAAGAAAAAGGAGAAACTCCGAGATAACGTGGGGGAGCAACACTTTTTCAAAGCGGGCAAAGTTGTGAGGAGACCGAGGGCTTCGGTGGTTGCTGACCCGAGGGGCGAATGCCAAGTCCGGCCACGAGGCAGCTGACATGCAGTATTCTGCCCAGGTGTGTGGTATAGATAGTACTCTAGAAAGAATATTAAAGCAAGTACTCCCAGTATAGTGGCATCTGTAGAATGATTTTCAGCCTACTAGTACTAGTACAGGAAACTTTGAATAAATGCCAATGGATAGTACTATGAGTACATAGTCTTAACTAACTACTAGTTAGTACTACTAAGAGTAGCATCTGTTTCTAGAACTAATAATACTCTCCAAGTATGTAATACGTAACAACTTGAAGTTATTTGACAAATATTACAGTAAAATATACAATTATCACACATAATTGTAACTGTACCTAGGTATTCCTGTTTCACGTGGAGATTGCGGGGTGCCCCGGTTTCTGCCTCAGGCTGCAGTCCAGTGACTTTCCCCCCAACTTTCTTCTCTTCTCTTTCTGCTTCCTCGGCCCTGACTTGCCTGGATCTTCTCGGACTATCTGCGATCCTCTCGGTCTCAATCCGCTCATCTTATCACGATTCAAGTTAGACCCGCGTCATGGTGTGACCCCCGCTAGCTTTGTCTGCAGGTCCGGCCTATCTCGCTATAGCAAAATGCCGAACGATGTTTCCGCCCCATCTCTGCCGTCCGGCCACAACTTGAACCTCGGGGATCCCGAGAGAGACCAGAGCCCCGCTGAGTACTCCTCTGGCCTCGACTCCGATAACGATGCTATCACCCTCAATGGCTCCAGTGGCTCGCGGGCGCTGAAACGGAAACGTCCCCTCACCGTCTCGTACGTCTCCGAGTCGACGGTGCCGCGCTTGCGACCACCTCGACGCACGCTGATTAGTTGACCATCTGAACTAACTCCTTTCAGGTGTGAACTCTGCAAGCAAAGAAAAGTCAAATGTGGTAAGTAGTGCCAAAGAACAATAATGTTGGCCTGCGACGCGCGACAGAATCTGATTAGGTTATTACTTTAAACAGACCGAGTACAGCCTAGTTGTGGCTGGTGCACTCGCAATGGCCATCTATGCCAGTACAAAGAGCGCAAGAAGCCAGGCCTGAGAGCTGGATATGGCAAGGAACTAGAGCAACGTCTTGGTATGTGCCCAGCCATCTCTCCATTCAGCCGAGGTCTAACGGCATCTCTCACTAGACCGATTGGAAGATATCATTCAATCTCAAGCTCGCCTTATCGAGATGCATATCCTGAACAGCCAACCCAATATGCGTCATGATATGCCGCATGCTGGATCCATTGCATACAGCTCGCCCTCAGAGCCCTCAGCCGTGCACGGCCCCAGTCCCCGAGGCGCCCTCTACTTTAACGATCACAATTCGTCGGTAGCGCTGCCATCTCGTCACGCAGAGGTATCAATCACGACTCCTTCGGATTCATCGGTCAAGAACCTGGTGTCCAATAATATACACAATGGCGGGCCAGCGCCGGCGATGAGTGCATTGCCGCCGGCACCCAATGCGCATAGTAATGACTATACTGGGAATGAATCATCTTTGGAGGTTCCGGTGAGCCTATTCGCCAACCAAGAACAGTCGCTTGCAGATCCTGATTTGGATCTCCCTCCATACGACCTGCTATATGCATTGGTGGATCTCTACTTTGACCATATTAACTCTTGGTGCCCCATTCTTCATCGACGATCGACGCTCGACACCTTCTTCGGTCCATCCCCACTGGAGGAGGATGATCGCATGGTCTTATATTCTATTGTGGCAACAACCCTTCGGTTTTCAACAGACAGCAGATTAAATGACCAAAACCGAAAGCGCTACCACGATTCCTCGAAGCAGAAAGTCCTGCTTTATGGACTAGAAAATTCATCCGTCAAGGCTCTCCAAGCGCTGGTCATTTTAGCCTTGGATCTGGTCGGCTCATCCAATGGCCCTCCTGGTTGGAAGCTACTTGCTCTCATAACGAGGTCTGTAGTTCAACTAGGACTCGCAGTGGAATCAAAGTCCTCTCTCATCGCGCCTGTATATCCATCGATTTATACCCTACGCGCTGTCACCTTGTCCGAGCCAGACTCCTGGATCGAAGATGAGAGTAGACGCCGTTTGTTTTGGATGGTATATCTTCTGGACCGGTACTCCACAATTGCGACGGCATTTAATTTTGCCCTGGATGACAAAGACATCGATCGCAAGCTCCCTTGCAAAGATGAGTTCTTTATGAAGAACCAGCCGGTGGAGACAAGACGCTTCCGCTGCTCTAGTGACCGAACCGACTATCTCAGCCACGCAGATAATGTGGGATCGTTTGGCCTATATATCGAGATCTTGGGCATTCTTTCCCGTGTTCACGTTTTCCTAAAAAGACCTGTGGACATTGGATCTCTAGCCGACGTTGAAGAATGGCAGGCAACCTATCGAAAACTCGATAGTGAGCTCACATCCTGGGAATTCAATTTACCTGCCGAGTATGCATATGAGAACTCATCTCGGCTCTTCAGCGGGCCAAAGCAAGGTCGGACTTTGCACAGTGACTGGGTTCAACTACACGCAACCTACCAAACGTGAGTCTCACTCAGGAAGCCATATCATACATACTACATTCCACCTTGACTTCGTACTAACAGTTCCCAGTGCCGTAATCCGCCTACACTCATCCGCCGCATACCCAACAACAAGATCCCCAATTTTCACACCATCATACAGCGCCAGCCAGCGATGTCTCCTCGCAGTCGACAACATCCTCTCAGTAACCCGCTTCGTCGTCGAGAACAACCTCCTCGACAAACTAGGACCCCCCTTCGCCTTCACCCTCTGGGTCTCAGCCCGCCTCCTCCTCGTCCACGGCTCCACAATTGCCCACACAGTCAGCCCAGACATAATATTCTTCGTCGACACACTCGCCCATATGGGCCAACACTGGAAAGTAGCCGAACGCTACAGCAACATCCTCCAACGCGTCCTGGACGAATACGGCGAGTACCAACAATCCGCCGCCCTAGACGCCGAAAGATCAACACCCTCAACAGTAAAGATCCTAGCAGACATGCGCCGCTGCGCCTTTGACCTAGACTTCTTAATCTCCCGCCAACCTCGCGAGTCGCCCTCCACAGCAAGTCTCAGCGGCAACGACCCCCGCGCCTCAACCTCAGGTCTAGCCCCGCGCAACCTCGCACCAAATGAGCTGGAATACCTCGACGTCTTCGGATTCTTCAACGTCCCTCGCGTCCCACCGACACGAGCCCCTGACCCATCAACCGCAGCCGTCCAGCAGCTGGATATGGACTCGGCCATACAAAACCCGATGTCTATCCACGGTCTGACAAGTACGACCCCAGTCGTTGACGGCCATCCCCCCGTCAACACGAACGAGTTCAATATAACGAACTATCTCATCCCGACACCGGAAACGGATTGGCTGTTCCGACCAAATGGTTGAAGATAAATGGAGGTCCCTGGTTTCTCGCTTTGATCTTTTGTTTTGTTTATACTAGTAGTGCGCTCCCGGCCCGCCTCACGAAGTGATGTGTTTTATTCTCTTCCATTATACCCCGCTTCAATAACCCATTTTCCTTGCTGGCCTAGGCCATTGGCATAATTGACATTGTACATATTCGTCTGGCGAAGTAGGAAGAACCCTGCAAACCTTTATTTCTCTCTCTCTCTGTTTCTTCGACTCGTCAATGAATCATTGGATCTTGAGATGCTGCACTTTCCGACTTGATTCGTGTTCTACCATGCTAATAAATATATCGTACCGCTTCTTAGGTAGATCGGACTCAGCTCCAGCTTTGGTTCTGGGCCTACCTTTCCGAGTGAAACCCTTGGAAATGGAGTTTATCATTTAATTCCTACCTAGGCAAGGTAGGTATGTCATAGTATTCATTCCTCAGCTGGTCCGGAAGCAAGACAGAATACCATTTAATGCGAAACAGAAAGTAAATTGGAAGTAGGAAAATAAAATAAAAGTAAAAGGACATACTTCGCCAACAATCCAGGTACCAGACCAGGATGAAACGACAGTTTGAATTGCAGTAGATACATCGCATGCCAGTAATAATCATGACGAGACACTTGCCGTACATCAGCACGGGTATCTTCATGTCCAACTCCAACTCCAATATCACCTCAATCTCCATCGCCATCGTTTTCGCAAGGACTCACACCCTCCCCTATTCTCAACGCCGACCAGGCTGAACCCTCACAAGAATCTCCTCAAGGAAAACGTCCAAAACAGCATCAACGCCCCCACCCATCGGAACAGGATCAGTCATATCCAACTGATGAAGTCGAGTCATAAGGCCGGAAATGTCATTCGCGAGCCCCTCCATCTCAGTATGGATTTGGACCCGTCGTTCCCAATCCTGATCTTCTTCACGGGTTGGGTCCCGTTGGCCCTGCCCGTAATTACGCGCCGGGTCGTGCCGGGCCAGATGGCGGCCTCGCCGATTCATCGCTGTGCGCAGGGCTGGGAGGAGGACGGAGCCGTAGGCTGTGGCACGCTCGATTTCTGCGGGGGTTTGGCGGGCCGGTGGGAGGTTGCGGTCGGTGTTGGGGGTTGGGTGGGAACTGGAACCTGGTGGTCGGGTTGGGGTTTGGGGTCGGCTGCCGGTTCGGAGTCGGGGGGTCTTGACGGCCGGCTGCGAGTTTAGACTTAAGACCTGGGCTGGGGGCTGCGCTTGTTGGGGATGCGGTGGGTTGGTGTTGGTGGGCAGAGTGCGGATTGGGACGAGGAGGAGTGGCGTTTACGTTCACTTTGAGGTCTGGGAGAGGGCGTTGGGATGGGGGGATTTTGCGAGAGATATGTCCAGGAGTACGTGGCTGCTCGCTGGATAGGTTGTTGGTGGGTTGAGCGCTGTTGATGACGGGAAGCTGGGTAGGGGTCGGCTTCGGTGATGATCCTGCACCGTTACTGGCAAACTCTAGGGCCGCCTTTGCGTAGTGGTCATTCTGTCTCGTGGGTGACTTCTTTTGTGGTGTATTGGGGGTTGAAATCTGGCGGGCGTGGTGAGCAGCCGAGGGAATTGGTTGAGCAGCCGGCTTTGATGGTGATAGGGGGAGAGTCGGTAGAGTGGCCGTAGAAGAGCGTGAAAAGGGATCAGCGATAGGAGGAGGGTTTACCTTGCTCGAGGCAGAAGGTGTACCGTGTGACTGTTGTGTTCTCGACATGGGTGGTGCCACAGGTTGTTTAATATCGTCTTGCAAATCCCACTCTTCAGTTTCCTGGCCGCGCGAATTCGTATCAGAGTCCCTCATAGGCTGCAGTGCAGGTCCGTTAGCTCGACCAGCGGGTCTAACGGTTCCAAAGTCCCAAAGATCCTCATGGTTTTCAGGAGGATCCTCCAGAGGCTCCTCGATCTCGTCATATTCATCATCATCATCGCCTTCCCCCCGGTGCGTGGCCTGCCAACGCTCAGCCCGCTCGATCAACTCAGTCAAGTACGTCGTTCGCTTGGCCTTCTTGATAAAAGGATGCTCAAGCATTTCCTTGGCAGACGGCCGCTCCCTGGGATCCCGCTTGAGACACATCTCGACGAATTGTTTGAATGGCCTGGTAAAGCTGCCATTCAGGGTCGGGGGAGGATTCTTGGGGATCAGAAACAGAACTTTCATGGGATGAATATCTGCATAGGGCGGATCTCCACAAGCCAACTCGATAGCCGTGATACCCAGAGACCAAATGTCTGCTTTGTAGTCATATCCGGATTGTTTAATGACTTCCGGGGCCATCCAAAAAGGCGTTCCAACAAAAGTATTCTTCTTCGTCATGGTGGCCGACAACTGGCCCGAAACGCCAAAATCAGCCAATTTGACCTGGCCACTGGCACTCAACAAGATATTCGCAGCTGATAGACGGTTAGTAATAGTTTCCTCTCACTCGAATTTGCTCTTGGTGAAAAATGGGTAGCTCTCACCTTTGATATCTCGGTGCAGTTTATGGTCACTGTGCAGATAATCCAAACCATGCAGAAGTTCTCGCAGAATAATCGCAATGTACTCTTCATGGATCACACCAGGGCGAAGCAGTCCATGGCAACTCCCACCCGAGCAAAACTCCATGATGATCCACAGATTGGAGCCCTTCAAATATGAGCCATGATACTTCGTCACGTATGGAGACTTGAGTTCAGACAAGATCGCGATCTCTTGGATGATGTCATCTACCTCATCCTCGGCGTTTTCGACATCGATGATCTTGATCGCAACCGATTCTCCGGTACGTCTATCGACTCTATGAGAGACGAGGAGTCTTAGTTAAGGTTCAAAGCAAAGCAACGAGACCGTGGTTCGACTTACCCTTTGTACACCTTGCCGAAGCTTCCACCACCTGGAACATGTCAGTAATGAAATAAATTGAACTCGTGGTCTGCGGAAAAATCGTACCGATACATGATTGCTTGGTGTAGATAGACTCTGGGTCTATCGGTCCAGGCATACTTGCGATATTCTTGTGGTATGAGAAATACCCAAGGGGAAGCACTGCGCCACGACGCCGAATGCTCTGATCAACAATGGACAAGTGGTAAATTCAGTAATATCCAGTCCCAAAAAAGCAGAACCGAGACTTTGTGAGTTACGACAGGTGTGAAGTATCCTCCTTGCGTGATTGAGTTGTGCTGGGAGAGCTGACGGGAGAAGCGGAGGTGAGACGTGCGGGATGGGGTCGGAATCGACAAGACGGAGACGAGTCTTAGTGCGGGGGAGAGAGAGGAAGAGAATGAGGTGGTAGTTGACGATTGAAAAAAAAACCGCTAATCCTGCCCAACAGTTAGCCAGGATTGCTAATGTTATGAAGGAGCAACTGGGCAGGGGTCAATAATGGGTCGGGATCGACGTACCGGGGGAGGAATTGACGATGCGGGCGTGAACAAAGTTGGCAAGAGAAGTTGACAAGCCGAAGGCAGGGTAGGGCCCGTAAATACGGCGGTAGAGCAGGAATCAGCTGGAGGACATGATAGCGCGCGGAGTTCAATCCAAGTAATATGGTGCCAATTGCGAATTAATGCCGAGTGATGGTGATGGGAACCCTTCCTTGCCTTGTTTATCTCTTTACGCGGGGCCAAATTCTGCCACCGCCCGGCCTTATCGGCTGATGTATAGGAGTGGGATGTAAACAATGGAATTCATCACTATAGAAACAACAAATATAATACTACTCATTCTTAATAGAAAGGGAATGGAAACATAGAATCGCTGAGAATAGTGCAGTGCTGCACTTTAACATGATCGCGACATTTATAGCATAATTCATTGGAAATCTAGGTCCGAGGCTGTGAAATGGGGTTCTAAGGTTACTTCATAGTTCATCGCCCACCCCTCATCACTCTTGAGTGGCTGCTGCATGGTGAATACTCGGGTCCTTGCATGTGCAAGATGCTCTGCAGAGAAAATGAGAGCCGAGCGAATGAGATGATTTATATCATCTTACTCCTCCAAGTACCCGATGTTCACTGTGCCGTTTTTCAGCCCCGCTTCCTCAATGCTCGTCGAGAGGTGATCTATTAAGTTTTGTCCCATGGCATTCAGGTCAAAGCCAACTCCAGCCTTATCTTCCAGAGGCGGCTCGGCCTTGAGCCATTCATAAATACGCTGGACGGGGTCGTTGAGCGAAAATCGGCGGATGACACGTCCGGCAGGATGGCGGAATTGAATACGAGTCGTCGTAGCCGGGTCTGCAGCAGGCTCGGTGTGTGGTTGATTGCTGGGAATGGAAGAAAACGCCGAAGTTGACTGGGATTCCTCCTCTTCTTCTTCCTTCTCTTCGGGGGTCCCACCCATGATGTCGTCTTCTTCGGCAGCTCGGCCCTTGCCTTTAACATCGTCGGTACTGCGAGTCAAATCATCAGGATCTCCCTGTTTCTGACCAGCAGCTGCGCCCTCGCCAAGACTGTTCCTCATCGCCATCTCGAGCATTTCCTCTTCAGTCATTGCGTCGACAGTCTTCTCCTTCTCTTGTTTCCTCTTAGCCACGGGATTCCGGACGTTGTGGTTCAAACTATAGCGGTCGAGGAACTCATGCAGCTGCATGAGAAAGTCTGCAGGTTTGATCACCGGAGGACCCGACCAGATCTTCATCTGCTCGCCGGTGCGAGGATCAACAATGGCGATGTGCGGGTAATTATCGGAGACATCGCTGGCTTGAAAGTAATATTGAATATAGGCGGACCCCTTAGGATCATCCTTGGCGAATTGAAGAAAAATGAAATGTTCCTTGACAGTTTCTTGGACTGTCTTGTCCTTCCACAGATCGCGATTGAGAACTTGGCAATCAAAGACAGACGAGTCTTGGATATTGACGAGCAACCATTTCTCTTCCGCCTTTCCATCATCCCGCGCCACGTCCCAGGGCACTCTCGACATAATTTCGAATGGAGGGCGGTACATTTCCGCAAGCATGTTCTGTTTGGAAGAAGTCTCCGATGCGCCTCCGGTGGCTCTAGAGAGTCGCTCTTGATGCGTATCTACAGAATCGCCGTGCCAAATCGATGCGGTATTTCTCTGGTTGAAGATACCCGGCCGACCTGGTGAAAATTGATCAAGCGTTAGTCTTCGTACCAAAAGAAAAAGAAGAGTAGGGCTCTTAGGGGTTACAAGGGGGGTACAAACCACCTCGCTGACGAGCCCGCACTTGGCTCAAGATATTGGCATGCATATCATCTTCGTCGTCGAAATCGGCTGCTCCAGGCCCCACCAAGGTCTCCGTGGTGCGCGCCATGGGCGCTCGCACACCCTCATCATCAAAATCTCCATTGCCTCCTCCGGCACCTTGACCAGCGCCTGCACTACCACCGCCGTACATTTCTTCTTGTAGTCGGCGAGCCATGGCGGCGTCATCCTCGAATGTTGTGCCGGCGGCGGGGTTTGTTGGACGTTCGGTACGATTATCATCGTCGGAGTCGGAGTCGATGTGGACGATACCGGATTCGTCTTCAAAATTGGAAGGGCGGGGAGGTTGCCGAGGTTCCTCGGTTAATGGTGCACCTCCATTCTCGAAGTAGAGTTGCATGGCTTGCTCGATGTTGAAATCGGCAAGCTGCAGGTACTGTGTCGCCAGCTCTGGGGTCGAGCCGGTGATTTCACAGAATTGGGCCACCACGTCACTCTCCATGGTGGAAGATTGTGATGGGGAGAGAATGGATAGAAAGGAAAGGAGAGGAAAGTTGGAAATGATGTGAAAGGTAAAGTCAGAGGCGCGTGCAGGAGTCTTGAAATGTGACAGTTTCACCTGATAACTTCGGTGTGGGGAAGCTGAGAGGGTGCAAACAGCTGCAAACTGAGGATTTAACTCGATGAGGACCCCACACAGCTACAGAGAGGGCGAGATGACATCAAGATGCAAGAGTCGAATAGGTTTGAGAATGCTGAAAAAAAGGAAGGCTAGTGGTTCTTAAGCGAAGTGGGAGAGTGGACTTGCAAGAAGTACAGAAAGCACGGAGAAGGTAGTAAGTTAGCAAGTTAGCAAGTTAGCAAGTAGATAACTAGATCGAGGATCTCCCATGACGCAGCTGTACGGCGGTCTTTAAAGACCTCTTGTGCAGTCATGTGCATCCGTGATATCACGTGTAAACCTGCGCAGCCGGTCACTGCAGTCCACCACAGTCCACTTTTGCCGTGTTGGGCGATTCCCACGCGTCGACGCGTCGCGAGTCCGAGACAAGACGAGATCCGCGTGGTTTGATTGCTTTAACGTTCACACTTGCATGACATTTGCACGGGCATCTACTCTCTTCGCTCTTGCTCTCCTTGTCTTCCTTTTTTCTATTTGCTTATTGTCTGGTTCCTTCCCTACTTGCATCAGCCATGACAGCGTCAATCTTGGGCAAGCGCTCTCGTGTCGCCGACACCGAAGGTGAGTTGACTTCCTTCTACTACCCACCTGCTTCCCACCTTCCGCATGAATTAATTCGGTCATTTTCAAGGTCTTCCGGTGCGCACTGCCAGCAAGCGCCGCACAGTCGCCCCTCGAGCTCCTCGTGACGTCGCCGCGCTTCCCCCAAAATCTCTCCCTCGGACACGGTCCAGTGCGAGACTCGCGCACCAAGCATCGCCGGCTCCGGACCAAGAAAACGAGGACGTCAAGCAGCTCGCCGAGAAGCCTCAAGTGAAATCGAAAGCGAAAGCGAAACCCTCTTCTAAGCATACTCTCCGCGAGGAGCCAACTATACCGACTGTACAGGGTGCGTCTCCAACCAAGATCAAATCGCATTTCCGCACCTCAAAGCTCGTGCTCGTCGAGGGTAAGCCGAGTGCGCCGGAAATCTGCATAAATGAGTGGAGCTAACAACAGTCAATTACAGAAGAGAAAGTCGTCGAAGAGAAAATCTTTGAAGAAAAACCCACAGAAGAGAAGGAAATCGAGAAAGAAACCGACACTGCGGTTAAGACTGAAAATGATACCGAGAATGAGAAACCGGCACCCATTGAGTTCAAAACACCTCAAAAGTCCCGCTTCCGTGATGCTTTACAACAATCCCCCGTCACTCCTCGCCATCGGGTACAGGTTGGAGCCAAATCTTCAACCCCCCAGAACCCCACGACACGCTGATCTCCCGCCAACTCCTCGTCCGAGTGCCACTCCGACTATCGCTCAATCGGTCTACTCGCAGGCTCGCCAACTCTTCGCCCGTGGTGCCAACTCAGGTCGACTGGTCGGACGCGATGCTGAGCGAGAGAAAGTGGCTACCTTCATTGGCGATTGTGTCAAGTCTCAGAAGGGCGGCTGCCTTTATGTCAGTGGCCCCCCCAGGCACTGGCAAGAGCGCTATGATCGGTGAAGTTTGCCAGGATATCAACCTGTCCTCCGTCAAGGTATCACACGTGAATTGCGCGAGTATGCGAAACGCCCGCGATGTCTATAGCCGACTCGTCCAAGATTTCGGCGACCAGACAGATATGTTCAAGAAAAGTGAAGGTGACCGTCTGAAGGCCATGTTTCTTCCATCCAAGGTAGAAGGTCTTTATCTGGTCTCTCTTGACGAAATGGATCATCTCCTTACCGGAGACTCTGGCGTACTGCAATCTTTGTTCGAATGGTCATTGCAAGCCAGGTCGAGCCTGATCCTAATTGGTATTGCCAACGCCCTCGATTTGACAGATCGGTCCCTGCCACAGCTCAAGGCAAAGAATTTGAAGCCCAATCTTCTACCATTTCTACCATACAACGCAGCATCAATCGCCAATGTCATCACCAATAAACTTAGAACTCTGCTCCCAGATGGAGGAGATTCGGATCCCAAATTTGTTCCTTTTCTGCAGCCGGCAGCTATCCAGCTCTGCGCAAAGAAGGTTGCCTCGCAAACTGGAGATCTTCGAAAGGCGTTCGAGCTTATCAAGCGCGCAATCGATGCCATCGAACAGGAAACCCATTCAAAGCTCGAGAAGCAAGCTGCCGATGCGGCCGACGCCTTGGTTCTTGCAGAGAATAAGAATCTTTCAACGACCCTTAAGCCTATTCCCGCGCCTCGACCTCCTCTCATGGCCAACTACAACTCTCTGACAGCACCTCGTGCCAGTATTGCCCACGTCGCCCGCATCACCACATCCGCATTCGGCCAGGGCACCATCCAGAGACTCAAGGGTCTCAACCTGCAACAGAAAGCCGCAATTTGCTCCCTGATCGCCCTTGAACGTAAGCGCCGAGAACTCGATATCCCCAGCACACCGTCCAAATCTCGATCCGGAGCCCCAACTGTCAAACAAGCATTCGATACATACTGTACGCTCTGCCGCAATGACAATATCCTTCATCCCCTCACCTCTACCGAGTTCAAAGACGTCCTCGGCAACTTAGAGACTATGGGTCTCGTTGGTGACTACCAAGGTCGTGGTCGTGGTGGTACTCTCGGTGCCGGATCTGATGTCCGTCGAACACCCTCCAAGTCCGGCAGCGTGATGTCCACGCCCCACAAAGGCATGGATGAACAGGGAATCCTCTGTTTCGTCTCTCAATCCGAAATCGAGGGCCAGATTGCGGGCCCTGGTGAGGGTATCCTGCGCCGACTCCTTCGGGGTGATGGTCTTTAGTTTGAGGACATTCCCACCCGGCCATGATCCCGCATCTGCTCCAATGCGCTATGTTCTTTTATCTCCTCATCTTTGTCTCGTTCTGTTCAGGGTCGTTGGCGTCCTCTGAAGAAGACATTTCTCTTGTGATACACATTTGGCATCTCCGGCGTTCGACCTGCATCTTTTTATGTTTTAGCGCCATTGTTATGATTCTCCTTTGTTTCTATGATCTTTCCTTTGTGAACTCATTCCATCGACTTGTCCGGTTTGAACGGTCTACTCGATGGTATCCATGTGCATTATTCCCAATACAACATTTTTTAAGATACAAAGGTTCAAAGGTTAGGGATTGGCAGTATCACTAGTAGTACTAGTAGACTTTCTGGCTGGTAATCATGTTGAATTGGTAGAGGTAGCCCAGGTGCTAGTGGGACCCCGAAGCGTTATCTGCCCCCAGGTGGGAGAAATTACAAAATAGGGCAACTGTGATCTGGGCAGTTCGACTACTACTAGTAATAAAACTAGTAGTGTATAAATGGTATTGAAAGGCCGGAGCCACCTGGGCGGAAAATAAATAAATTCCCACAATCATCCAGAAAGCAGAAACTATGAATTGGAAAGTGTCTGCAGCTCTATGCTCTCATCCTCTTTCCTTCGTGCACGCGACACCGAGTAATAGAAAAGAAAGCACCCTGCGGTACAAGGCACTGTCACAGCAATCCAGACCCAGAATCGGGACGTTTCCGCTAGCCATTCATTGGTACTGAAAAACGGCATTGAAAATAGCGCCTAAATTCCAGACAGAATTAGCATTGTTTCTAAGCTGGTAATTCTCTCAGCATTATCCGGGGTGGAGAATTGACGCTCTATCATTGGAACTCACAGCAAATGTTGCCCCGGGCAGAAAGAACATTGTGACGACGGCGATCTTGAAAACGAGGCTTCAGTCAGTAACAAACCTTGGAAGTACCTAGGTATATCATGAAAACTCTTTATACGCACAGTTCGCATTGCTACACTGTCCCTTTTCATCTCTTGAGCAAGCTCATGTGAAGCCTTGGCCATCTCACGACCGACGAGAGTATCTTCCTGCATTGCACTCAATATAGCCTGCATATCCTGTCCGTTCGCGACGAGTCGTCTATTACTGTTGATCTGAATGCGATTGAAGAGCTATAAAGCACACGTTAGACGGCATGAAAGAGGCCCATATAAAAAGAAACAGAAAATCTTAAAGAGAAACTTAGGGAACCAACCAGCGCAAGATTATTCTCAATCTTCTTCTCCAACTCCCTCGTAAAATCATGCAAAGCCTCAACCTGCGATGAAACCTGACTAAAACCCCTCGAAGCCTGCTCAAGGGTCCTAAAATCCTTATCCTCCGCATCCCCGCACAAAGCGCATCAAAATGCGTAGCCAAATCTGACACAATCCCCTGCAAAGACTTCAGCTCCGAAATATACCGATGCAAATGCGCCGCAATAGAATGCAGCGCCTGATTAATGCCGCCGAAAACCGTCTCAGGAGTGATATGCGAGCCACTCAGCTCGGTCTGGAGCCGGGCCTCGTATTCGACTAATTGTTCGTTCACGCTATTTAATGCGTGCGTCCACCACCGCGTCGTGCTGGTGAGATAAACGAGGTGACTGAAGGCGCCAAAACCGTAGCCCATCCGGGCGTTCTGCTTTAGGCTCATTACTTGGTCGATTCGCTGGCTTGGTTCTAGGGCGACTTTTGTCCAGCGGCCGTGCATGAAGTCGAATGCGACGAATGTTGTTTGCTTTGAGTCTGGCATGACGCGGGAAAATATTCCTATGCATGAGCGGTGAATGCTGAGTTTTATGTCGGGGAGGTCGAGTTTGTGGAAGGGGTTCATTTGCGTTGGGTCTCGGGGTTCTTCTGGAGGTCTGCTGGTGCTGCTGCTGGAGGTGCTGGCTCCGACTTGGACGCGGATTGGGAGGATGTACCAGAAGTCGAATGCTCCGGCCCTTTGGATTTGCAATTTTCGTGAACCTCGGCCGTTGGGGAGATAGTGGTGTGACAAGGCTAGGACAAAACTGAGTGGTATCTGTAGCTTGTCGACGAGTGTTTGGAAGCATGATGCAGAAATACGGAGCTGGTGGGCATCCTTTGGCGGGGTTTCTTTTCCATCATGGACAAGGTGTTTGTGTATAAAGCTTCCTTCGTCAGTTCATGAATGCCTATCTGGATGGACCAGGTTTCCTTTTTGAAAAGAAACTTGAAAATAAATCCCTACAAGAATTCGCTCGAATTATTTGCGTGTGTAGCATTCTATCCTAAAAGTCAATATCAACTCTGGTAATAATGTGATTTATACTCACGCAAGACTCGATGTCTCTTTGGGAATTTAGTTCTTGTATCACCCGTGAACTAGGAGTATAGATTGCACGCTTGACAAATGTTGTATCGGATAGCTGCTTTCTGAGAAATAGAAAGGCAGAGCCCGTTGTGCTTCCATCCAGATGATCACTAGAAATTTAACTTGGAAATATTCTTAGACAACATTGGCCAGTACTTACAGCTCAGGGGCATGTCCATTTTGATACATAGAATCCATCATCTGGACTGATTGGAGTCCAAAGCCATTTCAACCTTTTCATAACGGCCGGACGTATCGTAGAAGAGAAACGGGGGAGGCCTACTAGTATGATTGCTACCACCAGAAGCCCCAGGAAAACCGGGGTAACCCAGTTGGTAATCGGCTGCGTCGAAGTAAAAGGCCAATGCATAAGCGCCAGCCAGCCTCTTCAGTCTGACAGCCATTGCGCCCGCTCCCGCAAGCGGTAATCTTAGCCTGAGATTACCATTGGGCATTACATTATACAAAACCCTCAAGATCTGCACCTCGTATTTCGAAAATACTCTCGCAAATTCTCGCCCCCGACATGCCTGGTTTTCGTCGACGCAAAGAAAAATCTCAGACTTCGGCTCTGGATGCTTCATGGATTCTTCCATCGGATGAAGAGAAGCGGAGCGATGCAGTTACAAAAACATCAAACGATACAAGTGATGAAACTTATGCCACATCCACCGTCAAGATCACCAGGAGTGAGCAGCTGATTCCGATTATCAACTCAACGGATTCCAGCAACTTTCAAGAGCACCAGGAAGTTACGACTGATGTAGGCAACGAGGCTTCCCAAGGGCAAGCGAAAGTCCCGCATATATCGCATCAGCACATTGCGACACAGTACAATCCAACAAGGAACAGGATCAAGCCGCGCTACGCGAAAGAACATTCCTCTATGTGGCTGGACGAAAGTCCAGAATCGAGTTTTTCAGCAGGTAACCGACAAAGTAACTTAAGTGAAGACCCCACGAAAGAGGAAGAGCCGCAGGCAGACACAACCCAGTCCGTCACAGCATTTCACCACGGGTATCCCTTTTCCATCTTTCGCATAGACAAAACGCCAACCGCGAGCCCGGGCAATGCTGCGCCCCCGGTGCCTCCCTGGCGCTATTTGTCGTCGAGCTACTCCCCCAGAAATGGTTCCGTGTGACCTTTCTATTATCATCAGCCAATTGAAAATGTGTGGCGCTCCGGCTGTGTTTGCATGGAGAGGGGGGGAGACCGGGTTGAAGCTGGGGTTGATGAACACCCTGCCCATCGTTTATATTTCGTTATCTTAATCCAGACTGAGAACTGTACTCATCACAACACTCTTTACACTCTTTGCATTAATCTAAAATTCTGTTATCTGTAAAACATATTCAAGATGGAGACCCCAAAATTCCCAATAACCCCTAACAACCCCATTCCGCGAAAAAGCACCCAAAGCAACAATATTCTGAGGGGCCTACGAGACAGTAATAACCCTCCAGCAAATATTCCCTTTTGAAGTCCGAAGTCTAATCATCTGGCCATTTCCTTGCAGGAATTCGCGGTGATCGATCAAGAAACCTCCTCGAACCATCTCCACTTTCCCACTTCACACCATCCGGATCAGAAGGCGATGAAACACCTCCACGGAGTTCCACGGAGCTCCCTGTCGAACTTGCAATTAGAGGCCTGTCTGGCTCTACTCTGAATCGGCCCTCAAGTTCATCTTCAAAGATCCGCAAGACCCCGTTACCCGTCCCAGCCAAACCATCAGCTCCGATCGCCATTCCAGCCAGCGAAAAAGATACATCACCCACACTGCAAGAAATACCACTGACATTCGCAGTGGATGTCTCCGGCAGCACAAGTGGAACTGTTTTGCATCAAGAAAAAAAAGCGATTCGAGCAGTTTGTTCCACCCTCACTAGGCAAGCCCTCGAAGCAAATTCTGCCGTACTGCCTTGGTCTCACTGTGCCTTCTTCCTGTCAAGTTGAATAAAATTCAAGACCTTCGATCGAGGGGTGGAACGAATCCTGCTGTATTGCTGGAAGATCAGGCTTGTAGATCCCAGCTTCAGAATTCGGATCTTTGGTTCCTCATGACGGATGGGATTATCGATGAGCCTCATGTTCACAGTTTTGCAAACGCGCTCCCAGGAGCTGGTGTGCACGGCACAGCCTGTGTCATCGTTCTTTTCGGGTCTGCCCATCATTCTCCATTTTCTTGCAATGTTTCCGTGGGAATCTCCGTTTTCGCCGTCGCTCCACACTGCATATTCCTTTTCCACGACGTGAGGAGTGAAAAGGTTTATGTATTCCAGGCAAAAGGCTGCTTCGCGACGCTGTTGCCGAAAGAGAAGCGTTTTGCAGCATTCGGGGAGTGGACGCGATGGACAGATCTTGTCCGAATTGACTATAAAGATTTGGCACGGGTGAGGGTGCCAGCTGCCACCAAATTATCCCAAGATACTGTGCTACTTCCGGATGGACGCCAATTCGACATGAACAGTATTTACAATAACAATCTGTCAGATGCTGATAAAATGGACTTACTTTCCGATTACTCGGCTCTAGATGTCATCATCCTGGCCGCGAAAACTCGAGGAAGAGACACAGAAGTCAAATCGTGGATCTCCAATGCTCGCACTGCCAGAGAATCTCAAAGTCTCATGTTCTTACGACGTGAGGATTCGGGCGGACAGGCGAGATTTTACCTCCTATCCATCCTGGAACACGCCGTCCGAAAGAGTATCGTCGCAGATCAGCCCGAGCTCATGTGGCAGAATATCCGAACCTCATCGGAATCTATAAATGGTCTGAAATTCAACCTTCACGACCAACACGCCAAGAACTGGCACGCATTTGAGAAACAACTCAACTCAGAATCAGACCTGTCGACGAAAATGTATCAAGTCTTTGACGATGTCATTACCACCATGAACACATACAAGGAATGCGGGACGAGCTCTCCAGCAATGCTGATGCCCATGACATCCCCTCCAGTAGGAAATGCCAGAGACCAGAGGATGAGCCCTCTGTATACTAGTCCCAACAAGCAGAGACATGCCCCCTATATGTCGCGGAACAGAGCACAGAGAAATTCCGCAGCGCAAGATCTTCTATTTCTTCACGAATTCAAAGGAAAGAGGCAATTCCACGGCAGCTCTCACCTGAGAGAGGCAAACTACAATACTTGCTACGTCTGCGGACAAGAAGATGTCATTCAGACACTCCTACTACAGAAGTACCGAGGCGACGAAGAAACCCACAACTTCCCAACAAAACACAGTCACGCCAAACACAAATACCCAATGGTCCTTGGGAACTACCCCGAGACAGACATAATTCTACCATTGACATCCTGCGACGCCTGCGCATGGCTCATGATTCAAGAAAAGGAGCTACCAAATGGAGAGCGCATCGATGGCGCATTACCATTAGTCTCACTGGCTGAAAATGTGAACCGACAACAATGGATAAACACGCTACTCAGAGTCTTCGGCAATCGTTTCCACGAACGAATCGTCCTACTAGTCTTCCTTTCCTCCCTCTACTCAACAATAGAAGACATAATCACAAACGACGAACCAAACGCATACGATCTCATCCAAAGTCTCAAATGGTGCGCCCGGGCCTTGACCGAGTTACCTGGAATTGCCATCGCTGCGGGCCTCACTCCGGCCGGGACTCCAATGTCCTACACAGTGGACGAGACGATGTCACTACAGAAAGCCGTCGGGTTAATATTCTCGCCCAAAAGCGCGGCTCTGATCGAGTCGTCGTTTTTGATGTACCCGATTGATGGATTTGTAGCCATCGTCCACGTCGCTGAGGTCCTAGAGCGTGTTGAGCCGCACCAGATTGAGAAATTTGTGTGGAGAAGACTTCTTTACCATTTTACTGAGCAGCATATCAAACTTCATGCGCAGATTGGATTTGATGAGGCGAATTCGAAGCTCGAGGAAATCATATTTGAGAGACCTCCTTCGTCATCGAGCTCGGCAAATAAAGACTTGGATGAGCCGTTCCTGGTCGTGTCACCGAACGGACTGTCTACATCTATACAGAAGTTGGACGGGACGTATCTTCTGCCTCCGTCTTCAGATTACCTCGAGCAATTCAGACGGATGGATTCATTTTTTACGTCTATTGAGACCACGACGAAGTACGATGCTGCACTCGCTGTATTTCTTCACATGTTGTTGGATATCTCGGTTTCTCAGCAACGGGGCACTCTGGATGTCCCCGACGTTTTCACACAGATTCGATATAGGGCGGATGAGATAAAACGATCTCATGAGGAATTGTATGATGTCTTTATTGACCCGAAACTGATCTCAGAATCAGATGCCGTCAGATTGATAGAGGCATGGCATCAGCATGGCGATATTTCCCGCAAGATCGCCTGATGTCTCCTCCGGCCGTTGCGGGTCCCTGCCCAGCCGCATTCATTCAGAAGTCAATCCATTGCCGAGGCACCGTCTGACGAAGGTGGAATTTCATCGAGAATAGCGAGACGGCGATAAATTCACCAGAAAGAATTCCAATCTGATTCAGGTGTTTCGTGAAATCGACAGCTAACGGATTCGACATTGAGCCCGAAGGGAATTGCTTTCGCTATGAATGGATTGATATCGATTCGTTTGGACCGTAGAAAGGTTATCTCACGGGTAATTGCATTCGAAAACTGCCTTGAAATTACCTGGTAATTAGAAGAATTGATACTTCATCCTGGCCTTGGAAAAACTGCCTGTACCTAGTGATTTTCACGCTTTGATGATCACAAATATTGTTCGTTCCTCGTCATTCTAACCCCACCTCTCTGAGGAATACTGCTGCATTTAGGATGGCTCTATCATTAAATAAGGCGGTTTGTAAGAGTGGCCTAAGGCGATTAACTCGAAATCAATTTTCTTCGGGGGCACTGTCAAATCCAGCAGCCGTCGTTAATTCACTTCTTTTTTGCTCACGTCCTGTAGCCAATCGAATCTCATCGCTTCTTCTTCCTCCGAGCGTATTCAACGAACGGCCGATAAGTACATTACTGAATAGGAGGGAGATAAGGCAGAAAGGCGCGAACCTATTTGTTCACACATCTTATGCAGATAACTGAAGTATACATACATAACTACTACAATCAGGCACACAAAAGAAAAACAAATGGAAAGAGATGCATCAAAGCATGGGCATGAGAATCGGGCTGGAAGAATAAAACAAAATAACAAAAGAGAAGAAAACATTTCAATCCCGCACTAACCCCACCAAGGCGCGAAAGTGGCTGTACCGGGGAATCCATCGAATAAACAGCTTGAAAACAAAACAGAACAGGCAAGGCAGGGTATGTTATGATATGTATGCGCAAGCCCCTAATGATACGTATGTCCGGGTCCAGCCGAATCAAGCACGAAGCGAGAACCGGGCCGAAATATGGATCTATACAAAAGACCCGTCGTACGCACATTCCAAATTCACAAAAGAAAAGAAGAAGCTCACTCTCAAGCTAGTAGAAATAGGCATCCAGTCAATCGAGGAAGGAAAATGATAACTTAAGAAAGGAACCCGATTTAATCATCCATGGGCTTATCTTCCAGAGTCACGCCCTTGGGTTCCTCGACAATGCTACTCCGGTTGCTATCCGTCCCGGCGGTAGCTGTGGTGGGGAAGTTGGAGAGGCTGCCCAGACCGGGCTTGCGGGCATAGCGAGCGGTGGTCCGGGGGACGGAGCTGCGCTTTTCGAATTCAGAGGATGTTGGGGCGGGCGTGGGAGTTGGCGTTGGCGAGCCGTCAGAGGCTGTCTCTGGCAAGGGAGGGCTGACGGAGCCATCAGAGGCATTGCTCTCGAGGACTTCGCTGGGAGAGTCAACAAGACCAGTACCGTTCATGGCGGTTGCGAACTCGACTTCCTCGGCCTGTGTGCTGACGGTGGGGTGCTCGGCGGAGGAGGGAGGTTCATTGGGCACGTCCAGGCTAGTGCGGATTGGAGCAATTGGGGTGCGACGCTCTTGTGGACTTGTAACGTTGATTGGGAAGCGGGTGGATTCAGAAGCGCCGCTGGATCGGTCACGGCGGTGTCGTTGGCGAGGGGCGGGGCTGGTGGCCCGGCTCTTGCTGGCAATGGCTCGTTGACGGGCTTCCATTGCTGCACGGCGGTTGCTCTCGTCGGTGCTGATGGCACGGGGGCGGCTGGATGTGGAGATACCCAGCGCACTTGACTGGCGCTTCAGCTCACCGAAAATAACATCCTTGTGGGCAAACAGGTCGCGAATCAGTCGATAGGCGTGGCGCTCGTCCATGGTTAGGCTACTGTCGAAGCGAGGACGAAGGACACATGCGGAGAGATTTTGAGCGAGGGCGGTAGTATATTGCTCGTCGGCCGAAGTCAGGTCAAGCAGGCGTGTGAAATGGGTCATGATGGCATCAAGCGTGGCGATGTTAACGAGGCGGAGTTGTCCAAGCGTGCTTTGCAGGACCTTGATCCGTCCCTCTTCCGTGGTCTCGTGAGCGGTAGTAGAATAGACGGTCTTGACGATTTCGTAGACTTGAGAAGAAACAAGGGAGTCTGGAGCTGGCTGTCAGTCTTGTGATCCATGCTACTATGAGCTATCAGGAGGGAGTAATGTACCTGGCAATTCAAGGAGGTACAATTTCAAAACGCTAGCAACGATGGGTATCTCAAATTTGGGCAGGACTTCGCGGTAATCCACATTGCTGTTGTTCAGGGCAGAACGCAGCTGGTGGATTGTGGTTAGCGAAGAATCGTGAAGCCAGATTCCACGTCGAGCCTCATCGCCCTCAAGTTCGGGGTATTCTAGCAATAATTAGTTCCAAGTCGCACTGTGAACGTCCTAAAATCTGGACTCACGGTTATCCAGGTAAGTTAAAATAGTGGTCACCAGAATGGGAACACGTTTACGATCAACTCGAGCCCTGGCCTCAAGATCGACACCGAAATTTTGTTCTACACGAGTCAGCCTTGGCCTTCAGGTATATGATATGGGAAGCATACCTTCGACGGAACCGTAGTAGTTCTCATACGCCTGCACACGAGGAACGAAGCCACCGGTGCGATAGTTCTCCAGAAGATAACGCAGGTCTCCCAGAGGCTGAATGGTTTCTTGATACAGCATCATGTTATCGACAGTGCTTTGAAGGTTGGGAATGACATTGCTGATGGCGCCAGAGAAGTCGAGCACAACAGCCTTGATAGCCTTGAGGCGATCAAGTTCGCACTGCTCCATGAAGCGCAGATTATCAATGACGTCCTCCTCCAGGCGGCACCGGATTTGATCCAGTCGACGGATAGCTCCCTTATAACGCTCATCAGCCTCACGAGCCTCGCGCCGCAACTTTTCGGCGGGGGTCTCATTCGGGTACGGGTTGTTCAATGGGTTCCAGCCAGCAATCATTTCGGAGACAGATGCAATAGGCGAGTCGCTTCCACTTCCGTCCTCGCTGGAAGCCACCGATGTGACGCGCATCAAGGGTCGTTTCTTTTCGGGGATACCAGTGATCTCGAACACCCTAGGGCGCCATTGGTAGTTCATCTTTGAGCTGTTGGCGAATGTGTTGCCCATATTACCGATCAAGCGAAGGAAGCCATTGTCAACCAGCTCCTGCCCAAGATGTTCCGCCGAGGCAAGGTTGGTGGCACCCATATGATTCTGGAGATACTCGACAATATCCGCACCAGTGGAGGTGTTCTGATAAGTTCCAATGATTGGCACCTTCGATTCGCCCAACTTGATATTGTTTAGCATGTGGAGCAGGAGTCTCTTGACCTCCTCTGGCGAGTAGACTCGATCGCCTATCTCAACGGGTTCTTCCTCCTCCTCGGGCTCTTCCTCGGAAGGCAGCACAATCTTCGGGGTAGGCTTGACCTTCGGGCTGGATTCGGGGTCCTGGAACGCAAGTTTGTTCTCCTCCTCGAGATCCTCGACCACACGGCACTTGTTAAAGTAGTGGCTGCGCAATTTCTTCACCACCTCCACCTGCTTCGAGTGTTCCTTGATCCGTGCTTGGAGTGTATCATGCGAGGTCTGAACCCGGAAGTCGTGACCGTCGCTCCATCGGCGAAAAGGCGCCACGACAAGTTCCCGGATGTTGCTGGCGATTTTTTGGTGATTGCGGGAGGCCTCGACCATCTCGGTTCGGACACCTTCGTATGCCTAGTCCAGTCATGCAGACGTTAGTTCTCGTCCATGTCGAAATAAAAGACCCGGAAAGACCAATGTATCGATTAGTGTATTTGCGAGTGAGACATACCTTTCTCACACTAGCTCCGTCATCTTTGCCGAAGCCCGTCGCAGTCATGCGATCGACGCTTGGGGCGATCTCACCCATGCGGAGACCATATTGCTCCTCCGCATCTGCGCGCAGAGACGCAATGGTCAAGATCTGCCTGTTTTCCGTAACACCCTGTTGCAACTTCCCATACAGAACCCCCAGACCAGTAGCATAATCGGGGGTCCAAAAGGAATCCGCGAAGCCAGGCATTATGACCGAGCCGACGCCGACGGAGAACACCACGGGGATTCAAAGAACAGCAATAGCGGGATGGAGTATCCTAGCGATGATTGTGAAGCCGGAGTTGAAGATTCGTATCGGTCGGAGATGGGAGAAATTGGAGACGAGACTGAGAGAGCGCAAAGAGGAAAAAGGCGAGCTCGGGGTGGGACCGAAAGTTCAGCTTTGTCCGGGCTGAAATTGGGTCTTCTCCGGACGGGGGATCTTCGCACAGGGCTGAAAGCCAACGGACTGACAACGAAGGATATGAAAGGGAGGTGACTGGGGATGCTTTTTGAATGCGCGAGCGATCAATCGAGGAATTCGAGTAACCTGGGGTCAAACTGGGGAATGCGAGTCGCGCGGCACGGTAAGCGCCGGAGGTGGCGTTGGGAAACAAACGAGAAAGAGAGCGTATGTGGATGAATGGGAAACGGCACAATGCGAAAGAAAACAATGCAAGTCCACCCAGTAATGGCAGAACCAAAGAGGAATAAAAGGGGGAGGGGAAGTTGATTCCAACAGGATGATGTTGATGGAAATCCCATGCGGTTCGTCAGGTGGCTTGTAATATTACCTTGTTCTGGCGTTACGAGGACAGGTACGAATTACGTTGGAGACTCTCGGTACAACAGCCTGACTCCACAACACTAGCCACGGCCATGGCTATTTTTGGATCTGGAAAATCCTGGCCGTTGGACAGAGCTAAAAAGGAGTACCGAGTACAGAATGCTTGTTTGAAATTGGTGCCATTATTGGGTTGACTAGGTTCACTGGACGCATCTTGATATTGACCGAGTTAGCAGGAACAGGACAGCTCTCTGCATCACTCTCGGCATAAGCTGCAGAAGCCCGTGTCTCAGGAATTCTAGGGCCGAATCACTCTGGTACCAACCAACGTAAGTAA